AAATGCAATGAAACAGGTTAATAACACTGCTCGAAAGCAATGTGTAATATATATAAAACGTATACATTATTAAAACTAAACTTTACCTTTACAAAGGCGTTTATCTAAATTGTAAATTGATTATTGTACCTAACAACAACATTTTATCGTAGTCATCGTTCCAATTATATTCCACATTGTTCTTTATACCTTTGGTATTTGATAAAATTAAATTTATAGTTAACATTTTTAACAACAATTTGTAATGAATTTCAAAATATCGCATGCTTAAAAATTGTATACATTGCACTTGTTCGGTCCATCGTGGAATATGGATATAGTTTCCATTAATGTGGCTTGTAATATTAATAAGATTGAATCTTTAGAACATCGATTCCTAATTATTGTCTTAATATTCTTTCTTGACTCTTGTATGCTGTCCAAAAACGATAATCAACGTATCACTTAAAAGACATATTCATCAGGTTTAGTAAAATTGTTTTTTTTATTTAACAATTAACTTGCATGCAATATATTGATTGCACAATTCTGAGATTGGATTAAAAAAATATATATTCAACTACAACTTATCTATTGTTAATATAGTCGTTAACAACAGAAAACAACGAAAAATATTATTTTATTTTATTATATGTTCACAATTAAATTAATCAGCGGGGCCAGTATTGTTACTGGCCGAGCTGATTACTGTTGAAAGGGATTTTTTGAAATAGGCAACAAACCAAGATGGTTAATTTTGTCAAATATACATTTTACTATTACAGTGTAAAAAAATGCACAAAATAAACAAGTCAAATTTAATTTTTACAGTATTACAAAATCCAAGTGACGTGAAAAGGACCAGGCGTGTGTTTGAACTACTGAAATCCGTCAGCGGTAGAAGCGTTTGATGGCTTGTATTCATGCTGACACTTGTCTTCATTCATGAGAAAACCATTAAAAGAGAGTCGATGGCGTTCCAAATGCATGCTAAAGATTTTACAAATTTTACATTTATCAAATGCCGGCAAGAGGCGACCGAAGCGTCTGAAACAAATTCTGATTACATCTTTATTTTATTTTTGCTTATCCTCAGGGTTGTGTATGGTACAATGTAGTGTGTCGTTATACTTGTTTCCAAACCACCCATGAGGTAGAGTAATTGGCTCGTTTTTTTTAACGTGGTATCTCCATGTACGATGATGTTGTATTTACTGTTAAACCACCAGCCACATGTAGTAAGGCGTCTTAATGAAATGAACTATAGTGGGCTTATACACCAATGCCGATCCGGGCATACTTAAGATTAACTTAATATTACAGACTAAGACATCCGGATACCGACAGCTTGGGTGGCCACTCGACAGACTGTAGTGGGCTTATACACCAATGCCGATCCGGGCATACTTAAGATTAACTTAATACTACAGACTAAGACATCCGGATACCGACAGCTTGGGTGGCCACTCGACAGACTGTAGTGGGCTTATACACCAATGCCGATCCGGGCATACTTAAGATGAACTTAATACTACAGACTAAGACATCCGGATATCGACAGCTTGGGTGGCCACTCGACAGACTGTAGTGGGCTTATACACCAATGCCGATCCGGGCATACTTAAGATGAACTTAATACTACAGACTAAGACATCCGGATATCGACAGCTTGGGTGGCCAAGTAATTCATTTTTACAAAGAAGAAAACTTGAGGAAATGATGATAGTGCTAAAATGTGTTAATTTACTCAAAAAAAATAATTTAGAAGGAGAGAATTAAGTATAAAATGATATCATCGCACATAGACCTAATCCACGCAGTGCTTGACTTCGTGAGGAGGAACTCAGAACCCGTCGGTACCTTTTTTTCATCCCAAGTAAACCCAGAGTATATATCAGAAATGTATCAATCGACTAGTTAAAAAAAATTATAATAACGAAACTATCTTTTTATAAATTTGTTTGTGGGATAGACTATCGTGAAATCAAGCACTTTAGAGGGTCTAGAATTAACAACCCAGTCACATAAATAAAGGGTTTTTCAATTTTATTCGCGTATATAATTTGCGAAAAGGAGATTTTACTGAATAAAAAAAAGTAAATACAATTTGTTTGACTGTATAATTAAATCCAGACCCTTATAACTGTATATAATTAAATTATTATTAATATTTAAAATAAATGTCTAAATGTATTGCTTACCGGTTACTACGTATTATTTATACTCATTTGGAAGTTCACGATCAACCGCCACGTGTAAATGAATTGCATCTCTTCATATGTGTAAATCTGAAGGTCCAACGCTGCCACCATGAGATAAGATGAGATGAGATGGATGCGAAAATCTTAGGATCGCTTCGAATGTCGTTAAAAAAAAAGTAATTGTTTAAACGTAAATTATTATAACTGCAAACCGCTTCGACGCTTTTAATATAATATTATAAAAGTACATATTTTGTTACTCACTGCTTGCTATTAAATAAATAAGCAGAAATTTACATAGGAACGATTTGGTTTCAGCCGGTAACAACGCACATTGAATTTAGGCCAGCAAAGGTTTGCAAATGTTGTGCTTAAGGAGATTATATTTTATATGTATGTTTAACATATAGAGTGTATAAATCTTAAATGTTATCTTTAAGGAGATCATACTCTCGACTATTACTAAAGCAAATATATTTTTTAAGGTTGTATACAAAATATCTTGTTTTTAACCTAACCTAACCTAAAATTAAAGAGTACTTTATTTCAAGACCAATATTGAATTATAGTTTTTAAAGTATTAAGAGTGATTATTATTTCATTAATTTTTCTTTTTTTTTTTTTATTTTAACAATCACTCTTTGAAAGTGATTGTTATAACTTTTGAAAAAAATATGACCTCATAAAACTGAACTTTTCCAAAGGAACACTACACGAATCCCATCCGGATGATTTTGAAATAAATACCAGTTATATTTCTTAAGGGGTTAAAAAATGGACGGTTTTGAGGAGTTTTACTTATTTACTTAGTTAAAAATGCTTTATTTCAAAACTTTGTCTACGCCAACAAGAATAAAATATCAAGTATATTGTTTTTATATATTATAATAATTAGTTAATTAATTAATCTCTGAAGGTGTTCTGTGGGGTTATAACATACGGATTTCTCGGTTTGCTGATATTTTTTTTCTATGTTTTAGTCACGTATATTATCGAATTTCACAATAAAAAAAATTTCAAGAAAAACAATTAAACATATTATGAAAACTCAGAAAACCCGTAGAATTTTTTAAGTAGGTACACAGTATCGCCTGTTTACTTGTTCTCAAACGACTCGTTGCGTTTGACATCTTAATTTTGTTTTCGCATGAATAATTTATCTTGTCGATGAACATACTTCAAAAATAATGCGCAATAAATAGATTATGCTTTTTGTTTTTTACAAATTCTTTATGGATTTTCCAATAGAGACGTTCTCGTACATAATAAACCCACCGCAAGTGACAGCTGTACTCGGCGAGGAGGACCATGCAAATTTGAAATTTCCAAAAAAGAAAAAACAACAACGTTTAAGCACAAAATTAGGCAACTATAATATGTATAGCCGAGTGTTAATACACTCAAGGTCATCGTGTACAAATTGCACGTGTACACCACACGACGTTAGATGATGAAACCTGTCTGACTATAACTCACTTATATTATTTTTAATTTGAAATACAAATTGAATATTTCTCACTAATAATTCAGTTCTGGTCAGGAACAATTCCATTACAGTTTTCGCTGAGACTTGGCATTTTTTTTTTTTAAAGATTTTTTGACATAAATTACCTTAGATTCACTCACCTAAAGCGTTTTGAGATCTGAATGGGATATGTTAGGGTCAACAAAATTGTGTAGACTGTTTACTCTCTTGTGTATACAACCTTGATTGTTTAAACAGGCGTGGTTGTTAGTTGATCGAGTTACCACTTCTGCTTGAATTATTGGCAACAAAGTTGCTCTGCCCCTGTGTCTAATTATAAATCTAACCATAAATAAATCAAATAACTACTTGTAAATCATATAATCGATATTTCCTCGTCCCCAATCGTTGAGAAGTTATTACAAATTATTAATATTATTATATAGTAGGTCGCATATTGAACCACAACCAAAAAATTGTTCAATCTTTGTCTTAAGGAAAACATGTCCTGTGATCGGATATTTTTCTATCTCTTGTCAGCAGATTGTCTTATCAAAAGCGACAGCCATAATTATTGTTACACAAAAAAGGTCTTACAATTTTCAAATAGACCCTTCTCGGGCAAAGGGCATGTTCATTTCAAACTTATTTAGCCCTTTTACATGTCTACAAAAATCACAACATTGGTTTTAGGCGCATCACATATTATAATATAGATATATATTTTGTTTTTAAATGTGATATAACTATTTAATACAAATGATCAAAAATAGTAGTAATACATAACATAGTAAAAATCTAAAGTAAGAAAAAAAAACAGTAACAGTTATCATAAAAATGTTATGAACATACTATGCGATAAACTTTTAATACAAGACTTAAATATGCACTTAACGGCTAGTAAATAACTGTAATTTATATTTAAAAAATTTAAAAATAATACAAAACAAAGCTAAAAATTATTATTAAGATATTATCAATAGACAGTTGTATTAAAACACCGTAATAAATACTTATTAAATTAACTCACAGGTTACTTCTAATACTCAAATAAGAGTTTTCTACGCCAATTATAAAACATTCGGTGTTTTTTTTTATACCCAGTCAAACCTAAGTATTATGCAATAAACTTTTTTTTAAAGTAAAAATTCAAACAAAAAAAAAACAAAATAATAAATATAATTGTATTTTATTTAAATAAATAACGAAAAAAAATGTCAAATAAAAATTTACTGAGAAAAAATTTAAATAACAATTAAATAAATATGAATAAATATTTAAATAATGAAATCAAATAAATATTTATCGATATAGTCAAATAAAAATGTATTTAAATACAAAATAAATTTGATACGCTAAAGAAAAGGTAATTTCAAACAACTAAAATTATTTTCAAAACTTTATTTTTTATTTATTAATTTGTAGTGAAATTGTAATTAACTATACTTACTGTAAAGTCTAAGAAAATTTGTTTGCGGGTTAAACTTAATTAGATTACATTTCAAGTTCCTAATTCTGGTAACATAGTGTTCAAATGGTAAATTATAAGTGGCATACTGGTAAGGCTTATTTTACATGCCTTAGGATATAATAAAAATACAAGAACTTAATTAATGTTATTTTTTAATATATATATATATATATATATATATAGTAAATAAAGGAATAATGTTTGGAAAATTATTTGTTATCTAACGTAGGTAATAATATTAAGAAATCACAACAACGAAATAATATTAATTTTTAAATCAATCGTTTTGACGTTTACCCATGATGGGCCATGACTACTGTAAATTGGATTTTTTTTCATCTAATTTTTCTATAGGTTTTCTTTTTAAAAAACTCCGAGATGATCGATTTGACACGAATTGGAATTATACATTAGCTATTATTGCAGTTTCAACTACTTAGGGCTGAAACTCAAACGATTGACTGGGAACTTGGGGGGTGTTATCTAAGTTCCTACTCATCGTGTGCCCAGGCTGGCCAAGATCAACGTGGCTTGTTCGTCGACAGAGCGGCTGGGCTGGAACGTCAGGTTCGGGATCTTCCTGCCGATCCCACCTCCACCCATCTTGACCCTGCGGTTCCTGTTGAGCTCGTGCGGGATATTCGGCACGTCCATCAACCGCAGTATCTGTGTCTGATCCGAACTGTCTATGGGAGCTACCGATATGTCCCTAACGGCCCGGAACCGACCGCAGTTGTTCAGGTGCTCGTTTTCCAGACGGAAAAAATTCCAAACGAATCTCCTGAAAACACACGGTTGGTTATCCAGAAATATTATCCCTTTATCGCCATGCCATGCCCACGCACACACATACAAGCTTTAGAATATCAGAGTAAGACGACAACAGCTGACGTCTTACTCACATCACAAGATTCGAAAATAAAATTTTCCAGACAATCGTAGCGCATATTAAATATGCTACAGATAGCAATACATAAGGAATGGCTGAAAACGCCCTTTTTTCTGTCAATAAGGCATACCAAACGTATATGCCTGCTGGTGCATCACATAAGTTTTATTGTCTATGGCTATGCCAAACGTTTCCACCATTGAGCGCTTCCAGAGACCCGAATTCACACTAACCTTTGCGTTGTATGCTTTGCCAATCATAATATGGCCATTGTCTATCTATAGTATATTTAATCCATGACCGTAGCTTCTTTTAGGACGCCCACAACACTTCACTCGACTCTTCCTCCCGTCCTAATGTATTATATTTAACATAGCCAGAAATAAAATAAAATGTGTATTTTTGTTATAACAGTATGGTAACTGTTCAATTAAGCCGTCTACCGTAGCCATAAGACAAACAAAATGTGTATTTTGGTTGTTAAAACAAATTTATATTTATATTTATAAAATCTATATTTGAAATTACAGTTATGTGTCTAGTCTATATCTGTAAGTTGGAAACACAAAAACATCTTAGTTTGATTATTGCAATTATCAGTTGGATTAGTGACACTAATATCAAAAAATAAATAACGACTCAGTTTAGTTCATCAGAAGAAAATGTTTTTCAACGTCTTAGTTACTATATTGGTTTCAACTTTGATATTTGACGATCGACACTATGTTTATTGTACCGACAAAGACAAAATAACTAACACGCTTAATACGCTTTTGGGATTTCCAGGATGGAACAATATTAGCAACTTGGAAGTCCGATTGCCTGGTAACTGTTTTTCTGTGAGTAATTTGTTGTACAGAAATATTGCAGAATCCGATACGATTGTAAACGACAATAACTACACAAAAAAATATGAAATGATTATTTATTCGTTATCATGTGTGTACGCAAACGAGTTGGTGAAATTTATAAATTTAATCAAAACTATTTTACACATTAGCAAAACGGAAAGGCATCGTGAAAGTACACAAAAGTACAGAAAGACACATGAAGTACGTGATCAAAAAAAAAGAAAGCATTCAACAGACGAAGAAAACGAACAAGCCAATGAACACAGATCGTCTTCGAGATCTGATGAGAATAATTACATTGATAAACCGTCGTCGTCGTCGTCGTCTTCTGTTCAAAACTCTGATGACACTATAGATGCCTGGAAAATATTCAATTCTGCGGTAAAACAATTCAAGAAAAGTTGGCTGATGTTTGAATGCATGTTTGAAGCGTTGCGTTTTTTAAAAGAACTGATTCCGCAAAAATATTTTGAAATGTATTCATCCGATATTGTCAATTTCGGTGACATTGTGTCATTTTACAAAGACAGATCTACAGACATACAACTGGTTTTGTCCGGTTACGACGGCGAAGACGATAATTGCTACAGAGATAAATTTAGAGAATTGAGCAGACAATTTACCCTATTTCTCAGGGCTACGCAAGCGTTAGATCGTTTTGTAAACGACTATTGCGTTATACCAGAGAGCGATAGAGCACAGATCGTCGACGAAAAAGATCTAATAAAAAATTTCTATCCAAGAGGGACGCGAACGACTATTGGAGACAAATTTCAAGTCGTACAACAATTGGAGGTCCAAATCGAATCGCTTGTGAATGAAGTCACTAAAAATTACTTTAAAGATTTGGGTTTCGTGTACGATTTCACAAAATAGAAACCAAAAAAAAATGATTACACATACAGCTGTTATAAAAAAAAATAATGTTAACAATTAACATTCTTACGCACTGATTTTCAGAAAGATGTCACCGAAGTGTATGATTCAATAACATTATGGACAATAAAACCTATTTTGTAATGTAAGTCACTTATAGTGGCTTTAATCTCAATATAAATATTATAATTATTCGAAATTCTGTACTGACATTTTGTAAAATATAATTTATTAAAAAAATAAATTAATATATTGTCGTTTTTATTGCTTGGAGAAATTCAAAATCATATTTCTGTTTTGTGCTTAAGCCTAATATACCTATTTTATTATTTATTCAGCTGTCTATTGTAGGTAGCAATAAAACAAAGGAAATGTGTTTTTTTTTTGTCATTAAAAAAAATCAAAAATTTATTTATACGCCTAATATATCTGCTAAACATTTCAGTTTCTTTGTTGCATTTATCGGTTAGATTAGTGTCATTCACTTCTCCATAAGAAAATGTTTTTCAACGTCTTAATTATTTTATTGGTTTCGACTTTGGTATTCGACGATGGAAAATATGTTATTTGTACCGACAAAAACAAAATAACCGACACGCTGAATACGCTTTTGGAATGTTCAGGATGGAAGGAGATTGGCGATTTTAAATTCCGATTTCCTCATAACTTTCCTGGTAACTATTTTTCCGTTGTAAGTGATTTGCTGTACATAAACATTGCAGAATCCAATAAAATCGTAAGCGACAACAACTACATAAGGAAATACGCCATGACTATGTTTTCGGTGGCATGTGTGTACGCGAACGAGTTGGTGAAATTTATAAATTTGACAAAAATTATTTTACATATTAGCAACATGGAAAGAAACCGCGTGAGAATAAAAAAGTATCAAAAGCAGCCACCGGCGGCAAGTGCAACGCGTGTTGAAATAAACGAACAAGCCGACGAAGACGATCTTATGGAAAATATTAATTTCTTTGATAGACCATCGGCGTCGTCGTCTTCTATTCAAAATTCTGCTGATTATACGTATTGCTGGAAAATGTTTAATTCTGCGGTAAAACAATTTCAGAAAAGTTGGCTGATGTTCGAGTACATGTTCGAAGCGTTGCGTTTTCTAGAAGAACTGGTTCCGCAAAAATATTTTCAAGAGTATTTACCCGAATTAATACGTTTCAGGCACGAAGTGACATTTTTCAAAGTCAGATCTACAGACATAACGCTAGTTTTATACGGTTTCAACGCGGACGACTATAACAGTTGCAACGAAGATAAATTAAGAGAATACCTCAGAAAATTTTCTCAATTCATCAGTAACGCGGAATTGTTCAATCGTTTCATAGACAACTATTGCATTATACCAGAGATCGATAAAGCACAGATCGTTCAAGACGAGGATGTGTACAAAACTTTTTTTCCGCAAGGCAGACGATATACGATTGAAGACAAATTTCACGTCGTACATTATTTAGAGGGCAAAATTGAATCGCTCGTAAGTAAATTCACTAAAAAGTACTTCAAAGATTTCGGTTTCTTGTATGATTTCACAAGCTAGAGACTACAATGAAGGATTACACATTCTTAATTCAATTACGTGCAAAAGACGTTATAAATAATTGTTACACTTTAATCTCATATTATATAAATTATCGTTGTTCATACTTCTGCAATAACATACTATAAAATATATGTTTAAAAAAAAAATTACAAATATATTTATTACTTTGGGAAATTCAAAACCGTATTTCTGTTTTGTGCTAAAGCGAAAAAAATAATACACAAATTGCATTATTTATTCAGCTGATATCATAGCAAATAAAATGTGTTCTTTAGTTATAATGGTATGATAGCACTTTACCTAAACTGTCTACCGTAACAATAAGACAAACAAAATGTGTTATTTGGTTATTAAAAAAACCCAAATTTAATTTCTATGTCTAATCTATATCTGTGAGTTAAAAACATTTATTTTTGCAATAAATAATCGGTTAGACTAATGTCACCAAAATTATTTAAAAAGATTATTGGTTTCTCAACCATAGAGTAATAATATAAAAAGATGAACTAACATAATAATATTATACTAGCTTGTATGCAAGAGCGAAGTAAATACTATGACTAAAACCAGTATGACCACAGAAAGGGAAAAAAAGTCTTTACTGTTGAACAAATAAAACAACAAGGCATTGTTGTTAATTAATAATACAGTTAATGATGACTTAATAAAGATAACGTCACAGACATAGACGATAGCATTGTCAACGATTCCGATAAGTGCCGTCGAAATTAACGATGAACAAAATCTGATTGAGTCATATCGTTCGATACCCGCCGATGAGACGACTGTCAATGGCAAGTGTCTTCTAAGAATCTGTCTACCTTTGCTTTTGCAAATGCGTATGGCAAACTGGTGCACACATAGTACATACAATATACATTGCAGCAAATCTCTCTTATCTCAAGTAATTACTCGGAACGGCTGTATTTATTTCTACACCACGTTATCGCGACACTAAAGCCCACTTGTGGAGTTTGGAAATCGAGTACACAGATAGGACAAGACGAGTGTGCCTAAAAAATAAATTCTTGAACTCGACGAATCCGATATTTCATCCCTTGGAAGTATCTATATTTTTCGAAAGAGACTGTTAATTAATAAAAGACATAATATATCTAATACCAAAAATCGAAATATATTACATAAATATATTGTATCACACAAAGTGAACGGTAAAAAAACCAACGGTACGGTTCGTGGAAATTTCGATTTAATCTCCACGCTGAAATTATTGTAACCGAGTAATGACCTAATAAATAATATTTTACACTACGTAGAAGTTGTTTTCAATGACTTTTAAGACATTTCGCAATATCTTACAATATTGTGGTCCTCAAGTGCATATTATTATCTACAAAATTGTATGTAGATAACGCGTTCGAATTCTGGGAAGAGTTTGGAACACGACAAAAGAGACAATATTGTTGTGAATCACAATAATATATAATTACAAATTATTATACAGGATGATTTCTCGTCATACTCTCTGCCCCTCTCCCCAGTTAATTTAAGATTTAAGAAGAAAGATTTAAGCCCTCCGAGCATCCCTAATTGAGCCTTTATAAAATAATAATAATATGTAATATACGATTTTGAATCTAATATTTTTCCATTCCGATTGGCACAATATATCCACTCAATATTGTATTACTTTAAAAAAAAAAGGTTATTCCGAAATGAGTTTTTACACCATTACTTGGGTGTTATAAGCAATACAAAATGGGGTGGACAAAAGGTTGTAGATCACCTTGTATATGTTGTATGTGTACACAAATAGTGTGTGGTTACTGTGAGTGTGTAAGTGACTATGTGTTTTAAATAAGTTGTGTAATAAGCCGCAATTAAACTAACGAGCGATATTATTGAACTTTAATAATTAAACACAAACGCATGTGTAAGACAAATAAAAAAAACAATTTAATCGTACCTCATTACTTCGAGTGGTGATAAAATCGACACCATCAGGTCACCGTGAACGTAGCCCATTTCGGTCAGAGACATTGATAATGCCCAACCGAATCTCAGGATAAAATCCTCGGCGATGGCTATGTAGTAAAACGCCTAAATATAAAACAAATTGAAAATTAAACAAACAAACTTATTTTAATTAACCGAAAAAAACATATTAAACTTAAATTAAAACCGCTGGCATTGAAATACATTTGAACTGCAACACTTGAAACGATCAAAACGTTTTTAGAGTATATAGATTTTTGCAGTAGCCAATTTTTTTTTTATATCTTCAATCTTTAAATTATGCAGATCAGAACTGGTTTAATGTATCGTTCTAACATATGAGGTATACAGAAAACTGAGGATCAACATTTTGGAGTTTTTTGAAAACGGGGTTTTATTCTAATAAATAAAAAAAAAATAAGCATTTATAAAAAAAATTACATTTTAGCAAAAAAACAATTTTTTAGGACGTTAACAAACATTTTTTCCAAAAAAAAAAAAATACATATTTAAAATAGAATCTATTATAAAAATATATATTTCTTAATTTTTCTTAGGGTATTATTATTTATTTTATATATTTTTTTTTCAATTTTTATGTTTTTTTCGATTTTTTAGAAGTTTACAATTTCGTTGGACATTTCGAGTTACAAAAACATTACCCCAATTTATCTGGAAGATTAATGTTTTTGTCTTGGTTTTTTTTTCCGGAACTTCTAGGATCTGTGTAGTTACTAACTACAAGTTACAACAAGACGTTGATGAAAAATATACAAACAAGTTCCTAAACACGGACAGTAAAAGAAGATGTGATTTTATAATTGGGACAGAGTTTATATTATGGTTTTGGGTTGTGCAAATAAAACTTGTCTATAAAATATTTTTTTTGTTATTATTTTATGATTTATTTCAATTTTATTTGTGTAACTTTAATTGACAACGAAAGCAATTGAGGCGTACACCCGAATTTGTACTGACGGCCACTGTCTTATCGCGTTCTCTATTAATTATTTCAAGGCTGTCGTAACGATGATAATAATATATTCATCCTTATGTCTTATCAATCAGCTGATAGACGAAAAGCGTTCATAACTATTTTGATTTCCGAAAAAATACAAATCGAAAAATAATTTGGGGGGGGGGGAGGAGGATACCAAATGTCTAACCACTATTAATGACCTAGATGCTTTTGATAATGTTGTTAAATACACTGCATAACATTATGTCGTTTCAATACACCTATTTATCCTATTCAAGTGTTTGGTATAGTATAATTATTATTATATTATGTCGGCCGGATTTCAGAAAATTTCACTTTTAATGTATATTTTTATGATCGACGTTCACGATGGATTGGAAAAAAAGCAAGTTGTAATAAAAAATGAAAGTAGTAACTGCCGGTGAACCGGTGTGAGCTGAAATATATAGAGCAAACACATATGCAGTGCTCATTGCCGAGGTTATTGGGCTAATCTTAAATTTAGCGCTTGGACGTTTGTTTTTTTTTTAGACTACAAAGAAAAGAGACTAAAAGACTATAAAAAAGAACCTAATTGAATTTTACTTGCCCAAATCCATACACTGTACACCGATGAAATTTTTTTTAAAAAAATTGGGTCTCTCGTTCAAACGTTCCTTTCTCCTCGACCTCCTACTTATCCTTCACTACATAACCAGAAAATCTTAGTAGCTTAAGTGGTAATTCTCTCTACCTCGTTTGAGTGTCTTGGCGCAGGTCAAGGGCGTACCTTACACACTGTACGTCATATCTCCTTTACTCGATTCCGCCTTAGATCTCTTTCCTGTACATTTCTGTAATCACCTAATTAAGAAATTTATTCTGAGAATTATTCTGGTCCACATAGCGATGCCCCGTGTGATTTTATGTAATTTTTTTTTATTATCCTTTACTTAATATTTAACCGGAAAACTCTTCCTATCTTATTAACGTATTTTTGGTTACTCTTCTTGTAATTTTCATTTTAATGGTAGCTTTTATGAAAAGTAATTACATAACAATTAAACGATGGATTCTGTAAAAACCTTGATTGACCTTGCTAATCTAGCATAAGATTTTTTTTTTTCTAGCAATTCTACAAGCATTTTCTAGCAATACATATTTTTTTAAATGCTAAAACATTTAAAGTAGTAGAAGAAGTTGAGTAGTTGTCCAAAATAGAATTATTTATTTGATAAATTCAGATCTGTTCACAGAAATAATGTACACTGTTTTTAAGCACGAGAGAAAATTAGAAAATCTTAAATTTTGTTTTGTAAATGGATTACAACTTTGTTTACAAAAAAAAAAGGTTTTTTCTTCTACATCATTATAATTCGTACTCAATAAGTATGATAACGTTGTACAAAAACCGAGTATGATTGAAAAGGGTTTAAAATCCAATGTTTGGAGGGTGGGAGGGGGTGTACTCTGTGGAAATGCCGTCTCTACAAGTTCAACATAAAGGTAAGTTCAGAAGCGCGGCCTTTAAAGAAGACTACACGTTATCTGTTATGAGATCAACAAATTATGCGCTGAGAGGTTAAAATTTTTCAATAAATAATTGAACAACAATCCAGTTGAAGTTGTATGTAATCATATATTGAGATTAACGCTGTTCGATTTCCAAGAAAGTTTATGGTTTAAGATAATTCTACGTCGCATAACATTTATAATATTACCGACATTTTCCAAAGCTTTTATCGACTTTTGAAAATTGAACGGTAATGTGTATATTTAATTTAATTAACGTTGAGCGAACCGACTCCGGATTGAATATGATTTGTTTACAAAATGTACATCCATCCGGAACGTGCCTCACTCCCGGTCATTCCCGAAATATGCCTTCGGGACTTCTCAGCATTGTACCTCAGGCCGAGGTCGTCTGTGCCGCTTAACGACCTATTCTTGTCGGAGGTCACGTGCGTTAAGAACTGAACTTGAATTCGACCATCAGCTGTCTTTATCGGTTAATCCGCCAATATTTATTGGCACACCACCGTCACTGACCGTTGTTGTGGTATTATTATTGTAATAATTATTAATCATCGTCCATAAACCATAATATTATACGGTTTGAAATTTTATCAATACAGTCGACATTTTTCACCGTAGTTGTCCTGTGTACTTAAGTAGTCAACGGTTGCACCTCAATTAAGTACCACCGTCTACGCCCTTTCGTCCGTTTCTTCTTCTAATAGCGATTAATTTCCTGATTTGCTCCGATTGCCACGCCTGTCTGATTCTCAACTCCTTCTCTCTCCTCCAATCCATTTAATTCCGAAAAAATATCTCTCCTTAGGTCTTCCGGTTCGGGTAAAGTAGCGCAGTTTCTTTGGGCTCCGGATCACTCTAAGATCATTTGCATCCTTCCTTAACCCACAATGACTTTCATCCCTTATTTATTATTTTACGGCCGTGGTCCTCTCCCTTTCTTATGATTTTTTTCTCATAGCGTCTTATCATCCCTTCAACGTCCTTAACTCTCGTTCCATTCCGTTCTCAGTTCTGGCTTTTCCGTTTAATTTACAATTATATATGCTTAATTATTGTTGTTAATAATATTCCTAGTTGGTCTCATCTGATACTCTTACGATTTTATTACAACTGTCGAGCCATAATATGTTTAATAAAGGTTAAAAAACAAAATGAAGTCGTACAAGTTAAAGTGCACAAAACGTGTCAATAAAATTTAATAATATTCTACTATCCTATCCGGATGATGTAAAACTGCAAACCGTCTAGTGACCGACGTCGAATGACCGCGTTTCAAAATATTTAATCTCATGAAATTGGCCTAGTAAATAAAAATGTACAATTGTGTAAGACCGACGTTACTTAATTGAAATGCGTTTTATGTTGTTATCTAATATTATATTATTGTCAATCGGTCTGGTAGAACATGTGTCTACAAAGCCGATGCTACTAGTCTAAAAGCAAACCATAACAAAATATTGTAGTGAAGAATAATGTAGGTTTACGATTTACATAATCCTTTTAGGTCAATAATATCAACTATACCAAGAGCATTTTTCCCTTTTTCTTTAAAATGTTATAAATTGCAATAAGACTTGAAAGCTACATCCGACTAGTTACTATCATTTGATCGGTTTTTAATTTTAGTTTCTAATTTGTTTCAACATTTAATTACCGCGAGTCGGATCTATTAATTAGTAACAATTATACTATGAAAAATGATAATAAAATAAATATACACAAGTACAACAATTTAGATGATTGAGATACGTGTCCAAATTAGGTGTACTTTCATAACTACTTAATATTAATATTTAATTGATAGAAAAAAAACACAAGAGTAAAGTGCGTTAATATACATATTGTACTATTTCAATTCCTATTATTACAAAGTATAATTCTGCAAAAACCTAGGTGGAACATTTGACATTTGAGGCGCTCAGATGCCAAACTGATTAACTCCATAAAATGCAATTTTTCAGGACAAGCAGTTAAAGTTATTTGAAACAATGTATGCGCACTCTAGTGGTGACACATTCAACTATGGAGTTATTTATCTCGGCCACTGAAAATTATACACTTTTGTAATCCAGCCATGGCTTCTGAGCACCTCGTTTAAAAATGACCAACTCTATTGCCTAAAGCAGGTACTTCCTGTAAGTCTTAATACTCATATAATATAATTGCATTTTTTCACGGACTTACCGTTGACGAGTAAACGATTTCTTCGCGGAGGAATTTATTTTCTCCGGCATTTTTGTCGAACAGTCCCCAGTCCATTTTTATGTCCCAAATGTACGAGTACAGCGAACTGAAAACGGACGCGCATATCCACAGGTAAAACCACATGTTAGAGTCCTCGTCCGGATTCATTTCTGCGAGGGAAAAAAACATAATTTTTTTTTTTTATAGCATTTCATGTTGCACACACACAACACTCAGTACCGTACTCGAGTATTGGAGATTCAAAAACGAAAAGGTTATCACGAAGAATGTGGTGGCGTACTTAGCGGCGTTGGCCAAGTGCGGGAAAGCCTCCCGCGAGTCCCTGTACCGCCTGAGACACTGCATGAACCGGAACCACGCGGGTAGACAAGCGACGATCGGCCTCAACAGCCACACGCGTTCCACGCATTTGGTCCCGTCAATGTCTATGGCTATATTGGAGGGGGTAAAAAACAACACAATAAAATCAGACACAATATTCATAAATGTGGACACAATCCACCAAAAGTCGCCTGACTGTGGGATTAACTTTGCTGTGAACGGGGCAAGCGAAGTACCATTGTCGGGACACACCTTAAATGTAGGTAATCCATATAGAGGAGTGTGAGGAAATGGCTATTGGTTGATTTTCTACCTTTGTTTTCGAAGCGTACCGATGACTCTGTTTGACACATTCTATTGCCTTACACCCTAAACATGGACAATTTTTGAAGTATGACATGATCTACACTATTCACACATCTTGCGGTTATTCCCACTCGAACGGATTGACAGGTCTGCCAATGTTTCGGAATACTTGTACATTCCCTCTTCGGGGCTATGGTACGAGCAACATCAAACCACAGTCTTGGAGATGAAATGTGCAAGTATTCCGTAACGTTGGCAGACTAGGCAATCTATTCCCCTTGATCAAGCTTCAATCATTTTTTTAAAAATAACGATAACGACTCATGATTTGCCATGGACACTAATGTATCACTTTCGGTGAATTGACTCTTATCCGGAAAACACACCGGACTTTTGATGCAATATTTACTTTTGTTAGACATCCACTTGTCGTTGGTCAGATAGAAACATACCAAGTACTGGAAATCCAACAGAGCCGGCACCAAACTGGTCAGCTGATCGGCCAGCCAAAAGTCAGCGAAACCGACGTAGAAAAATGGAGCGAATATTATGCGTACCTAAAAATAATAATAATAATACAATTTAATTAGTCTGGCGGTAGATCCATTGTGGTCCTATTTCATATTATAAAATATCCTCAAATATCTGCAGTCAAACTTTTTTTATGTAAAAAACCACCAAAAAAAAGGGGGGAAATCACACTTTTGGTGTATTATATTATAATTCCTGGTAGCTATGTGAGAATGATTCAACAGACAACGGGCACAACTATTTTTTATGCTCAGCATAAGAACTATTACTGTACTTGTATTTTGAGATTGTTTGTTTATAAAAAAAGTTGTACGTTTTATAAAACTTGCACTATATTAGGACATATCGTGGACCCCGATTACCTACAGCCTACTCGGTTCTTCACAGTTTGAAACGGACAAGACATAAATTGTTATACTTACCATTACACGCAAAACCCAAAAACGTGCGTCATGTCTCAGCGTTTTGGTGGGGTTGAACAAAAACGCTATCATCAGGATAGCCAAAATCAACGGGTTGATGTACGGCGGTATGTGCAGCGCCTCGCTGTACAAGAAGATCAACGCGGATCCGGCCCAGACCAGACCGAACACCGTGGCCAACTCCATGATGTGCTGTTCGGTCAGATGGTTTCTGGGGTCCAGCTCGAAGATGAGCACGTGATTAACGCCGGAAGAACGCCAGCAGTACACGTTGATGCCCATCAGGAAAAGAAATATGACCAACAGCAGTGGACCCCTGTACAACCTGACCATGACACGCCAGTCCGTGTCGCTGTTGCCGTGGGCTATGCCTGGAATCCCAATATTGTATATTTTAAACAGACGTGACTTTCACAGAAAAGAAATACTTTTGAGATTTTCAGCTTAAGCTAAATAAACCGAGGGAATAAACTACCGCGATGCAAACAAGGTCTTGCAAAAAAATCTCGAGAATTTTCTCGGTTAACCACCCTGGGGGCTGCCATAAGTAAAATATCATGAAGTAAGCGAAAAGATTAGCTGCAGTGTGACCAGATGGACGAAATTACATTTCTCAGGTACATATTTGTTATTTGTTTCACTGGGTACTCCAACCGTGTGATACAAAACCTATTGTTTATAATAAGTCATGATATTATCATGTTATCATACGAAATTAGAATTTATCCATTGACCTGTATAGTTTAGGATAGGATTATACTGTGCAGTAGTGTTAAACAAAAAAAAAGTGTTTGTTTTTCTATAAAGTGGTAACACTGTCGCTCGGCCTCTTGATTATTACTTCGTCGCTGAGTACAGGGCATTATAATACGATGTTACAGCTCCAAATATTTACACTCTATAGTTAAACCTCAGGCTGAAAAGTAAGAACATTGTCATATTATGTTTAATGTTCAACCACCCTCGTTTGGCTCTTACCCGTGATAATTACTGCCAACAACATCACCACGAACGCGCCCGAGAACAGGCCGACTTTAAACGTGATCCACGGCGACTGTTGTTCTCCCAGAGGCGGTACCCGCAGCCTTTTCATAGCCCTCTGTCTGTCGCCTCCTTCAAGACCTTGGGTGACAGTGGCTTCCGTTTCGCTGATCAGCCGGTCGATGTCTTTGTTGCAATAGAAATGCGCGTTTTCCACCACTTCGGACCTCCACCGACCACCGGACCCTCCGTCGGCACTCAGCAACTATTTTTTAAACCAACACAAATAATGTCAAACGTCTTCAATTGGTGGATCCTTCAAACGAGCGCAACTGAAATAAGTCACGATCAGAGTTGGGCAAAATTAAAAACACAGACAATATACAGACGATTCGACGGATTGTGGTGTATATACCCCGACACAATAGAAACATATACAAACCGTTATTTGTAATTTTAAAAAAATATATATAAAAAGACGATTGGGGTGGGGGGGGGGGTATGTTGAAAATGTCGATACCGGGTGTCGAAATTTACATGAAAAATGTACACATTTACCTTGTCGTGCTTTTTCATTATTTTCCGAAAACCCGTGTAGTTTAAATTCTGGTAATTTTGCAGCAGGATCAAGCTCAAGTAGAACTCGCTGAAAGCCAACTTGAGCTCTTGGGTCTTTCGCGTGGTGGTGTTTTTCCTGAGTATTTTCCGCTTGACCGGCTTAAGATTGCCACTGCCATCTTTGGGTTTGACTTTTTCGTCCTGGGCCTCTCTCAAGTCGCTCTGGAGATTTGCGAATTTCCGCGTCGCTTCCGCTAGTTTTTCTACACGTTAACATGTTATATTTTAATGATTTAAAATTTAATTTAATTGATTTTGAGTGTTTTATATTAAAAGTACGTGCAAGATTTCAATAGGACCATATACATACATAATAAGCAATATAATATACAGCATTCAGACGTGTCGTCAGGGTCGAATGTTAGCCAAATCGAAAAATTTAATTCAACGTTGAATGCATTAAATTCGGAACCGGTATAATATATTTATCCTTTAAACATGAATCGTTTGTACATAATCTATCATCGGCGAGTTTTTATTTTATAACTAATTATCGAATAAATAGTTTTTGACATGACCCATCATATTATAGTAATCAAGTACCTACCACACACATAAGTGCCTGCGGCCACAAATTGTTATTTGCACGTTCATGAAAAAGTATAAAACTGTCTGCCTACATCATTAACACGTCCATCCGCGGTATTATTATACATATATTATTATTATTATACACAGTGTTATTTTATACTGTACAATAATTTAAATGTGCAACTAATGTTTAATGAACAACCGATTTGTCCAATGTTTATGGTATAAAATATATTCGCGATTCCGTGGCCTTGAAAACTTGTGATCATTAAAATAATATTCAACGGCTAGCTGCTATATTAATAGTGTATAGGTGATATACAGTTATAGCGATTAGTGTATTTTTTTTTATTTAGCTACAAAGAATGTCTTAAACGTCATGACGTCCAAACCTAACCGTTTCATTCAACAGATGCGTTTAGTCGGATTAGGTTAGGTTAGGCCTATAATGTTTACACCAAAGTTGTGAAACATACATTTATGGACTTGAGCTTTTAAATTGGAGAAGGTTTTTGCTACAGGTGGGATTATTTTATTTTTTCGAATAAACCGTATATATTTGACAACAATATAACTTTGGCAGACAAACGGGAAAAGTTTATCATATTTCAGAGAACTGTAAGCGATCGTTAAACTTGATAGTAATAATATACATATACAAGTGAGTAGGAATGTATAATATTATTTTAATAGCGAACCAACGCCAACAAATCTTGGCATATCGCCTAGCTGGTTGGTATTAATCAAAATGTTGTATAATAAATTTTAACTAGAAAATATGGTTTAAAATTGTAAAAGTAATAAAAAAAAAAAAAAAGGTATTAAACAAAATTTTTTTAGGAGGTTTGGTTTACTACGAATGGTCAGATTTATTAATAAAAAAACAATTTTGGAATATTCCTTGGAATTTCCTATAAAAAAAATAGTGAGAAATCATGTTTTTCTACTCTTACATAATGGTTGACATTTAAGATTTTGAATTATTTTTTTTTAAAAAAACTGCATATTATAATACATTATAAAAGTCTTCCACAAATTGTTACTTTGTTTTTTTTTTTTAAGTTTAAAATTACTTTTTTTGCAAACTCAAATCCAGTGCCAAAGGAATTTATACAAACTTTTACTAAGAAGTCAAATTTAACTGACCATTACCCAATACTTGAATGATATTAATATTTTCTGGATAATTATTAAGGCGCAAAGTATAGGCAATATTTGACAAGAAATGTGTTTACTGTATAAATAATTCTGATCGTGTTAAATAATTAATAATTGTATTATATAAGAGAGACATTTTGGTGGGAAATAATAACTTCACTACAGTAGAGATAACATCTCGTAGACAAACCTGGGCGTTATTTAAATAAAATAACTCATATAATTACTAAAAATAAAAATATACTTCAATAAAAATTCAAATTTTAAATACATTTTTATTTGAACAAATGCAACTAAGACAAAAAACGTTATTTTAAACTATTTCAATTTCAACTGTAAATAATTTTTTATTTAAACAATAAAACAAATAAATTTGTATCTAAAATACCAAGTTTTATGTAAAATAAAACCGTACTTAAATAAAATAATATTGAAGTCGTTAATAATAGTTTATTTATTTATAAATAAAATATGATCAGGGTTTGCTCGTTGAGATCGGGTTTTAATGTTTGCACACATTTTAATATCATACTAACTGTCGTCTTATGACATACAGAATTGTGAGGAAATCTATTCTTCTGGGATAAAATGACTGACCGTAATTGTCTCATTGCCTTTAAATTTAATAAAACGCATACTGAATCCCATCTTGGTAAATTATCTTACTCTGCTAGTTTGCACTGTAGTTGGTTTGAGCTATGCTAGTTTTTAAACCGTGCTGGATTCTTACTATATTATGTGGATTCAGATTTATAGCTCTACTTTGCTGACTTTACCCGTACTGGTTTATACTGTACCTTTTTTTGGTTTTGAACTGTACAGGTTTAGACTGCGCTTGGTGATTTTATGTAATAGATAAGGCCATAAAGGGTTGGGTATACCTGCAGTGTAGTGAAGAAAAAAGTCTGTCTTGCCCGTTAATGTTTATCCTCTGTACACATTTTATTATTGTGTAGGCACCGCCCATTGTGTGGAATGCTCGTGGTTCAGTAATTAACAACATTCAAAATAATTACAAGTACCTAAAATATAGTAGGCGAACCGAGCAATTGTGTTGGGTAAAATATTTACAAGTTATTTATTATAGGACAGTAATTGTACAGTACGTCTTACTACTTGGAAATGTTTGTTGTGTAGTGTTAAAAATGACTTAGAAAACAACAGCGCATACAATTAAAAATAAGAAAGAAGTATCTTTTGCTCAACAACTATTGAATAATTTTACATGATAGCCCAAAAGTAAAACTATTCGATTTCCATGTTAAACTATTATATTGTAATTTAATTTAACAAAACAATCAAGAAAATTAACAATCAGAATTAGAAAAAATATTCGAATCATTTTCTAATTAAATAATGTGATGAATAAAATATAAATCTTATGATTTAATTTTTTATCGTTTTTTGATTATTTGTTAGCTTTTATTTATAAGTTGTCATCTGACTGAGAGTTTTAAATACTTTAAAATATACCTAAATTATAAATAAATATAAAACAACATTTAAGGTTTTTTATTTAATCAATTTTAAATTTTCCAAGATAAAAAATCCTTTTTTTTTAATTTTATATAGGTACTTTATGAAATTTAATCAAACAAGTTTGAAATTATTTAAGATAACATTTTTAACTACAATTCTTAGGTAGATGATTTATCTTATATTTTGTAGAATTACAAATAAAGTCATCGGTTATTTGTAAATAAATGCATTATTTATAAAATTGTCTATTATCAAGTATTTATTTCTATAAGTAACTAAAGTTACAAAATAATAACTTAAAATGTGATTTTTTTTTAGTAATATAATGTAGAGATAACACTCAAGTTTTCCTAATTTTATACAGGTAAAAAACATCAAGAATAAGTACCAAAATTAGTGATATGTATAATATTGGAAATCACAACTTTTAAACCAAAATCTAGCTTGTCAACTAGGAATTTGTGTTTCCTAAAACCTATCCTCTCAACCTCGGTACAATTGCAAACGTCCAATTTTATTCTTGAATAAGCTACCTTCAATTGTTTTATTTTGGAGACTGAAGTCGGTCAATCTTTGCGGTAAGCACTATAATGATGAAGATGATAAATTTAGCTATTTTTTTTAACAATTTTGTTTGGTTTGTTTAATAGTATATTTTCGATACATTCGATTCTACTTCTAACGCTACATATTATGATAAATCCAGAATCCTAGTAGTAGCCAAAATGCCGTACAAAAATATTTACTACCAGTCGAAAATCTACTTTGATCGAGAGTAAAAATTACACAGGCACAACGGGTTATTACAAACAAAGTGTGCATTGACAACAAACAACACGTCAAAAATATCGATGGTGATATGCAATTACCGAGATGGGTGCGTAACAAGGTTCTAATGTTGTTCATGCTGTGGATTTTTTACATCATGCACATGGTGGTGTTTGAATACGCGTAACGTCACAGGAAAATCATGGAACACACAGTATCAAACAATAGTATATTATGTCCGTCCGAAACCTGAATAGAATGTGTTGATTTTGGCGAGCTCTTTGTCGCAAAAGCTGAAGAACTTTTCGTCGAATTTGGCATAGTACCGCGATATGGATTCGGAGTCTACTTGATCGGTGGCCGGTACCTGCTCAATGGCTGCGTACAACATTTCTTTCATTTCCTTGAACACGACGCGTTAAGAGGTAATACGTTGCAATTATGTTAGAATTATTTAAAAACGTGCTCTCGCTTGACCTACTTCGTAGCTTATGTACTGTTTTCTCCATTCCGGGGTGATGTGCGCCGCCAAGTGTTCCGCAAACTTCATGTTTGAACTGACCGAAGTGGCGTTGGCTAATTATAATATGAATAATATGAATTATTTAGACGCGAAACACACTTGAATTACCCGCCGTTTGCTCCTTCTAGATATTATTCCAATCGATACACGACGACGGTGCTGGGGAAAAAATATTGTACAAACCGACCAATGGAAATAAAAAGGTCAATAACAACATTGTGATAACGGCCGTCGTACAAACGGTGATAAGCACGACCGTTGATAACAATTATTTGTAATCAACCGCGACTGATACGTTATCAGTTATTGAGTGATAACAACAGCTTCCGAACACACGAGCGGGGAGCCATGAAGGTTTTTCAAAATTAATTTTTAAACTTAATTATAGTATTAAAATATACAAGTTTAGCCCTAACCGACATGTCTCGTTGTTTGCTCCGCTTCCGGAGATGTGTTAGTAAATATGATATTACACAACGTGTGCCATATTATAACGAATAATGTTTAATTTTTTTTTTTAATGTTACAGTATTCGACCAAAGTGAAATTGACAACAATTTTGAACGAAGATGTCCGTCAAAAAGTATCCGGCGAAGAAATCAAACCCAGGAAGCATCCGGGCAGATGTAAATTAATCGCCGAACCATTACCCAACGACTTGATAAAATCCATCGTGAAATCGTTAAAAGGTTTAAAAAAAAAAAACTGAAGGGCTACCTCTTTCAATTTTATTTTAACTTAACGAAAATGATTTTGATTTTTCCTTTTTGTAGACGAACAGGTGAAAAGCATCGTACAAGACGGTCAACTACTAGTTAATTACTTGAAGAGCAGACATGTCCCCGTTGAAGAAAACGAGTTAAACGATAAGAGACGAGCCCACCAAGTCGAACTGGAAGATAAATGTAAGTTTAAATTTGGGGTCATGTACATTATCGTTAAAATTGGTTTTTTATTTAATATTTTACAATGTTTAGACGATATTCAAAATATGTCTGAAGAACACAAAGAAAAGTTTGAAAAATTTCTAAAAAATCGTATAGAAAAATTAGTGGCTCAACGTACGTATAAGTGGAAGCCCATCGATTACAATAATGAATATGTATGCTTCCAGTATCTGTTATCCAGAATTGCTCCTGATTACGCTACAATGAGAATGTTGTTTAATGAAATACGACAAAGAGACCCCGACTTTGCGCCACAATCCCTGTTTGATTTTGGATCTGGAATCGGTACAGTAACTATGTATGTTTTTATTGTAAAACCAAACAGAAGTATTGTTTACTCGGTAATTTATTTGAAAACTGATTTTAGGAATGCTAAAAACATTTGGGGCAAATCGTTAAAGGAATATTACTGTGTAGACACTTCGTCGAAAATGAACGATTTATCGAAGCTCATTTTACAAGGAGGAAATCCGGACGATGAAAGTGCTTTACCGAAAGGTTTATTTTATCGACAGTTCTTGCCGTCTTCGCCAAAAGTATTTTGATTTTTTTTTTTATACACTTAAAGTTATATATAAATTTATTATTATTGTTTTCAGCTAAAATTTGACCTCGTCGTGTCTGCATTTTCGTTATTCGAGCTGCCAGATATGAAAAATCGTTTTGAGACTATTTTGAATTTGTGGAATAAAACAAACAAATACATTGTGCTCGTCGAATTGGGAACGAGAGCCGGATTTGAGTTGATCAACGAAGCCCGGGACCTTATTTTAAACATCTCCTCGAGTAACGACGGCGACTGTCATGTGTTTTCACCGGTAAAGTATAACTATACTATTGTTGCGCTCTTTCGCTATGTGATTTTAATAAAGTCAAATTGTTTCAGTGTCCTCACGAACACTCTTGCCCTAGATTCGAAACGGACAATACTCCTTGTAATTTTGAAATATCCTACTATACGCCAAATATAGCTCAACAGTCACAATTTAAACGAGCTCCGATTTCGTATATTATAGTGAAAAAAGGTTAGTTTTTTCCCCCATATTATTTACTTTTCAGTCATTCTGAATTGCATTTACAATGATTGTGTGTGTCTTACGTGTAGGACCTAGATTGGCCGACGATGAACAATGGCCTAGACTAGTCCGGCCGGTCAAAGTGCGTTCGAAACATTCTATCTGCCGTATGTGCACTAGCAGCGGCAAACTGCAAGAAATTATTTTCACCGCTTCAAAACACGGAAAGTGCGTAGTAAAACTAGTTCAATTTTCTTATTGTAATAATAATTATGATTGTTACCAACAGTGGTGTGCTAGTTTTCCATTTTTTCTCACTACAATTAACGTAGACAAATGTAAAAAAAATATTCAGAAATGCTTGAAAAACTCCCAAATTTTGTACAATATTTTTTCCAACTAGCTTCCTAAATGGTAAAAATGTTCTTTTTACATTAAAAAAGAGATAATACATATTTCCACTCCTACCTATGACTACACACCACTGATTATGGGTTTAAAACTCCTTTTAACTGATGAAAATACAGTTGGATTCATTAATTTGTTTAGAATTCCGTATCGGTGCGCAAGATCTAGTAAATGGGGAGATCGTCTGCCAGTAGTTATTAAAGAAGACGAATATGAAAAAGAAGACAAAGAAGAATTAGATGATTCTAAATAAAACTTATTATATTATGTTATTGTACAAATATTTGCTTAGTTAATATACCGTGTATTTTATCATTTTAAATCGAAGCTTGAGAAACTTGCGGTATTAAAACGGCATATGCAGCTTCTCTGTACTTGCTTAAAGTATACTCGTCTTCACCTATATGATAGCAAAATTTAAAAAAAACACGTTAGAAATATTTTTTGATAGTTTTTTTTATAAAATATATTACCGTTGTTTAGCAAGTCCGACACGACCTGTTTGTATGTTTGTCCTACAGAGTCGTTATCGATAGAATAGGATTTCACGTCTTCTTCGGTCACTTCTTTTGGATATTGTACAAACGAAACGTATGCTTTTTTTGATGGGTTATTCTCCCAAATATAGTGTTCCATATCGGCTTCTTGTTTTAACTTTTCCCATTCTTCAAAAGTCTAAAAAAAACAAAGAACAAAATAATAACTTCTTTATATTAAAACAAGTTATGATAATTTACATTGGATTCGTGATACAACGCGGTTAGAACGTAAATCGAGTAATCATAGTTTTGATGTCTCGTGGGACATCGATCGGTAACGATGGTAATTGTGTCTGACTCTTCGTCGTACCGTTCTCCGACCAACCTCAACATTTTATCTCTAGCGTGTTCATCTAAATTTAAAGAACTCAGACTGACCTGTTTAAAACATCATATACATCGATTGATTAATCATTTGTACAAGTCGTACAAACAAAGTTTGTTATTTACTTTGATTGTGACGATCCGAGCTTTTGGATCTTTAATAGTTGGCGACGAATGACAATAGTCCGTGGTCGTTACTGACACGGGAAAATGCGTATCGCAATCACTGTCGGTTTCCAAACCTTTCGGCCATTCAGTACAAAATTTCTTTATAGCGGCACAGTGTTTTTTAACGGCGGGAGGTGTGAGATGCAGAAAATTTGGGATTTTCATTAATTCGGCGTTGCCATATTTGCCAGGTGAAGCTCTTTTTTGATCGTAACCTTGCCGCAGTGCTAGGGGAACGGAAGCCGGATGAAAAGTCTTTGGTCCCGGCCACACACTCGACCAATCTTGATCAATTGGCATGCTCGTCTCTCTGGAACAAAAGCCAAAATTAACTGAACAGATTGTATTTTAATGGTTTAATGACATCGTTGGGTAATTAACAAATTATCCATAAATTAAGCACATATACTTTAGTACCTTAAAGGTCAATCCACATAATTACTTTTTCTCAGTAAACGACTTACAAATAAAACAAATATTACCAAAATAACTTACATCACTATCACTTTTCTACAGGGATTAATTTATTTTTGGACCGCCTTAGTTTAATTATATTATGAAAAAAATTAGACAGAATAAATTCTAATTATAACTTACCTAGGAGGCATTGTTATGGTTTTTATATATTTCTTTTTTTCCTGATGTTTAATAGCTTTTCTTTTCAAGTCCAACACTCTGAATTCTCCATCTAAACAAACAAAAAATATGATACATTACGAAACAAAATAATTTATACAAGTACACTCAAAGACATTGCTCCAGTAAGTTCTTAGCAGTTAAATTAAATTACCAAAAACAATTGGAGAAATCGAATTTGATGAAGCTATTCTAATTTTCACCAAAAAACTTCCCAGTTAAATACAATTGGTTAAAATTAAAATGTTTGAATATTGTGTCAAATGTGTAAGTAGTAAGTACAATACATTTTTAATTAATTTTTGTTTTTACATTTAAAATTAAGTGTCAAAACACTTCTTTAAAAACAATTTTTTTTTAATGTGAAAATTTGTCACAGAGTAACTAATTGCATTATGAAACGAGAAATGCAGTAAATGAAGTTTCTGTTTGTAACTTCAAAAGTAAGTCCAATCAAAAAATTAAAAAAGAAAAAGCTTCGTGGCTAAACTGCATTCTTTGTTCTATTGAATTCCATAACTAATTACATTGTGAATTGGTAAATAAATTACTAATTTTAAGTAATAAAGTTACTAATTTTTTGCTTTAATGGGAAGCCGAGAAGGCCATAGTTTTAGGTTTTTTTAAAGTTAAATTACTATTGAGTAAAAAAAATAACCCTCTTATTCAAGAGCTACATTTTTTTTCTTCAAAAATATTATATAGACAGCTAATTATTATGATATTTAGTGATTTACTAAAGGAAACTATCAGGAAAACCTTACACACTTTTGTCAATTAAATACGAATGAAAAGAAGACTGATAGAGGTAATTTAAGAAACATTGTTTATTTAACGTAATAGCTTTCACTGTGCACACTTAATTATCATTCTGTAGTGACTGATTATCCACGTTACAATAAACATATGGTTAACTAAGTCAAAAATAATCGTAAGACAAAAAAAAAATTAGGTGGGGCCCGAAAGGAGTATCCCTTCACTGTAGGTATTAAAGTGCTTTCTTGGCGTATCCGATCCGGGTGCGTTTAAACATACGAATCTAACGTTATTTTACGAATACATTGGAAAATATCTTCGGCGACCGTTTTTTGAATCGGAACGGACACAATTGTTAGGACGTACTTTGAAGTGTAATATTGTTACGTCAACTGACCTTTTATTGGAGCTTTTGTCGAACACCTAGCGACAGCGTAACAATTGACAGGCAACGGTCGGCGCATCAACGTACGACATTGATTGATCAGCATCGTGCTCATCGATAACGGACGGTAAAAATAACAGACAATATTAAAGTGGGTAAAAAAAAAATGCGATTATTATATAATTTAATAACAAATCAAACGACGTGAAAAAAAACAGCACACATCTTTTAACTTATTGCCGGTATAAAAAGTATTATTAAGTTTTAACACGAGTGTGATATTATAATAATGACGGACGACCGTAACGATGGTGTTATCACAGATTAAAATATGATATGAAAGTTGAAACCATTTTAATCTGTGGCAAATTGTATTCTGTTATCAGTGCCGTACAGATTTGATAACAAGACGTCGATAATATTAATAGGAAGATAAGACTATAGACTGCAGTAGAGTAGTCTGTACTTTTTTTTTTTTCTCACACGCCTCGAATATAAAATTATTTTTACCATTGTACTGTTGGAAACCGAATACGAGACGTGTAATGTAATATTTTTTAACATTGATAGTATAGTAATATACATGTCCGACGAAAACGCATTGACGACGCGTCGCAATTTAATTATTATTATTATATTTTAGTCTCCCGAGTCTGGACGCTGTGATAAGAGAAAAAAACAAAACCAATCGTTGTTTAATATTACACGTTTATTGTTAAAATTATTTGTATACACTTTTTCGATGGTACAACAAAAATTGAAAACATAACATACATCGCCCAACACCATGATAGTAGTAATAAGAAAATAACAACAACAACAACAAGAGTTACGTTTGTGTGTACAGGGGAAAAAAACAGTATCGCAAACACAACTGGGCACATGGTAATTGTTTCTTCATTGTGATTTTAAAAGCAGAGAAACCTTTAGTCGTTTCTCGACGATAACACTAACGCATCGTGTTAAGTATTACTTCAATTGATCGATCATGTCTGTGAATCAACCCATACAGAACGGTACAGGTATAGAACTTTTTACAATATTAATTGGCGGCAAGACTCCGCAACGCTTACAACCTCTGTAAATATCTGCAACAAACAAAAAAAAACTCATATTAATATTTTCAGAGTCCACGTTCGATGAGACCATGTCGATAAAGCAACCCCAGTTGGAAACAGACCAAACAATGTCGACCACCAAAGCTGTACTAATATTATTAGTTATATTTTTGTTGTCGGTGTTCATCATGGTATACCTGTATTACAGTTTTCCGAAATTGCAAGAGTAAGTTTTCTACAGACAGATAATAACCGTAAGACTGACGATGATTTTTTTTTTTTAGAGATGAAATAAAGTACCTAAAAATACCGTTTACCATCGAAGATGCCAAGAATTTGGGCAAAGTCTTGGAACACTATAAAGAAACGTACTACGCCCAAGTGTTCATGTCAATATTCTTCTGTTATATATTGTATCCTTTTTTTTTTTTTTGACTGGCACAATGCACGCTATATATGACTAGACCATTGCTTTAAGACAGTTGTTTTACAAACAATAATATATATTGTTGTCATTTCACCTTAACTCATGTTGAATTTCAGTTTACAAACGTTTGCCATACCAGGTTCGATATCGCTTTCAATCCTGTGCGGATTCTTGTATCCGTTTATGTTGGCGTTGGGCATAATATGTTTCTGTTCATCGATGGGCGCCAGCTTTTGCTACCTGCTGTCCATGACAATCGGCAGACGATTAGCTTATCGATATTTCCCGGACCGAATAAAATCCTACGCTCTATTGGTGAGTATAGCGGCCAGTGTATACTTGAAACAATGATGAGCCAATTGTTATTTTTTTTAATTTTTACAGGTAAAAAAACATAATCATAACATGTTCAGCTATATCATGTTTTTACGTATTACGCCATTTTTGCCCAACTGGTTTATAAACGTTTGCGCACCTTTGGTTGACGTACCGCTGATACCTTTTTGGGCAGGAACGTTTTTTGGTGAGTATTTTTTCATTCTTAGTATTTTCGTCAAAAGTAATTTTTCATTTATTTCAGGAGTTGCTGTGCCATCCGTGTTGGCCGTACAAGCCGGACAAACGTTACACGAGCTGACGTCTACGACCAGTTCGTGGTCATGGTCTTCCGTTCTACTGCTGGCCACTTTTGCCACGCTGTCTTTACTGCCTGTGCTGTTTAAGTCGAAACTCAGAGATAAATTTGATTGAAAAAGCCCTGTTGATTGCCATAGCGAAGAACATTCCGTTATTATAGTTTAGAATCTCTTTCATTTATTTCATGCAACCACTTCTCTATGTCATCATCAAGTCGCAACAACATGCGTATTACCATTTTACCCATCTATTTATTTACACGTATTTATCTCTTAGATTAAACTTACTTTTTTTTTTTTAATAAACGAAAATTGTTATGTTATTTGTGTCCTGAGAATTTTTCATATATACTCAACAACCACATCGGCGTTTGAGCATGGGTATTCAGCAGAGTTGTACTAAAATGATGCATGTCTACTTTATCGGCTTTTATGTTTTCTTCTAGAGCTTTCAGTGAAGCTTCGTGACACACCGCAATGATCTACAAAACGTAAAAAATTAACAATTATTAAACTTGTAGTGAAATATTGTTGTATCGGTAATAAAGTTTGGTTTATACTTCAGCGCCAGAAAAATTTTCTGTGAGTTCGACGAGTTTGTCGATATTTACATCAGGCGACGTGGGCATCTTGGAAAGTTTCATTTTTAGTATTTCACACCGAGTAATGGCGTTCGGCAACGGGACATACACCTTTCGATCCAATCTACCCGGTCTTAAAAGTGCCTAAAAATGATTAGACGACGGTTTATTGAATGCGAAACGCAATACTACAGTAAACATATATTGCTTACAGAATCGATGAGATCTGGTCTGTTGGTCGCCGCTAAAATGGTAACGTTACCCAAGGGTTGAACTCCATCTAGCTCGGTTAGCAGCTGTGCTAACACTCTAGAATGGACTCCGCCGGAACTATTATCGCCCGCACCTCTCTCACCGGCCAGGCCATCTAGTTCGTCAAAGAACACTACACAGGGAGCCACGTTCCTGGCACGCAAAAACGTCTCTCTAACAGCACGCTCAGACTCGCCCACGTATTTATTAAAAAGTTCCGGTCCTTTGACAGATATAAAATTGAAATGACTTTCCGTCGCTACAGCCTTGGCAATCATCGTTTTCGAACAACCGGGCGGCCCGTACAACAGTACTCCCCGCGGTGGCGTGATGCCCATTCTCTTGAAAGCCTCCGGATATTTAAGTGGCCACTCGACCACTTGTTTGAGTTTGAGTTTAATATCGTCCTGCCCTCCAATGTCGGTCCATTTGACCTAAAGCGATAAACCATTATAAATAACATTAGAACGAAATACTAAAAACATAATAGTCGTATTGTTTTATACATACATTTGGCACTTGAACTAGGACTTCTTTGATGGCCGACGGTTTCACTTGATTAACAGCTACACCGAGATGTTTACAAGTGACATATTCTTCATTATTCACTGCGGCTTCAGTGACTGAACGATTGACTACGGCTAATAAATCGGCTCCTACGAACCCTTGAGCTTTGTACGCAATGTCTACAACATCCGATTCGGTGACTTTGTGTTTGACATGAGCCAACTGTCGAGATAAAATATCTTTACGTTGCACTTCATTAGGAACTGGTACATCGATCTCGTAATCGAATCTAAAACAACAATTTTTCTCAATTGCAACTGATTATTTATAACGCTACTTGGATTGTTTCAACGCACCTTCCTGGTCTTCGCAGATTGCTGTCGACCAAATCTAAAGTACTGGTAGTGCCCAATACCGCAACTCCTTCGTGTTTTGCCATTTTAAGTAAATCAAACAGTGATTGCAACGTGTTGATGATTCTTCGCTCCAAATCTGTGGGATTACTCGACTGACTAAACGTCTCTAGTTTGTCAATAACAATCACACTAGGAGAATTCATAAGCGCTTCTTCGAAACATTGTTTTAACCTCGCTTCAGATTGGCCATATACTTTACTTAAAATTTCCCAACTTTTCACCTCTACTATGTGCCTATCCAACGAACACGCTATTGTATTGGCCAACAACGTCTTTCCAGTTCCAGATATACCGTGTAGGAGAACGCCACAATGATCTAAAACAATGAATTATTTTAAAACATTTTTTTTAGTTAATTCATAAGCAGGTTACTTAATTTATTTACATCAATAACAATATTTTTGAAAAATGTATTGGTAAATTAATATATTATAAAAAAAATTATTCACTCACTTCGATGACAATTAGTCTTTTGGATAATTGTCATTATTTTTTCGTACAAGTTATTTATGCCACCAATATCGGATATAGGATAAATAGTTTTACTTTTGATGTTATCGCCTTTAATACTCCAAGTTGTAGACGATGAAATATGATAGAAGCTATCATTCAAATTTATATTTTCCATTTGTTTCTCAATGCCACCACCATTAGGAAACGTCTGAACTTTGGATATTTTTAAAGAAAGACTGCGTCCATAGAAATCGAAACACAGAAAATCCGACCGTTTGATAGTCCTTCCTTCGTACTTGTTGGATGCGTACAGCAACAGTTGTTTTATAAACTCGCCGTCTGGCAACTGGTCGTCTTGAGTCAAAACAATCTCAATGTGTTGGGCCTCGCTCGGTGGAACTGTAAAGCGCTCGACAGACACGTGTTCTTGTTTTTCGAATTCACTGATTAACACTACAGAGGATGTAAACGGAATATAAAACATAATATATTCAAATGGTTTTACCCTAACAGACGTAGTTACCTTCTTGAGAGAAAAACACTTTCGACAACGACAGTTCGTCAGAAGACCATATATTTTTAACAAACGTCTTGGCTCCGCACCTGACAATCACCGGCTCTCCTAGAATGAAACCGCACAGCTGTATGGCGGCTATTGGTACAACTACGCTGTCGTTGCCCACCAAGAATTCATCGTCTGTTCAACAGTTTAACGACAACCGATATGTTACAGATTGTTAAACAGAAATGAACATAATTGTTTATTGATTTAGTTAACCGTCCTATTACCTTTTGCGTGCTGCTTGGCGAATGAATACAGACGGTTACGTTGTACGTACGCATGTGGCCAGTTTTCTGCGGCCGGCGGACAATGATCAGAGAAATGGCCCTCCAAATCCGTAAAGTATAAAGTCGATTGGCAAACGTCGCAAGTGCGATATTTGAAGGCCGGTCCCGTCGATCGTCTGGGCTTGGCCATATTATCTAGCCGACAAAACGGGCAGTAAAATAATACCTAAGCTATTTTAATGAAAATCCCTGTAACTATATCCATGTGTACAACGAGGTGACAATAAAAATAATAACGGCGCGCCGCGAAAATAATAATTTTAATATTTTTTTTACAAACGGTACGATTTTTAAATTACTGATTATTGTAAAACTGATAACAGATCGACAGCAACAACGATGCCGTGGTTTTACGACCATAACCTTAAAAGACCTCCTTGGCGTGTTTGGGGCAGTTCTTCCAAAAAATGATAAGAGATAAGAGTTCTTCCAAAAGATAACACAATTTTTATTTTATCAGCGTGACCAGCCCCGAAACACCAAAATATATATTCACATTTATCAGTCTGCCAATTCTATCAGAAAAAAAGTAACTAAAATATAACTAACGTTTATCAGAGTTAACTGTTATCTCTAGAACCGAACGGCAATATGCGAACAATCGCAATAGTCAAAATACACAAAACTACATGTCGTGTCTTGTAAACACACAAATATAAATTGGTTAAAATGGAACAGAATATCTTTTTCGGGTTACTTCGGTCCATTACGGCCGTTTATTCCGTTATGCGGAAACTTCACCCGTCCATTGGGGCCTTCATAATCAACGCAGCAGACCGTGTGTCTTGGTCAGACTTGCAACATTGATTAAGACCTTTGGCAGCGGGATCTTCCTTATTGGACCAAAAATCGGCAGCACACTCGGGTACTACTCTATTCAGAAACCCTATTAATTTTTTCGCTTTTAAGCGTAAAAATACCACAAATTTGTAATTTTTTTGAGAAAAAACTCTCTTACGGTGGGAGCCTAGACTAACCTCAAGGTCCAGCTAAGCTAACTTCGTTAGAATTAAGGGGGTGCAGAAAATAAAAAAATAAATAATATATTATTTAAATTTCCTTAGGTCCTGAAAATACCGACTGCGCCAAATGTTGAAATCGTGATAGAAAAAAAGGGTAATTGTTGTGAAAATAAAATATATGCCGGGTTTAAGTATCACGGTTGCTCTTTATTATTTACACAAAAGGTTAAAAACAAGGTATATCCATAAAAATGTCCGTGTATCCATCTACAATGGAAGTGTCCGGTTAAGCGGCGAGCGCGGCATGTCGGACGAGAAGAGAGGAAAGCGGGCTCGGGTGTGATTAGTACTCGGCCACCACCGGGTCGCGATGCGACCGCGTCAACGTCATAGCAAGTGGCATGCACAAAGTGCACGGACAGGTGTTCCTTGGCCTTAAGCGGTCTCAAGAAGAAGTGACCTGACAGAAGTTGCGACCGAGGAAGTCTTCTCTCTCGGCTCGTAGGCGATTCCAGAGGGCCAGCAGGAGCAGATCCATCGCCGATGCTTGGCTTCATCTCGAGCCTGAAGCTGTCTGACGCCAAACGGTACCGCTGTAAAAGCTAAAAAACTCCTCAATAGATAATTTAACACAATTGGTTAACGTCATAGCGAATGCCATGCACTTAGTGCATGGGACAGGTGTTCCTTGGCTTCAGTGGTTCACCCCGAAGGGATCCCCTACGACTGCGGCCCGCCTAGTAGCACTGGGGGACAGATTCTCGAATGTTTGTCGCTTTCGACGAAGATTTTGTCACCATATTAAACCAATGGGGACAAAATCTTGTCTAATTCGATAAACATTCGAGAATCGGCGCCTCGGTGCTAATTGCGGGCCGCAGAAGGTGTGTCTCAAGAAGAAGTGACCTGTCAGAAGGCCACATTACGTTGGGCTCGACGTCGCTTTAGTCGCCTTTTACGACAGGCGCGAGAACCTTGGAAGTATTCTTTCTCCCCTGTCCACAGGGATAAAATGAGGGCGTGAGGGAATGAGGGCGCGAGGGAGTGAGGGCGTTCAGCGGAGGTTGGACCGCTCTTGGAGACCAGGGAGCCGATTGTAGAATTGTAGCCGATTGGAGAACAGGGACTATAGTAATCAAAAGTTACCTGGCACCTTCGAGTACATCGTTGTACACGTTGCCACCAAACGGCGTTGGAATTAGTTTTAAAGTTGTTTTCTTTTTGTCCACCATTTTGTCAAACTCCCGCAATTCGTCCGGTCTCATGCGGTGAAGAATAGGCTTAAATATTATCCTCGCCGTTTCTGTGGCCTCGTTTTCCGGGAATGCTAATATCGCAGACAGTAGGTTGACAAACTTGGAGTATTGACCAGGTTCGCGGACCTGCTGGGCTACTTCCAGACAGATCCCGAACATCTCCCACTGTTCCTTCAACATTTCCGTCTTGGTCATTTCTTTCCAGACCTGTTCCTTCTGTCACTCCTATTCCTACCGCACCTCCTTCTGTCGCTCCTCTTCCTGTCGCACCTCCTCCTGCCGCTTCTCTTCCTCGTCTCCTTTTGCATAATACATGTATGAGTAGTACGCCAGTACAACTAAGCCCAGAGGGGCAGCAAACCACAGAGGTTTAAACATTCTGTAACAATAATTAACAATAATTGCTAAAAAAAGTAACAATAACTGTTGTCCAGCGTTGACTAGCAACCAAAGTGGTTTGTAGAATAGTATAGACTATACGACTCTAATAGTATAGACTGGCTCTATACTATAGAGCCAGTGTATAGATTTAATAAGTCGACGCTCAGCTGAGAAATACATATACATCAAAAGGCAAGCCATATGTTACCAACAGGTCTCCATAAAAATTAAAAAAAAAAAGTATTAATCCGTTAAAATTGAATCCATTCCAAATGGAAAATAATAATTATAATTAGCAATAAATACATATCATTCCTTTGTCTTTTTAGCTATGATATATTATATATTTTAATTTGAACTTATTTTTTTAAAAAAACTAGTTCGTGTCGCGGGACACACGGTTGGAACGAAATCCCTTTCGTATGTAGGTTTTGTAGAAAATTTGTTCTGAAAACTATATGTGGTGCGGTCGAGCGTGAACGGTTCCCAGGAGTGAGTGGTACCGGAATCAAATCCGGCTCCCCTCTTAACACTTTTTGCGTTTTTTTTAAACTTTTATTTTTAAGTTTTTATTTGACTTAACTTTAAACCTTCGATCTCCTACTAGACTGTAGCCTGCAAATCTAGGATATTTTTAGTTTAATGGAACGAGAAGTGATGGTACCTGGAAAGCGAGTGGCAAAAATATTGGTGACGTCTCGTCGTCTGTTATTTGAAAACAACATATTTGTTATGAGGTTGGCAAAAGACTTTAGGCTAAGTATGTCTGTTAAAGTGTTATTTTGCGCTCTTGTGCGTCCGATACTGAAGTATGGTTCTGTTGTCTGGGAACCCCATACAGCGGGTGATTTGAGGCAATTAGAGAGAGTCCAGCGTAAGTTTTTGCGCTTTGCTAGTTACCCACTTAAAATTCCTTGTCCGCCGCACGATTATAGCCCTGTACGCAGAACAGCCATTTTTCGTCGGGTCGCGGCACGCTCTCTCGGCGAACGAAGCATAGTTTATTAGTTTGATATAAAACTAATAAGTTAATTTTTTGTTCATACTGCTTGTACATAATATGTTTTATAAATTATACTCAATTTTAATAACCTATGTATATGTATATTAGCATGTTTTTTTAATGTTTGATTCCACAGTAATGTCATTAATGTGTCACGTCAGTACTGCTTTATTATTCTACCAACATTTGTATTTATAACACGCCAGCACTGTGCCATTACTGCGCCATTATTGTAGCAATATAGCACTTACTTATATGTATATTAAACATCTGGTAAAAATTTGGTAATGAAGACTTATTTTTTCTAGAAGTTGTAAGTATACATTTTTTTTTAAATTCCGTTTTTTAAAACTAGCAACTACGTATAACATCTTTTTATTCAAGTTCTTACAACTTCAAGTAAAAATAAGTCTATTATAAAACGTTTACCAGATGTTCTGTATACATAGAAGTAAGTGTTGTACAAATTTCAGAATATTTTGTTCAAGTCCTAAAAATGTATAGGCTCTTAAATATTACACTTTTTAGTAAAATACCAATCATTGAAGTTACTTATACATTAAAAAAAAAAAATATATATATATATATATATATAAATAAATAAAAAGTGTGATTACAGGTGTGTCAGAATTAAACAAACATTTTTTTTTAATTCGACTTCAAGTCGGCATACAAATTTAATAAAATGTATATAAATTTAATTTTGTTTTTCAATTTTTAGCTATTGAAGAGGGCGTCGCACCGATGATTTTCAGTAGTAAAAACATGTTTAAGCAGACTAAAAATAACTCGCCTAATTTTGGTTTTAGAGTAAAAGCACCCATTGCAAAATTAAAAGAAAACAATATTCCGGAGGGCAAGACGGTTGGTTTTTTTTTTTTAATTAATTTTTTTAAAAGTTACAGTTATTTAAAAATTTTAAAATAGTCGTTATTTCTAAACTATGTATTGAGCGTTATAATTAGAATAATGAAAAAAACGCACCGTCTTGACCTCCGAAATATTGTTCTCTTTTAATTTTATAATAGGTGCTTTTACTCTAAAATCAAAATTAAGCGAGTTATTTTCAGTCTGCTTAAACATGTAGAGATAAAAAAACATTTTTAAATCGCTTTCAAGGATGCTGTGATAGTCCAAAAAATAGACTACCAAAATAGAGTCCTAGTTATTGAACTAATAATTACACATTACAGTTTAACCTTTAAATTAAGATTTTGTAAAAAATTGCCTATACTTTACTCCTTAAAAATGGACGGTGCGACGTTCTCTTAAAAATTTGAAAATTTTTTTATAAGGAAATTACGAAAAAGAACACTGCTTTGATTTAGAAAAAAAATCAAAACAACCTCTTAAGAATGCAAAAAGGTGTCTAGAAATTAGTCAACAGCACCGTTTTATTCCGCAAAATGAAACTACACTGAAATTTATGATTTGTATCCAAGTCACCAGAATTAAAGCGATTCAAAATAATAATGTAAATAATTTTTTACTAGGAGTACTTTAGTGGCCGTTGGCGATATTGCTCGTTGGGCAATTATATTATCTTTAATCGTGAACTACAATTTGCAATAAAGATAAGAACCTAACTAAAGGCAATGTTTTTGATATTAAAATACGAAATTTCTCTTGGCGGGCTTTTGGTAAAATCGATGTTGGTACTATCTGTAGTATTACAGATTTTATAGGTTATGTAACATTTGGACTGTTTTCATATTCCACTGTGTACCACCAACTACCTGTTAAATGAACCTATATGACGTATATGATGTCTTATGCCAATACAGACCCCACCTTTCTCGTTTAAATCATATCTAATTATATTCAGTAATATCATTATTAATTGTGCATTTTGTAATCTTGTCTGTTGTAAATTATTTGCTCGTCGTTTTATAATACTTTTCATTTTTTCTTTATATCTTTAGCATTTTACATCTTTGTTTCTGAATATTATATTTTACACCGTCTGTATACCGTATACCTGTTATTTTATTCGTTAATCGTACCAAAAGCGCTTAGCCCGTATAATCGTAATAAATAAATAAATATATTAGTGTATATTTATAGTTGTATATTTGATTAAAGGCGGGCTGCTAGAGGGGAAGCAAATAGTGAACAACAATCCCCCCCCTCTAGTTTTTGCAGGGAACTTAGATATAAAAAAAAAAAGAAAAGGTTAGGTTTGGTTCGGTTTTTCGTCGGCAACGAAGTCGATATTCCGGAACATGTCTTCCTGCTTAATGACGCGCTCTACAAAATCCGCCCACATTTCGGCTGTTACCCGCTTCACGCCTTTGACTAATAATCGCCGCACGTCTTCTACTTTGAAGGTGGTGTTGTGCATTCGGATGTAATGTTTAACCGGCGACCACGCGAGGTCGATTGGGTTTAGCTTGTAGTGGTACGGAGGCAATCGCAACACGAGTTTATCATTTGCTTTCGCCAACTCGTCTATGACATAATATGCATCGTCGTCGTATCGCGGTTTTAAAAGGTCGACCCGTTCTAACAGCTGCGCTTTGACAATCGATCGGCCTACGATCTCGCCTTTACTTCCCAACCAATTGGTTATGTCTTTTTTTTTCCAAGACTTACCGGGAAAACGTTCTTTCTTTATCGAATGATAGGAGGCGTTGTCCATGACGATGATGGCATTTTCTTTGAGCAACGGTAGAATTCTGACGAACCATTCATAGAACGTGTCGCCGTTCATTTCGTGATAATTTCCAGCAGAATTTCTTTCCAATTCGGAGCACAGAAGCCCTCCGGCAACAAAGCCGTCAGACGATCCAATGTGTAACACAATGAGTCGTTTGCTTTTCCACGATGGTTCTTCTTGACCGGTGGCGAGCCCATTGAGGAATGCATCGACGGCGGCCTGGTCGATCATTTCACGGGTATCGACCCACGTCTCGTCTAAATAGTATATCGGTCTACCTTGTTGTCGGTAATGCCTTATGTTTTCCAAATATCTTCGCCGCCATGATACGATGTCATCTCTTTCGAGAAGTGCGCTACTCCAGAACGGTCTTGCGTCCACAAAATTCATACTTTTCAATAAGCTGCCCGCGTAAAAACCTATACAATATATTTTTATAATTACTACCAAATGTTGTAATAAATCTACAAGGATTAAAAAAAGTTTACTAAATTAAACACTTGACAGTTGAACCTAGAGATGAGTACTTCGTGAGTGGGTACTCAGCTGTTTCAAAAAGTTGACTCATTTAAAGTTTTAAGTGAACTGAACGATTCGATTCAGTGTGGTCAGTCAAGGTCAGTGACTCGGTAAAAATTTAATAATTCAGTGCTACCAACTCTCAAATTCTGATCATCAATCAATGAGTTGATAACTCTGAAATTGGTTAACGACGAATATTCTATGCTAAAGAATCTTCAATGTTAATTATTTATACATTACTCGATACTCATTATATATTTGTTTTATTTAATAATTGACAATATATTACAAGTACAAGAGTCAGCGTGAAAAGTCTTTCAGTTATTAGTTTTTTTAAAGTTATGTAACAGAACTTGTATTGGTAATTTTCAAAAGTTAGGTATTACTACTTAATCTGCAAAGACGTTTACATTAGTAGTTCGAGCAGACAATTATTGTGTGGCTTGAGAGGCCAATGAATCTATGGAATTTTGGAATGAATAAAATTATATGGAGTCGACAGTCGTTGCTGAGTAACGATTTTCAGAAAAAATGACCACTAGCAGACTATATGAGTGAGTCGACTCGTTGAATCAAGTGAATCAATTCATCAAGAAGAGTTGAAATTCCCATCTCTACCATTAACACGCCCTATTACCTAGTTTCCTAACAGGTCTATGATAAATTATACAATAGCAAGTTGACCAAATACTATGAATTATTGTTATTGTCAATTTAACACAAGAATTTAAAGTTTTAATAACAGTCATATAATGGTTTTTCAAAGATGTAGGTATTTTGAATTTAGGCTTATCAAATATCAATTATAATCAAACGGTATATTGTATCACGATATAATATGGCTGCACTGATTATTATTCCCATCAATGATGAGAAAGGGTGATGGGAGGGGGAGAAGTATTATCATTATTAGTATTAGATAATAGTGTTTACACTTTACGGCCTGATAAAATACAAATTAAGAAAAACGTGCTTTTTAGCGTAAACATGTCAATCACGTCTCTCACCTAATATTTCGTAGAGTACATATTATTTTATTATTTATTTATGAAAACATCGAAGGAGATTAATATCATGTGACAAGAAACGTAGATCTTATTGTGTGCGAATTCGTCTTGGAAGTGTTAAAAGAGAATACCTATTATACATAGTTGTTGACAAATTACCAAGTACTTCAGCAATTGTTATTTTCAACATGGGTAAAAATAAAAAAAAAGGTTCTCGCGTAGAAAAAGCTGCTATTAAAAAAGAAAAAAAGATCGCACAGCGTATAAAAAAAGACATTGCGAAAATTGGAGAAGTGAGTTAAAAATATCAATGAAATTATTTTGGAAATCATAATATTGTATATCTAAGTCTAATTATCTTTACGTAATATGTACCAACGTTAACTGTTTTCATATCCAAAATTGGTATTATCACTTTTGAAAATGCCTAAAACTTTTGTATTATTGACAATAGTGAAAAATAACTATTTTTGTGTTAAATGTATATTGCTTAACAAATTTCAAAATTTTTGGTTTCAGCCTGAAGTGTCTGCAATTATAGCTCATATCGAAGCTAAAAATAAAGCAAAAAACAAAGTTACAGAAACCAAAATCGATCCTCCGTCTCGTCGTTCTAATTTTACATTTGTCACACATCCCGACAAAGATGAAATAATTCTTTTTGGCGGAGAATTTCACAATGGGAAAAATGTTTGTATAGTATTATGATTACGCAACTGAAACCAATATCTTATTGCCAATAAGCAGTCAATAAATGTAGTTAATTGAAAATCTTGCTTCGACTTTAAATAAACATTTAGCAAAATATTATATTTTACCTAAATGTTGATATACTATTTTTAGACGGTAATGTATAACGATTTAATTGTCTACAACATCAGTCATAATACTTGGACGTTAGTAGACGCTCCAGGAGCACCGCCGTCTAGATCATCTCACGCTTGTGTTACTGTTGCGGCAGACAATGGACAGCTATGGATGTTTGGCGGCGAGTTTGCCAGTCCGTCCGAATATCAATTTTTTCATTATAACGACTTATGGGTTTTTGGCCTGAAAAACCGTACTTGGACCAAAATAACGTAACAGTTCAATTGCGTTTACAGTCGTAAAAATTAAGTCATGCTTACAACTTTTTTTTAAAACTGTTTAGTGCTGAAGGAGGACCTTGTGCTCGCAGCGGACATAGAATGATCCTCAGTAAACGTCATTTAATTGTGTTTGGCGGTTTTCAGGACAACACTCGCACTTATCAGTATTTTAATGATATATACGCTTTTAGTCTGGCGGATTACAAATGGAAAACTATTAAAACTACTGGTAAAAAAAAATTAAACAAGATATTGTTTGTATAAAATAATTAATTTCCAAACGACATATCGTAGGACAAGGACCATCGCCCAGGTCCGGTTGTCAAATGTTTGCAATGGATGATGGCCGAATTTTAGTGTACGGCGGTTATTACAAGGAGAAAATAAAAAAGGAAGATAAAGGAACAATTTTGATCGATATGTTTATACTGACACCCGAAAGCAAGTATAGTTAATTATAATTTAATTTACGTATTAAGCATTTTCGATCGATTGAAAAAAAAAAAAAGGCCTATAGCAATATTAAGTGTATGATTCTGCACGACAATTATTATTAGTAAATTATAAATTATTTATTCTACAGAAGGCGATATGGATTATTCAAAATGTCGTTGGTCAAAAGTGAAACAAGGTGGTGTCCTACCAACTGCTCGCTGTAGTTTATCCGGAACTGCTGTCACTGGACACAATAAAGGTTATTTGTTTGGCGGGGTCTACGACGAAGAAGAAGAGGATGATGATTTGAAGAGTACATTCTTTGACGATTTGTACATGTTAGACATGGAACAGACCGTGCCTACGTGGAGATCGAGTATGAAAAAATTTCAATCTCTATTTTTTTACATTAACGAAACCAAGAGAACTAAAATAATTTTGTTCTCCCATAAATTGCCAACTGTAGTATGCTATTACTACGTTTATATTAAATTCACGTTATGTATATTTTATAGTTAAAATTAAACAAGACATGGAAAAATCTCAAGTGGATTTCAGTTCCCCATCGCCAAGATCGCATAGTGGCTTGGCTTTCAAACATAATACTCTGTTCGTTTACGGTGGAATAGTTGAAAAGGGTTCGAAAACCTTAACACTCAGCGATTTTTATTCATTAGGTATGTATGATGGATAATGTATTCTAAAAATAAAACCTGTTAAACTAACATAAGTCGAATAGCCGTTAGGTTGAAAAAATATAAATAAACATTAATATTACAATCCAATTCTATAATAATATTATATATATAATTGTGTCCATTTTTATTTGGAATTATTTTATACCATTATTGTAATTTTCAATTAAATTACAGACACCAAAAAGTTGAATAATTGGAATATTCTACGCAGTGATGATTTATTAAAAACGGTGACTTCGGATACCAGTTCAGACGATGATATGTCCACCGACGAATCTAGTTCAGAATCTTCAGAATCCGACGAGTCTTCAGAAGACGAGTCAGACGGACAAATGGATACAGACTGATAATTATTATTGTTAAATTAGGTTACCTATTTTATTGTTAATAATATTGATAATTGATTAAATGACAACTTGTTAGAATTTATATGAAGATTATGACCTGTTACAAATCATAGCTATTGTGGATAATTCGGATTGAGTAGTCAATCAAACGAGAGTCACACATGTCACAGTTCTCGATATAATAAATATAAAATTTAATTTATTTGATTTATTTTTCTCTAAAAATTTGTACTAAAAACTATTATTTATAGTAAAAGTCTAATATAATTTTTATTCAAAAATAAATTACTTAACAACAACAAACACTACATAACTTACAAAAATAAAATATGTAAATGTTAGTAACTTTTAACTATAAAAAAAAAAATACCTTGAATAATGAATTGCTTTCATGACATAGAAAACAGAATTTAGGTAACGACATAATTATCAATCAATATTATGCAATTCATTATTTACTAAATTACATTTTATAGAAAAAAGAACAAAACATAAAAAATTAACTAACAATAAAAAAAAAAGTGGGTATACCGAATTTTTAAAAAATAATAATATTTTGTTAATACATCAAATTATAAAACTAAATGTTAAAATTAAAAAACAACAATTCTCGATTTAGTTACCATATGGATATATTATAGTAGTTGTTAGACCTGTACTACGTTAAACGTATTCGCTATTATGATTAAATTTAGAATTCATTAATTTGTTTATACATTGCAATATGTGGTTGGGTAAAACAATTTCCTTTAACAGCAGTACTATTCATACATGGTTTTCTGGTATTTCAACTAACGATGTTTCCATTTGAAAATCGCTAGTGTTTAACGACAATGAACTGATTGTCAATGTCGACGGAGGAACTGTAGTGCACGATCTCCAATGAGTGAACGGATAAAACGAACTCATATTTGATGGCGAGTAAACTTCCTGTGTGTTCTTAGAACTCTTATTTGGAACGGACAACAAAGTTCTTATCATATAATCTTCCTAAATTTATTATTAAAATATAACATTAAATTTTTTTAATATATCTATAAATCTTAATGTTATAGATAAAAACGACGCCACTTACCAAGGGTTTGCCTCCAGACGATATCTCCAAAGTGGGTAAAAATCTATAATAACACTGTGTCCAAACACTGAGGCACGATACTTCAGAAGCCACTTTAAGCGTCCCGTCATCTGTAGAATTGTAAAGAGGATTATGAAATTGAACCAAATCACGATCCAAAAATTGTTCTTCCCATGCCCATATCGAACGTAGCATGAACGGGCTCGATCCGTCCTGAAATGTAATTTTGTTAGCCACATTTGGGTTTTTAATTTTTTTTTTTTTTTGTATACACACAGATGTTGCATAATGACGATCGTGTTCGTTATCGAATAAAAATGTGTCAAATACAGAAACGTGTGATGTATCCCATAGAGTGATTAAATAAGTGTCGGTGAATTCAAATTTGGAAGGAAATTGTTGTGTTAGCTGCCACACACAGTCCAAAAACAGGAGCAACAAGGGCGACTGAAAAATAGAATGACATATTAATTTTGAAAAATTACTTTTTAACCGTTTACAATATATTTGATACATATAATAAATATAATACATCTGTCGACAATTTGGGTGCCACGTAAAGCCGTATAGAACCGTATCGATGGTAAATATCTTTGAGACGACTTCAAAAAAAATTAAACTTGTCTAACTTGATCATACAGATTTGTGTGAAAATACAGGCGTTTCATGACTCAGGGTACCAGGGTCCAAGGAAAAGCAGCAACTCATAGGTGGTGGGCTCTTTGTCGCAATAATGCTGGATGTTGTGTATGAATATTCGCCATACGATGGTTGCTAGGACCCTGGTACACAAAATTTGCAATCTGTCAAATAACAGCTCCTCAACGACAACACCACGGTTTACTACTTTACAGGATTATTGTACAGAAATATGTTATCAGTCAAATCGCTTGTAGGAAAAATTTGTAATTATGATAATTCAATTATTACTATAGGTACACTGTCTGTATAATAATATTGTCATTCCAGGTGTACAATGTAATAAGTAGGTATTCAGTAAATGAAATAAATACAATAGAATATTAGATTAAATAGGTAGTAACAAAAAAAAAAAAGTCGTTTGATAATGGAACTTGCGAAATAAAATTTAACTCATTTCATCAACTTTAAAGCGTCAATTAAGTGTGTATTAAGTTGGGCTTATTATTTTATTTCCATGTGTAATCTCTATTAAAACTGTAGTTAGATGTTAAAACACATATAATAGCCATTGTGAACAGGTACTACCTCGGATCGCAATTTTTTTTTTTTTGACCAAGCCCAGCAAATATATTTGGTAATTGGTGTAATATATTATAATTATAACACACCTACACAAAATAGGTAGGTGTTATGCAAACCCACAAAAAAACTTGTATGGTCGGGCTAAAATCTGATTTGGTTTCAAAAAGTAGATGTTATATAGGTAATTTTTGAGTATACATACACCAAATGAACCACCCAAATCTTTTGAGTAAATATTAACATCATTTTCCGGGCTCAATAGAAAAGTATATTATTAGTATTTCCTAAGTGTAATACTATAATATATATATATAATAATATTAATATAATGACGCGCCTATTGTACACCCAACAATGTATTATAATAGTATGTCAACAACGATTGTTATTTTCTGTTAGTTACCGCGATTGAACACTAGATTTCTCTACAAGTATCACTTAGGGAGGGAGTGGTTGCAATCATATATTTTATTTTGGAATTTTACAGTAGAAAGATAAAGATTGCACACAGTGCATTTTACCTATATTATGTACACATAAAATCGTATAGTTATCTATTTTACATACCAATTCGCTAAACTCCATACACGGCCGTCAGTCGTCAGCCGATAGGATTTCTACGACTAACAATAATAATTGAATTGTCAAGAATTTCACAAGTCGGTGGCTACGTGTCGGAAATAGTTTATTTTCACAATCGATAAAGATAAGGTGAGTAAAAAAAAAAAAAAACCCTATCTCAATTGCATTCCTCTTCAAATGCGCAAAAATACACCCCAAAAAAAAAAAAATCTATTGTATTTAACAACTTGAATATACATGGCTCGCTATAACTAGATGCATAGCAATATTGCTTTAATTGTCAAAATTATTGTATCAACTTCGTTTGAGGTATATACTCTATCACTAGTATGAGTACCTTTGAAAAAACTAGACAAAAAATCGTATGAACCTAATCCCCAAGGATGAAAATTTCACCCGTGATCCATCTCTGCGACACTTCATTCCCATTCCGTCAAAGAGGACACGTGCAGCTGTAGTTTTAGATGTGAAAATATAGCTTTTTTTTTTTTTAACTGTCCTACTTTTCAATGACATGCACACGGTGGCATCAAACTCCATACTTAACGGTACCGTGTTTGCCCAACGCCAATTCTACCACACACAAGTCTTTGATTTCTTGGAAAGCGTTAGAAAATTAAAATTTTGTAATACTAAGTGAACTCTTATGTCGTTAGAGCTGATGTGGCGTAGTAGGGAAGGGTAACTGGTTAAAATAAAATTCTGTTTGAGCTTGAAAGGTTATGAAGGATCTGAGCCCTAACCCCATTTGACGCCATGCTTTTGCTGACTTATCAATTCATGTCGATATCCGGTTATAAAATATGCAGTATAATATATAAAAGTTATAATTTTCCAGTATTTTAATCTAAATAGGAAAAAATCATTAAACGGTTTATATTTACTAAGAAATTGAGATTAAGACTGTGTTTAAAAGTTGGACACATTATAAATATTAATCAAATGAACAATTGAATTGTTGTATGCAATCAACAGTAATTTAATTATAAATCTTAATTACACTATTTTACATTAATCGACATTTTCCACGGTAACATCTAATACATTTATTATATTTTTCATTGTTAGGTAAAATTGAGTTTAATGCAAGTTTTGTTTGTTTGAATAAATTGTTTTGCCACATTCATTCAGCAGCCTTGTGTTGGAGTCGTTTTAAAGTAAATGGCGAAAAACTTAAATTGTAGTCGTAAAACTGTTTTATATTGAAATAAAAGAATTTAAAAAAAAAAATTTTATTGTCTTATCAAGAAAAAATAAATCATACCATGTTTATTTATGCAACTTTCTAAAAAAAAAAATACTACAAATAAAACTACGACAATATTCTTTAAAATAGTTGGTTTTTTTTTAAGGGTATGGCTGAGAACGAAGCAGGAGTCATATTCGTAAACAGTATTGGATCGGATATTCATATATGGAAAAAAAGAGAGAACGATGCAAATTACGAGTGGGAAACTTGCGTATTATATGAAGAACCCGAATTTATCATAGACGATCCCGAAGAAAGTAATACTATGTGGAAGTTTTACGATCATATTACAAAGCGATATTTACATGCAAACGGTAAAGAAACGTATCACCTAAAAAATATCGAAAGTCCTCCGGTTCGTGTACAAATCAGCACTCCTCTTTACTCGTTGAAAGAACTGTGTACATACACCATCGCCACGAGGATTTTAGTAAACGATAGCGAAAATGCTATAGGCGATTTTGAAATTCCCAAAGTATTAAAAAACGATATAAAACATTATGTAAAAAGTTTAGCGCTAATGCACGAACAAGACGGTGACTGTTGTATAAACGATTGGACAGTATATCACGAAGATTCCTACAAAGCGTAAATTTGTATTTCCAACGATTAATTATTTTTACTATGATTATATAGTAGTATTACAATTATTGTATCCGTTATTAAAATAATTTTTAAGAGTATTTAATATGTATTATATAGTATTATCATTGCAATATACATAAATATTATATTATATAAATATAATTGGTAAATTTCATTGAAAATAAGTTGAACGATTTGTAGTTATTGTATATTTTATGACTTTACCTTGACTGAATCTGGACTGTAGACATGACCTAGTCTCGTACAAAACTGATGTCCCATTACGACCCATTCTTTTTGAATCAGCATTTGGAATCCTAATATGGATCGAAAATGAGAATCGATCAATAGCTGGGTGAGACTAGAAATTACACAACATAGATCACGACCATCACGTTCTTGAAAAGAAAACCATCAACAAATAAGTTATTTTTGTTTATATAAAAATCTTTTACATTTGAAGTGATTTTTCATACCTTGTAAAACAACTGATGTTTTACGATTGAGTATATTGGCGATATCCATTGCTGAACCAAGACAACTGGAAACATACTGTAACCATTTACTTGCTTCCAAAAATGAATAAAAATGGTTATCTTGAACCCAGAATTGTCTTGCACTTTCTAAATATATATACATATAAACATAGTTTTATTATTAAAACAATATTTTTTACATTTTTATACTACCAGGAGCGCAGAGTTCTCGCAGCTTAACAAAACTCTGTTCCACGTCTTTAGGTGAAGGTAAATCTTTGGTTAAGTCTATTACGACTGGTCTCAAATGGTTAGGATGAGATTTTCTAACCATTTCCAACATGGCGTTTTCCTGAGTTCTATTGGAAGGATCCACGACATCGGCCATTCTAGATAACGCTGCACCATTGGCCGTGCTCCAACACCAAGTAGGTGGTCGTCCATCACGAAAATGCCGTACAGCTTTACGTAACTGATTGTCTATAACTGCCGAGCCGACAACAATAAATTGTGGTAAACTGCAACGTACAAATAAACGATATCATTTATACTCTTAAATAATTAACTTGAAATAAAATGAAACAATTAAGAGAGAAAAAGAGAAATGTATTTTACCTTTGGGATAGTTGAAAATTATTGTTTGAAGTATTTATTTTCCAACCGACACAGTTTGTACGTATCAGTTCTTTTTCCCAATCACTTTGGCATCTAAACGTAGGTGTTCTATATTTACTTTGCATACATGGTTCCCTATTGTAATAAAAACAAATTAATACAGATAATTAAATATTATAATATTAAACTCAATAAGAAAAAACAATTATGGAACTTTTTTTTATATGTTTTAATAAAAGTTCAAAAGAAACAATTTTAAAATAACAGTTCAAAAAGAAAAATTCTAGAACAGAATATTTTTTAAAAACAAAGAAGTTAGTATGTAGTTTTTCGATCCACTTTCAAATCAAACATATTACAATTTTTATACATATACAAGTAAAATATAATACCTATAGTCGTAAGCGAATAACAGCTGATGTCTTTTCGGAAACGCATGATGCAACAAGGCATTTGCTAAGGTTTTACCGTGGCCAAGCGGCGAAAACTTAAAACTATACGATAATGTTCTCATGTTCTAAAAATTAAGGAGGGCAACGTAAAGGTTAATAATACGTACAAAATATTTTATTTAAACCTATATAATAATTTATAATTTACTTTGCACAGTATATGTAATCCTTTGACTTTGTCATTAAAGCGATGGCCGGGCATCAGTCTTTTTTTTTTATCACCCATCAATAGGTAAACCACATCTATATTGGATAGGCACACATCATATTGTCCTAAAAGTAAATTTTCTTGGTATGCTACATCCTAAACACAAACATGTTACGTCAAATGACATTTAAATACAAATATCATAATAATTAGTCCACGATGACGACTCACTTCCAATTGTTTTTCTAGTGACGTAATAAAAGAAAGTCTGAAATTAGTTACGAATAGAATACCAGATTGACCAGTTTTTTGTTCGTTTACTGGAGTAAATAGTAACACATTTTGGGCTTCAGCAATTATCATTTCACCTATTACAATACAGATAAGACACAATTTTTTTTTTACAGAAAAACGATTGTAATCTCAGTGTAGAAAACCACTTTTCTTACGCAACTATCGAAACTACCATTAAATTTATAAAATTTTAAAATGAATATAACAAAAATGTAAAATGTACAAAAAGAGCAATAATTTATAATAATTGTTCATTTTAGTTATTTTACCTGGATGAAGTTTAGGCGAAAGTTCATTTTCTATAAATGATGTTTCACAGCTTGAGTTGTTCTAAAACATAATTTATTTGTTTTTTCACATTAGTAATTCGAAACGAGTATTTTAATTATAATTTTACCATAATTTTGTGCATAAGTAAATGAAATATTAAAAACAATTTAGCTAAATTATATTGATGGTTTCAAATACGTTTTGCTATAAGGGATGTTCGTTACTACTTTTCAGAAGAGCAGAAAAAACAATTTTTGGTTACTAACTTAAAACAACTATAACACAGTAAAAATATAATCATATTGATAAATTTCAACTCTAAATCAGTGCCACAGAATTATATTTATGTATAATTAAGTTGCTTAAGATTAAGATTAATTAGTCTATCAACTGCCCATGTACACATTAAAAAATGTGCAATAATTGTAAGACACGAGGCCTTATCAATTTACAGTTTTTTTAGCCGTCCAATTTGTTATGAGAACATGAATGAATGAAGAAAAAAAAAATTGGTAATGTAATGCTTATTGTGTTTTATATTTAGGTAGTTAAGTTTGTTAATTAATCAGACCTAAATTTTAGGTTTTAGTAAAATATGAATAAAAATATTTTATACATTTTTGTAAAACACAAGTGTAAGTGGGTTAAGCAGGCAATGAAGGGACTATTGGTAAATTAAATGTTTTGTGCAAAAATAAAATGAAGAAACATCTCAATATTGTATTGAGATCAATTTATGTTTTTATAAAGTCGTTAATATGTTAACAATAATTTAGCAATTACCTTATCATTGTCGTCCAATCCAATATAGCTTTTAAAACTATTAGTCAATCGATTTTCATTCATTGTTAATGGTACCTCATACTTATACATCGAATTACGATTACCAATCAAACTTAACTATTGTAACGATAATAATAATAAGAAGAATAATTCAATTTATAATAATTTAGCATTTTACCTTATCATCGTCGTCCAATCCAATATAGCTTTTAAAACTATTAGTCAATCGTTTTTCATTCATCGTTAATGATACCTCATACTTATAAATTGAATTATCAAACAAACTTAACTATTGCAATAATAATTTAATTTTTATTAAATATTAAAGATAAATAATCGACATAATATTATGTACAATTACATGAAGATGTAATAATTTATATAAGTCGTACATAGTTGCAAAATTAGTTTAACTAGTTACACTTAAAAACTGGAATATAATGACAAAATACCGCTAGACCAAGTTTAATTTTAGTGGTTTTTTTTTTATTTTAATTAATTCGATATTTATTTATTTTTATTATCTATAATATTCTTTTACGTTATAGTAGATTTCTTTATTAAGTCTATATAATAATATTGAATTATGAAACATAACCAAGAAAATATTCGTTGATATGATTGATATCAGGCCATATCATCACAAACGTTGATACGCTCTTTACAAAACAAATAGGTATGTCAGCAACTCGTGTTAATTTGTAAATGGCTGCCGGTTTTTTCGGGCGGCCGTGCGTTGCACACACAGAGAAAACCGGCCGCCATATTGTAAAAAATGATAACAGGTGTTGACGACATTTCTATTTATTTTGTCAGTTGTCACCAATACCCTAAATTATATTCATAGGATATCTGCACCGTAGGCCTATAAAGAAATCAACTTTGTAGCTGGTCTATGGATATTAATCGGGAGCACGACACGGAGCCACTCGACAAACAGACACCCAAAGAGATACCAACATGTACAATATTTATGTAAAATGTACGATTATTATTTGTGTATGTTGTGCGGCCGACACCACATATTATAACGGAGTAATAGCAAAAAATGTAATTTCCAAATTGTATATCAATTAAAATAAAAACAGTAACTTTGTAAAAAATATTATATTTTTATTAAAACCCCTATTGTATAGAAGACATTGTTACTATGTTCATTGTAAACATTTCAATTTACTCAACAGGATTTATTGTTAACTCATGCTATTAATAATAATTATTGTTTCTAAATACTTTTACTCTATTATTATAAATAATTATACATTTTTATATTATTGATACTTATTTATTAATATAATACATAGGTAAAAAAATTATGTATATTGCAACGATATTAATTGAATAATATTTTAACTTGCTTTCATGTATTCCAATTAAATTACAAATATATTTTAAATATAAAACAAATGAAGTTATTGAACATTGTTTAATTTGTGTGCATTTTCATGAGTATCGGAATGAACGATCCATGTATATATTATATATACAACTAAAAAGTATTTGATAAAGGTTTTCACTTTTTATTGACTTAGAACTAATTATTAAAAACTCAGAAGCAGAGGGTTAGAATTAGATAAATACCGATATAAAAATCCAAAAAAAGTACATTTTTAGCTAATTGGCAAATGTGTATATTTTCCACCCATTTGGCTTATGCTATAGGCCATCTATATAAATTGGATTTTTTTATCTGATTAATTATTTCTATTTTTATTATCTATATATATATATATATATATATATATATATATATATATATAATGAATGTATGTGTGTGTGTGTCCCTCACAACTTTCATCAGAGTTTGTAGAAAAACAGCATTATATATTTATTTTGTGTTAATGTATGTAGAATCATAAAATATAAATGAATAACCAAATTATAAAAAATGATTAACATGTATTGCTTTATAATAGCCCGTAATACTTTATAATATTAGCGGGGCGCGATAAAACATTAATATTTACTACTAAGTCATCCTCAAGTCTCAACAATGTGCATCGGGCGAGCCAAAAATTGTTCATTGTTCGCTATAGCAAAATCCCAATTAAGTCAAATATTAGCGTGATGAAATTATGATGCAAAAAAAAAAAGGACCACGACGGGCGGGAGGCAGGTAGACGAGGAATCCGATGATAATTGAGCGGCGATCGACGGACGAAGTACCCAGCGGGCGCGGGTAGACGTGCAGTGCCGGGGCGCGCACGTATGTCGATTTCGGCGAACTTTAAAAGTCTGTAACTTCCAAACCAAGTGCGAGCGGCGCAAATTTTTTACATATTCGTAATCAACATTAAAAGTACTGTCGATTTAAAAAAATAATCGAAAAAAAGGGTGCCCGGTAAAGTAGATTTATACCATAATTATTTGTAATGTTCTAACTATATTTTGTTATTTTTCCAACTATGTTCAAAATTTAAAAACTATAAGCCAAGTGTAAATAATTTAGTAAACATTTTTTATAAACTTGATTATATTAATTTAGTATTTTTCTTTAATAATGTACAATTGTTTCTAACTTTAATATTAAAATAACTTGTATGAAATCCGTTGTGTTCATAATATGTACACTATTAGTTTTTATTCAACAAATGATTAATATTATATGTTTATTACTGCTGATAATAACTTTTAAAAATAAACATGTACATAATCATTTTCGAAAATACATTTTTGTCAAGGCTGTTAGAATACTTAAGCCAAACAATTTTTTTTTTATTAAATCGTGGTCAATAATAAAATAAATTTTAATAATTATAACATTAAAATTTATTAAACAGTAACATCATCAATTTTTTTAGTAAAAACTATTTCCTTGCAGTCTTTTGTTAAGTACCGGCCACCGCCAACGTGTTGAACCATTATATATTTTTTTTTTGATAGCTCGAATCTCATAATTATTTAACATCAGTGATGGATGGCCGCAGTTGGTAACCAACCGTTAGTTTGTATAAACTTGACCATAGTAAACTTAGTAATATTAACGTTTCATTAATAACTATAACCGTATGAGACCCACTTCACGTTAATTATAATATCACACACTAAGTATCAATCATTTTGTGAAACCCTTGTGTACTCTATGCACATGTATAAAAACATCTAGATAATGCAATCGACAACGCCAGTACACATGCCACTTAAATTTAAGTTATAGCTAACTTTTAACTTGTATATTATAATAGTGTGAAATAAAGAAATCTGTGTTTATAAATATAAATTTAATATACTTGAATTTTATTGTTGTTTGTGCATTTATACATAATATCTTTGATTAATGATAATCAATGATAATATTATGTATATTATATTATAGCACCTGAGCCAGTGCCGGATTAAGGTTTTTGCCGCCCATAGGCTGAAATAAATTTACCGCCTAATATTCATAGGTATTGATACTTTACTTCTGTAAGTGATACGTAAAAACTCTCCACACCCCATATAAAAAATGATCATTAATAAAATAAAAATATAAAATCAATACATTAGGTATACCATTATTAATGAATGAAAACTCCTTTAGCACATTACAAAAAAAAAATACGAACACATAATTATTTTTCATATTCTTCAGATTATAGTCTTACGTCTTGATTTTTTTTTCGCTAAGTCTTTAATGATGTCGTCATATGATAACTGATTAGTTAATTCATGTTCAATACTTAGTATAGCAAGTGCATTTAATCGATCCTGTGACATCGTAGATCGGAGATAATTTTTTATTCTTTTCAAGCAAGAAAAAGAACGTTCAGCTGAACAGTTAGTCACCGCAGTAGATGTATATATTCTGAGTGCTATTTCGATGTTGGCATATATTGAAATTAAGTTTTTTTCATGTAAAATTTGAAGAAGTTTGGGAATATTATTTTGCTCATCGTCAGCCAGTTGTATTATGTGTGCTTTTAAATGTAAACATTCATTGATTAATTCATTTAAATCCATATCATCATAGTATATTTCATTAAGTTGTGTAGCTCCTTTAACAATATCATCATGTGATAGACGTTCGAGCATGACAATAAAAGCAAATGGAAAAAAAAATGTTTGATACGCAGCTCTTCTCTTGTTAAGTTCATTCAATAAATGATCTAAAATTACTAAAAAGGTATCAATTTAAAATTTTTCTCTTCCAGAAGTAATTAAATCATTATGTCGAGTTTCATCATAAAAAACTGATTTAATTTTTTTACGAGTTTTTAAATCTTTATATTCTTTTGTAACAGATTTTTCAATTGCTTTTCTTTCAAATTCATCAAAATTTTCACGAGTATTTGTAATAAGTTGAATTAAAGAATCGTAAAGCTCAACCACGAGACCACAATCTATTTCAACTTCTTGTAACTTCTCACTAACTACATTTAATCTGTTCAATAGAAAACCCCATAATATAGACATAAAGCAAGTCTCTAATGATTCGAGTTGATTCAATAGTCCTTGTGATTCGTTTCGAGTCATATTATTTTCTGTAGTAGCATTCATTATATATGTTAAGGCATTGATAATTTCAGACCAATTTTCATTAATACTCAAACAAGCTGCATCTCTTGATGACCATCTTGTAAATGATGGATGTTTCAACGTATGAGTTCCCGGAACCTAGTACGAGTATCTTATAATTTAGATATAATATTTGAGGCGTCATCGCTTATCGCAGAAATTTCCCCACATTGTACATTATCTACTATAATAATAATTATTATTATGGGATACGGGTTTTAATGCTTCTTTCCTTTACGATTTACTATTAATATAATAAAATAATACGTTCAATTCCGCGGCCTATTCGCCGTGCCGTTACCGCAACGAATTTCCGCCCGGTCGACTATTGTAATATATATATATATACACATATATATATATTGTTATTTGTCATATATTTCTGTTACACACTTCATACCATTTTAGAACCTACACATACATTTTCTTATACTTTATAACTAATAATATTATTTCATATATTATATTATTGCATGTTTTTATAATTTATATTTAAAAATAATATCTCAACGTAGTTTTTGGGTCACACCAAAAAAAAATTTGCCGCCCTTCAAAATTTGCCGCCCTAGGCTTTAGCCTACACAGCCTAAGCGGTAATACGGCCCTGACCTGAGCCATGTGAATTTACTACTCATAAATTCGTTATAGTTTGACTTGGTTTATATTTATTTTAATATAGATTGTATTATAAACTATTAACTATTAACTCCAGCCTTCCTCTTGTATCTGACCTTGTTTACACATAAACTGGAGTGATCTATTTTATATATTAGCTGGACATTAGTGATAAGTCTGATGAGTGCATCATATCTAGATCCAAAAGAACCATACCGGTTATTTTAGACCCCAAAAAACTACTGCCGGCTTAATAATATATAAACATTTTATTCAGCATCGGCAAGGTGCCAGTCTACCATAGGTTGTCCCTGTTTGAATTTACTATTGTGTAGCTAAGTATAAACAAATACTAACAATTAAGCATTGGTAGTATATATGGAAAAAAATGTCAACCACAAAATAAAAAATAGCTGTATATTTCAATAACAAATGGAACTTATCACAGATGTTATAAAAATAGCGTAGACAGTAGACACAACGCGGTCACACGGCGCGCGTAACACTGTTTTTTTATACTATTATAATTTATAACTTATAAAGGTTCTGTTCAAATAATAAGTGTCAGCTAAAATACGTTCGATGACATTATTTTCGACCTAAATATTTTTCGTAAATATTATTTTCGACTTAAATATTTTTCGGCTATTATATTTTCGACTTAAATATTTTTCGGCTATTATATTTTTGGTTAATATATGTTTCGGTTCTAAATATTTTCGGAATTGTTATTTTTGGCATATATATAACATGATTACTAATACACAGATATGAAAATATATAATACAAAATTAAATAATATTTAACTATAATTTATTATTGTGTTATTGCCTATTGGAAGTTGTAAAGTATTTAAGTAAATGTGTCTGGTATCTAATAGTTTCGTATGAGGTATTCACGATATATTGTTTTAAATAGATAGGTATAATATATCGGTATTAAATAATTTTAAAAAAAAGTATAATTTCATTGAAATTTGATCAATGAACATTCTGCTTTACTTATTATAAAACGTGTAAGTATGTTTTGAAAAACATTTTTTTTTTAAAACTCAAGAGACAATTTATTGTTGGTAAATTATCACTATAATATAATATTGTAAATATTGTTTCATATACTTTCAGTTTTTTTTTTATATAAATTTCAATAATAGAAACTGATTTGATTATAACTATCAAAACCGGAGACAGGTCACACAGTGAATTAAAAATAGTTCAAGCCTTATTGCATTAATTATGAAATGTACAAGTTTTCCCCTTTAAATAAACAATACTAGCCGCACAACATACACGAATAATAATCGTGCATTTTTTATAAATATTGTATATGTTGGTACCCCTTTGAGTGGCTGCTTGTCGAGTGGCTCCGTGTCGATTTTCGGTGGTTGTTTGTCGAGTGGCTCCGTGTCAATTGGCTCTTTGAGGTGTAACCATATTAATCACCGACAGAATCCTATTGCCAACGTAACGCATCGAATTGATGATGAAATTTGAAACGCAAAATGTATTGTAATTAATTATTCAATACCTTTTTATAGGTGATCGATTTAAATGTTAAACAATATTTTAATATTTCGAAAACGACCAATTGTTGCATGACGTGGTCGGTATAACTGTATTTGTGTGACTATAATAATATTATTATTAAAGGTAGTGTTTAAAAAGCGCATACGGTGATCACCAGCTACGTACGTCTTATAATATAATATATAGTATACCTACATATTATATTATTTTGTTAATAATTGCAAACGTTTTAGGTATTCCGTGTTTTTGTAGCTTGGCTCTCTGCACAGTGTTACAAACACATGTGAAAAACAATCTAATCCTCCAATAGGCTGTTTTATCATGAATAAGCTATGCCCCCCATAATAATAATACTGTTACGAAAATAATGTGTGTAGTTTATCGGTACACTGTAAACTCTTATAATATAAATATGTATAAGAATAAGAATTAATCGCTTTGTGTTTATTTCACACACGATTGACTGATACCGGCGGATCTATTGACATTTGCGGATTTGCCTTCTTTTGATTTTTATCGCCGTTTGCGTTTTGTGTCTGTTTACGTCGGTCGGTTTGTAATTTTATAATTTCGAGGAATTCTAGTATTATTACTATAAAAATCACATATTATAATAGGATATAGACCGTGTTAATTTTTTATTATTTATAACGGATATACTTAACTGCCGAACTGTGTCACAATGTCGCTACACGATTTCGTTACTTTTCACGTTCGTTGTGAAAAATCACAATTCATAATGAAGATCAAAACTCCTGAAAACTTCTCTGAATTTACCGAGAAAACGGTAATAATATTAATTATGCTTAACAGTAATTACTTAGAGAACCGTAATTACATGTAATATGTCATTTTAAAATCGATTTAAAAAAATGTATTGTTTTTAAAAATTTTCTGCTCTAAAAGGTACTATATGACTGTCGATCAGTTAAGAGTTACGACGTAACTGTTATGAGAATGTATACAATAATAAGTACACAAATGTTTATTAAAATCACAAACCACATTCGGGTACATGTAATTTTGTGTAATAACAATTTAGAAGCTCTTACTTACTAGTACATATATTACCGTCAACCATCGTAGATTAATTAAATTACAGTGTAGGTACAAAAATTATCATAATAACGATGTGGTCAAGACTAGATGACGTTTAAGCCAAGTTATTATCGTAACGAGTTAAAAAAGAACAACTATAGTTAGTTGTGTATCGAGTTAAAATGTAGATTAGTTAGATTTATTATGTATATTTTTTAGATCAACCATAATCTTCGAATTAGTATTTAGTAATTATACTAAAAATATATTTATATTTTTTAATTACTTTTTTTTTTAGAAATTACAATTGAATGCTGATGATAATGATATTGTTATTTTATGCCCAACTACCGAAGGAAAAATGGTAAATAAGACATTTTTTAATTTTTGTTTAAAAAATAAAGAAATTAGGTACTGGTTATTTTATGGTACATTTTTGAATAATGAAGGATTCTAAAGAATGAGTTTTTAAAACTATTTTTACGTTTATCTAAATTCCATATTTAGTAAATGCCTAGTGCGCTTTTGCAGCTAATTTTTTAGTAAATAAACATTCAATTCAGATATTTTACCAACGATTATAATATTATTATCAACAACTTTAAATATTTTTACTTTTTTAGATGGAAATACAATCCGATGACGATATAGAATATTTGAAGGTAAAATCATTAGTGTATTAAACATAATTTAAGTAAGTTTTACAGTGAAACTTTCATTAGCTGACATATCTCAATAGTGTCCCCCCTCCCAATAGCGAACAGTCAATACGATCTATTCAAAACTCAATAAATTTGTCAGACGGGATCTTATGTAGCTAGCTTCTTTACCATGTGGCTGTAATCCTATAGGATAATGTTGAGTGCCTTAGCCATCTGACCGGTTGATATAAAAAACATCGACTACATCATTTATCATACAGGACAATAATTTAATTTTCAATTCACAGCTAGTTGTCGGCTAATTAAAGTTTCACTATAATAGTAAGTCACCTTAATTCAGTACATTATAGCTGTAATGTTTTGTTATGTCATTTAAAAATACATCGCTTTAGTTTGAAAATTACTATTTTTGTTTTAGAAAAACAAACTTTGTTACAACGCAGTTACTAAAGAAATTTATTGCAGCGTTGAACTAGTAGTTATAATGGTTCACAAAGTTGAACCACAGCTACCAGACGATCCAAAAGTTCAAATGATGGTAACATAATAATATTAAAAAATCTATTTATTTTTTAACTAGTTACATTTTTTTTGCAGAGTTTGACCAAACAAGTTGAAAAATTGTCTACTCAGATGACTCAACTCTCTGAAACTGTTGCAGAAAACTACGCAGAGTTAATGAACGTTTTAAAGTAATAGTTTATATTTTTAAATATTGTTTAACCAACTAGATTGACTTGTTTGAGATAAAACTATAAATCTACTTACTACGTTGTTAACAATCCTTGTGTTTTTTAGTAACACCTTTACAGAACACTTATTAGTTCTATAATAAATAAGGTTGATTTAAATAAAATAATAACAATAACGAAAGAATTATGATCACAGATCAGCGTTGATGGGAAATGATAACGGCCAAATAGAAAAAAACAGAAATTCATCTACTTCAACAGACGAAAGTATGTATCAATTTTAATTGTTAAATAAAGTGAGAAAAAAAACCTTTGATGTTAATCTGTAAATGGTGTACATGTACTTGTGCTTATACTTATACATGACGTATACTTATTTTTTAATTTAAATAAAGGCTTAGAGTGGTGATAAAAGTTCAGATGCTCAAAAATAAAATTCATTATAAAACTATCCAATACATTCACAGCTCTGCATTGATAAATACAAATTAAAAAAATAATGTATGTTTTTTTCTTTTTTACATTAGTTGAGTACCTAGCCGAACCGATTGCAACCATCCCAACGACGAAAACTACAGCAAACGCGAACGACGATGCTAAAACTTTTGAAAAACCTGGTGTGCGACAGAAAAAGCCAATGCGAAAAGAAAAGTCACAATCTACACAGTTGCCGAGTTCTACTAAGACTATACATATTCCAAACGATATAAGCGGTTTAATGGTATAAATTATGAAATTATGTACATTAAAAGTTTTTTTTAAAACCATTTGTTTAAAACGCAATCAAATACTTGTTTAAATATTTACAGATTCCTATTAAGGGTACAGATAGTTCAAATAAACAGGATAAAACATCTGACGGTGCTAAAGGCGACAGCGATTTGGATAATCCAATTAAAAGACTGAATGAACACGGATTTACCAATACGATCCAGAATATTATTGTCCTCAAAAGATTCAACAATGATTTTGAAAAAGCGTTACAATATTTAAAGACTCAGGCCTAATGGAATAATTTATAATAATAAATTCATACATATGTTATACATATTTTATGTTATTAATAATTATTAAAATTGTTGTAATAGTATAATATTTTTTAATTAAAACCTTTTTATATAGAATTTAATCGAGACGCGCTCAAATTTCTATCCAAAATGTATGATAAAGACAAGAATATATAGTTATTAAGTTATACTATTATAAAAGTTTTAAGTTGTACAATTTATTATGAAATATATTCAAAGGTTAGTTTTTCATTGAATACAATGTTTTTAAGTCATTTCTATTAATATTATAAATTTTATTAAGTGAAAAATAATAATTATAAATAATATTAGCAACATACCATAGGGTTTAAACTTGTATCGATTTTAAAAATAAGTACATTATTAAGTTTATAAATTAACACATACACATACTTGGTAACATAAAAATGAAATAATAACACTTTTAACACGATAATGTTGTTAAACAAACAACTTAACAAACTCAAATAAAAAATTAAAAAATCAGTATACTTAAAATGTGTCAACAGAAAAGTCAATATTTGAGTCATAATTTGTCGTAGACCGCTCTTTGTACTGTATCACGTAATACGGATAAAACTCGAAATCGTTGAACTTAATCCATACGTTGCCATTTCTCGATCGGGCAGTATCATAAAAGTTAGGGATTACCTTTAAATTGTAGCTTACTCCCACTTCTTTCACTTTTTGGCATAATACGGAACACAAAACAAAAGTTCTTTCAACTGGTTCATCTGAAATGTAACAATTGTTGATCAATATTAAATCGTTTTGGAAGGTGAATGTAAAGTATCGACTTCAAGCTATTACACTAAAAAGATATTAAAGAATACAAGAATTATAAAAATAATATGATTCTTAAGTTTATTTCAATTTTTTATTTATTTAAAAAATATTAAATTTACCACCTATATACGTTTTTGGCTAAATATAGTAATTTTTCTGGTATGACTTGCATATAGAATTCTACAAGAAAAATGTATTGCCACGATCATATTTACCATCGTTTATTAATGCATTTTCAGCATAGTCAGGGTCCATGATGTGTTCCATTAGCCATTTTGTGGCATTTTCTAATGATCCATAGGATAAAATTACGGCACGCTTAATCGCTTCTTTAGGGAAACCCATTTTTGTCAAGACATCTATTGTGACCTCGTCGCATACTAATTAAAAAAAAAAAAATGATAATTTATTAGGATAAATTTAACTAAACTCAATTAAGATATATTACTTTCATCACTATCAATGATAGTTAAAATAAATAAAAAATTAATTTTGCCAAAGGGCATATGACAGAGTGAAGAGGAACTTCGACATGGTTAATTACAAATATAATTTTCTCTTTTTTTTAAATTATATTTTATGATTTTTTTTTAACATAATATATAACTACAGATTATTAGAAATTTTGCAAGTTGCTACTGTTAGATTAGACTTTAGAGCCTATTGATAGACCGAAGAATTTACATCCTATAAAATGTTTAACTAGATTTAACCGATACTAACAAGTAATTATATCAAGTCAAAGTCAGAAACATAAAAACATGCTTTAAATTTCTCTAAAGTTTTTCAAAATTTACAAAGCAAAAGAGTGAACATTTCCAAATTTATACCGTATTTAAACTACCTTTGAGATAATATGGTTTCTGAATAATTGACACATTACTCATCTACGAGTTCGGTCTAGCGATTCCAGAGACAAACATATATTCATCAATTCAAAGTAATTTAAATTCACTAAAAAGGTAAACATGTATACAGAATTATATATATAAGCACAGTGATACTTTTTAGATATTGAACAAAAATCTATGACATCTAAAAGCCAAAGTTTTAAACAAAATTTAATTTATAAAATACATCATTCAACTATGTGATTCATTTTAGAAAGTCAGTACAAAGAAACTCGCACGACAGAAACGAAAAGTCAGAATACAGTGTCTACAAATATAACACACTCTATACGAAGATATATTATCAGAAGACTACAGCTTATTACTTTATACACACTGCTTTGTTTTATCGATTAGTAAACAATTGTAATAAGATTGTAAAATATCAAAACTAGGTAATTTCCCATTTCCACCTAAAAAAACAAAATTGTATTTATTAGTAATTTGTGTTTACAAATGAGATTGAAATATGGTAAAAAAAAACTCCCGTGGTTTTTATAAAAACATATTAACATAAGCTCTCACATAGAATTTCTAATTCATTCTCTTGGATCTTAATTTTATAGAATAAGAATATTTATTAGGAAAGACAATCTTTTTATTTACTTACCGGTAGCATATGATGCATATCTATTGGCATAAATAGGACAATGGGAGAAGTTTACGCCTTTCCCGTACCGACTGCGACTTGTGCAACGCCAATCTAAATTGAATTCCGCTATGGAGTTTATATTGCTGGTGGACGTTGCATGGTACAAAAATAGTTCCTCCACCTCATTTTGACATGTGTTTTCCATCTCTTTCTTACGGAGATTATATAACCCCCATAGTAATGGATTGACAATTTTGTGAACGGAAATCACCTAAAAGATAGGCATATCATACAACACAGCGCTACAATTATGAAAAGGAATTATCAAAAAAGTTTATTTAACTTATTTAATGTTACAATTTAAAATTTTTCAACAATTTGTGAAGGTATAAATAACTATAAAAACTATTTTTATTGAAAAAACTTTTGTACACAAGTACATTATTGTAAAACCATGTGAATTAAGTGTCAAATATAGCAGTAATTCCGATGGAAAAAATAGAAGAAGTCAATGGCCGTTGTTATCGAGGGTATGATTGAGAAAAAATAAATTCTATTCTAAATAAAAAATGTACTTACATCGAACAAATCAAATAAACGTCTAATTTCAAAAACTTCAAACAGTTCTGGACCCACTACGGGTTGAATCGTGTAGTGCATTGTAAAATCTGTAATATAAAATCAGTGGCGAATTGGTGGAGCAAACCAAGTGATTGAGTTAGGTTAGATAAAAAGCAATGGTCAGATAGTAATAATCATTTCAAACAAAAATAATAAGCAATAGAGGTGCTCCAATTCTCTGAATCCCCCCTTTCAATTTAAACAACAATATATTATAATATCTGTTATTAATTCTAAAAGGTAAGCAATACACTAAATAAAATACATTGTTTATAATTTTTGCTGATTGTACATTTTATCTCTAGAATATCAGATTACTCATTTTTATAAAATAGAAAACCGCAAGAAAAGCAAATTAATACCATTTATCTACATTTCAGTCAATATGGGGTAAAAAACATTACATAAGACATTACATTTTTTGTAAAATAATGGCAATCATATGAAAGTTTAATTTTTGAAAAAACATTTTTTTTTACCAATATAAAATTCCTGAGAATTTCCTTTTTTTAATCAATTTCAAAGATCTCTAAACTAATAACTTTTGTTTAATGTCAAACACTAATGTACATATTTTATTAGCTTATGAAATTGAAAATACCTGATTGAAAGTTTTAGCCAATTTTTAAATTATTATTCTTATAAGAATTTTTAACATTTAATGTTTAAACCCGAGGTTACATTGGGAAAGGTTTGAGGCATTTATATTTTTTGAGTTCTAGATTTCATCTCTTCTAAAATCGTACTTTAACTATGTAAATGTTAGAAACCCTATAGTTAAAATTATTTTTCAACATATTATCTAAGCATACGGGCACCCGTTAAAAAAAAAATAACCATGTGTACTATAACACTTTAAGATTTTTGAAAAATAAACAAAATTTAAACCGTTTAAGTCACTGCAATTAAAAATAATTAATATTAAACTATCGTTTTATTATTATATTTTAATTGAGTATAAGGCTTAAAAATTAAAAAATAACTTGAGATAATATTATGTATGATGCTTAATACTTACCTGACAAACAAACGAAGGACTGGTGTAAACGAAAATTAATCAATTGCTTCAATTTTGTACAGAAATAAATAAACGATTAGTAAATACAAATATATTACTGAACATCGAGTTATATTGTAATCAAATTCTTAAACATTGTCTAAATCCATTGGACATTTCTAAATCATTGAGAGATTGTATGGATATTATTATGAAAAATCAGTACCTTCAAATTCCACAACAGTCAACACAGATAAACTGTCACAAGACACAACTGGACTACATATATCAAGCAGTGCAGCCGTCATACAAGTGATAGCAGAGCGGGGGAAACGTTGAAACGGGGTTTTCCAAATTCTATTTTTAGCATTATGCATAATTAATAATATTATAATATCGCTATAAAATCAAGGTTTATAGATTATTCAGTAACACTAAATCACAGAAATCAGAAATTTGCACCCAACCCAGTACCCGCGGGTTTTAGATGTTCTCTTTTTTTTTAAACTTTATGACTGAAAAAGTAATAGAGATTGCAAAATTGGTCTAGTGGTGAAAAGTGGAAAATGAAGTGTGTACTGAAAAGTGAAATGAGATACATGATTGAAAAAAGTAATATATATATATGTGTATCAATTTCCAATAATATTATAAAACAAACTATTGTTTCAACTTTAATGACAATTAATTGTTTTTTTTTAACGTGAATTATTGATTTCCACATAGCTCGCCTACAATGTCTGAATTTTCCAAAGTTAAAATATAATTTTAAAAACCTTAAACAGATGGGTACTTCATACTTGATAGTGATCATATATATATATATATATATATATTTATATAGGTAATAAGTAATAACAATGTTAGACATCTGGCGAAAAGAACACTAATAAATATTTCATGTCTATATATAATGAAAAAATTATCAAATGTATATGTTGTACTTCAATATACAACATAATAGTGTAAGACACAAATTAGCCGCAGTACTAATAATTTAAAAATGTATTGTTCTGATTTCGGCAATTTTTATTCAATGCTTCAGATGTATTATTTAATTTTAAAAATTATTTGTTATAAGTACAAATTTTAAAACATAAATGTAAGTGTTATCAGCTATTTATTCAAAAAGTTATTATATTATTTGTTGTCCACATCCATATGATAATGAATAAATTGGTAATTATTTTTTGTTACTAAATATGTAGAAATTCTACTATTACTTATTAAATAAAAAAACAACATTTATTTAAGTACAATATTAATTTAAATAAAAAGTATTTGAAGTTAATATTAGAACTCCATTTTAATAAAAACAAAACTGGTGTTTTTTTTTTAGTTTTAACTATATTATTTAAGTAATAAAAAATATAATCATGAAATTTTGTTCTTAAAATATCAAACATTATATTATATACATACATAATTGTAAAATTGTATAAAACTATATTATATATATATATATATATATATATATAAAACCAAGTCGTTTAACGTTTTTTTTATATTAATTGAATGTTTACAAAAAGAGACAATAATAATAATTTGAACAATTGTCTCATTATTGTGTTATATATATATATAACAAATTATAACTCCGTTCTTTATATGTTAAAATCTTATAAACTTGAGTTTTTGAAATAGTAACGTACATATTTTATGAATTAAGAATAATCTGCAGAATATTTGACTGGTCGATAACTGGGTTTGAATAATTAGTTTTCAAGTAATTCAATTTTAAAAGTCAAGACGGGAGGAAAAGGGTAGTTGAGTAATGCGCGCAGATAAAAGCATCTCTACTCTTCACCCTTCCTCCCGTCTTAAATTTTAAACTTGAATAACTTGAAAACTAATTATCCAAAACTGGTTATCGACCAGTCAAAATGTTCAGCAATTTTTTCTCAATTTAAAAAGTAAATAAAATATATACGTTACCATTTAAAATTCTCAAGTTCATACGGTTTTAATATACAAGGGATGGGGGTTATGTTTTTCAAAAATATATTAACTTTGTCCCAACTAATAACTATAAAATTATTAAAAATAACAATTTAAAAAAGTCTGCTATCTTCTAAGTTATTGAGACTGGTCCATAGTAAACCGATCACCGATATTTTCCGTTTTATTAATAAAAATGTATATAAATTAACTATCTGCAATTCTACGGATGTAAAGAGAGTTCAAGTTAAATGTACACTCATATTTTCTATCTACATCTATTAATATCTGGTTTTGAACAACAATAAATGTTAAAATTATTCAACTAGCCAGTTCGCCTGTTACATTAACGAGAGTGACTTGTGAGTACTTATAACTCACTATACTTGTAACGATTTTTTTGAATATCACGCAGTAACAACTTAATAATATTCATCAAGACAGGTAACAAGAATTTATTCTGTCGTGTATTTAAACATAAATAATTCGTACATTGCATGTCTATAGATCAGCCGGAAGAAATACATGCGCCTAAAACAAGAACTCTTTATTATATTCTTTTATTTAATCTTAATAAACACAACTATAATATCTAGAAAAAAAATATTGAAATATTATAACATTACCCATAATTTTTGAATATGAGACTGTATAAAAATGCATTTATGTGTTGGTTAAATGATTATTATAAGGCCAGGGAATACAACTGTAATGTTTATAATAGTATAAGATGTGCAACGTGTAATGTGATTAAAATAAATTATAGTTATTTCTTATTAGGATGGAATGAACACATACATATTTTATGACATTAATGTATATACATTTTAAGCACACAAAAGTAGCCCCAGGTGATAAAACTAAAAATTGATTGTTTTTAGATCTGAACAATAATTGTTATTCAGTGCAGGAGCATAGTTGGGTCGGGGCATAATTATTTTTTTAATTAATTACTGGTTTTGAAAATACGATAATTTATATTAAATATGAATATTAAATGAGTAAGTATTTAAAAGTCCAAAAATATTAAAAGAATATTTAAGAAGATTGGTAATATTCAATCATCCATAATTTAAAAATAAGGATAACCTATTCTCTATTAGTACTTGAATGATATTTGCCAAGACCTCCAATAAAAATCCAAATTTTCAAGTGTCAGAATAATAAGTCCTAAGTAAAAATATCCATTTCATTAGTTAAAACTTTTAATTGAAAATGTTCGTTACATCATTATTTTTTTACATTCAAATAGATTATAACATAACGGTTCAGTGTTGTCAATTTTATTTATTTAGTAGTAATTAATTTACATTTTACATTTATTAATAAGGCAATTTTGATATTTTAATATTTATTTAGTTTTCAAAGAGATTATATTTAGGTTTTTTTTTCAATATAGTTTTTAGAACCCCTGGACCCTAATTAGTTGGTCTATTGTTATGTAATATTATGTTTTACCTTATATTATGTTGCACGTCAGTTGGTTGATAATAAATATTAAATTATCACTAAATAATAAATACTTTTCATAATATTATTCTACTTTGTATTTAATAATACAAAGACGTTGTTCTAAATTATAATATATTCTATATTCATGCTTATCGCCAACTTATGTTATATAATCAGCTCAAAATATTGAGTGGTTGTTTTTCGCCAAGCTGATATTATGAATTCGACATGTTTTTAAGTACTCTTGTAGACTTTAGACTTGATGTAAAACAAACGAAGTTCTATTACAATAATGACAACAAACACTGACACTGAAGCGCCATCAGTTTATAGGTAACATAGTAATTGTTGATCTAGTCTAGTTATGTACTTGCTAACAATTTAACAAGTGCAGTTGACCTTATATAAATAAAACTTAATATAAATTTAAACGTTTTCCAGAGGTAGTTTCTTTTGGAGCTGGTTCCCTAGAAGCTCAATGTCTTGGAAGTTTTTACAAGAAGCCGAACAAAAGTTATTATTATGTAAGTTTGATTGTTTTATTTTTTTATTTTACATTATAAGACAAACGTTCATTTTACATTTTAGATGTTAAATCACCATATCGAACACGTTATGTGAACTTGGGCCCAGTTGTTGAACAGGAGGATAAAATATGGACGTTGGAAATGAATAGCGATAAACAAGAAACTCCTGTAGTTCTGTTACACGGATTTGGTGCTGGCCTTGCATTATGGTGTATGAATTTAGACAAGTTATCTAATAACCGTAGACCAGTGTATGCTATGGATCTACTGGGGTTTGGACGTAGTTCTAGACCTCAATTCAGTTCTGATAGTATACAAGTTGAACAGCAGTATGTAAATGCTATAGAAAAATGGAGATCAGAAATGAAACTCGAAAAATGTATTTTACTTGGACATAGTTTCGGAGGATTTTTAGCTACTGCATATACTTTACAATATCCTGAAAGGTATTAGCTATATACATTATTTTAATTGTGGTAATTTACTTTCATTATTATTTTATTATTATTATTAGAGTACACCACTTGGTTCTTGCAGACCCTTGGGGATTTCCTGAAGAAAAAAAAGATATAAACAAAAAAATACCATGGTGGGTAAAAGGAATCTTTTACGTACTCAAACCCCTCAATCCATTGTGGCCAGTAAGATTTGCTGGACCTTTTGGTAAGTTTATTATTAACGGTGTCTCTAGAATTTCCATTAATAATAATTCTGCAATTACTGGATTGCGTTGTAGTTAAGACACGAGATTAGAAATATACACTTGTCGATTTCTCTGTTGATTTTCACTTGTACATTTCTTTTTTCATTCCACAAATTTCAATATTTTCATTTATAAAATCTCCCCAATTTATCGAACTACCTTCATGTCTAAATTTCTCTATACTAATCTCTCTAAAGGTAAGTCCACATTAGTACGCTTTTTAGTGTACGTTACACACAACAAGTTGAATGCAATATGTACAAAAGCGCACACGTGTCGGGAGTTCTCAATTTTAATGCTCATGGCCATTCTTAACTTCTTTGTATATTAAAATAGTAATACTAGATGTTTTATTTTATTATAATTTTATAACTGTTTTTAAGGACAATGGCTAGTAATAAACTTACGATCTGATATTTTGAAGAAATTTGAGCCAGTTCTTGGTGAAAAAACAACTCACGTCGGAGAATATATTTACCAATGCAATTCTCAGCGCCCTACGTAAGTTATTACTCCCTGATACCAAGCAATGAACTTAAAAGTTTATTTCCTCAAGAAGACATGATTCTCCTATTTATAAAGGAGTTAGGTATAGGCATTTTTTGAAACTGTAATGTGTAATAATTAGTTTAGTAAAGACTCGTTTTTTGGACTAAAACAGCATTTCCTTGACAGCGATTTTAATTATGTTTTTCATCTAAACATAGCTATTCAGAATGCGTTTTACTAAGTCAATGGTAGTTTTAGAGCAAAACCACCTATTATAAATAATATCGAAAGATAACAACATTTTGGAGACAATGTCGTATCCAATTTTAAAAATAATAACATGAATAATAGTTAAAGCTATTTTAAACAAGTAAAAAAAATGTTGTTTAAAATGTCAAATAGGTATTAAGTTTATCAAAAGTCTCCAAAATCTTATTATCTTTCGTTTTTGTTGTAGGTATTTTTGCTCTAAAACGTATTCTTCGTTGGTACATTTTAACGCTAGAAAATTTGGTGTATAGTATCTTCTTAATAGTCAAATGTATATAGTAATTTAATGTGGCTATAGTAAAACATAAACATGCTAATTATTTATGAATATACATTTACGAATAGTGCCGAGGAGTTGTCTCACTTCTCTAGTAAGTAATACACTGCCTATGATTTGAAATAATTATTAATTGTATATTCTATAATTAGGCCCTAAGGGAAAACATGTTTACCTGGGTTTTTCAAGTTTATCCTGACCTATGTCTCCCTAAAATATTAACCCATCAACGATGAGAAACTATTGTAATCAAATATATTCTTGCCGTTGATGGGTTAAACCAATAATTCCAATGAAGAAGCTTCAATTAGATATTTTTTTTTCTCAAATAAAAGTTGGTTTTATTAATATTAATGTTTTGCAATACTTGCCTGAAACTTGTATAAAAATATTAATCTTTTTATAAATAAAACTGGTATTATGTATATGTAGTTATTATTCATTTATTTCAGTGGTGAAAGCGCTTTTCACAGTTTGCTAACAGGATTCGGTTGGGCTAAAAATCCTATGATAAAACGTGTGCAAAATATTAACAACAACGTGCCAATTACATTTATATATGGTCAAGACACTTGGATGGATCAAAGTATTGCAGACATTGTTAAGAAAGAACGATTAAACGGCATAGTTAATATTGAGGTATTACAGAATAACTGTTTGATTGATGCATGTATTAATTATTTATGTACGATTAAATTTAGAAAATTCCAAATGCTGGCCATCATGTTTTTGCTGATCAGTTTGAGGCGTTCAACGATTTAGTTAACAAAATATGCCAAGAGCAACAAATATTAGTTAAAAACGAATAACTTTTTATTAAGTCACAATGAGTGTAACCACATGAAATAAGTATATAGTAAATGCAATGTTACATAGTTTTTTTTTTTATTGTACTAAAATAATTTATTTATAAATGTTTAAAAATTATACAATTTTACTTAAATCCATGTTATCATCATCGTCAGACTCTAGTGGTTTTACTTGATTCATGAGTAAAAATTTGTCAATTTTATCAGTAGAATCTTCATCCATGTAAGTGATGTATGGTTCCAAAGTTCCACTCTTCCTCTTAGTCATACGTTCTGTTATTGTATCCAAACGTCCTTTCAGCTTCAACAGTTTAACATAGGATGGACTACTTAAAGGTTCCAAAGAGTTTAATGCTTCATGTAGTGTAGGATCTCTGATGATTCGCATTCGGTTCGATACTATTATGGCATTTAACCATTTTAATGCAACGCCACGGGTGTCTTTGTCATTAACTTGGTTTACTAGTACGTGTAACAAATTTCTTACTTCTTCGGATTCCAATTTAGACACCGTTTCGTCAATTGTTTTTCCTGGAAGAACTTTTGGTAGTGCGTCCATTTGCATGGGTGATTGGTGTACTGTGGTTTCGATAATCATAGTTCGTAGGTGTACATCGGGGATAATAAAAAATATTGTATTGCCGCCAACTGTAAACGACAATGTGCTTAGGACTTATTCAATAATGAAACATTTATCGCCTTTCATAAATTACTAAAATACCGAGGTAGTTTTTTGTGAATTTCACGATACGTTCGTAACACTAGCGGCTAGCCTCCTGCCTCGTGCTTATTATCATAATTTAATACATTTCATTATCAGAGTTACCATAACCATAGTCACGGCTGTGTAGATAAACTGGTTGCATATCGAGCAATGATAAAGCGGCCGCCAAGAGTTCTTATCTAAAAACATGAAAAAGTGAGACAAGGTTTAAATTTTAATAGGAATAGGTATGCAATATGCATATTATTCAAGTCACGATGGGTAAACTGACTTTTATAAAGTTACCTGTTTATTCCATATTTCGCAATCCCGGATAATTTGACGGCTCATTCTACAAGCATGAAGTTTGTTGGGAAAATGATACAGTGGATCAGCTATTTCTTTGGATGTTCTCTAAATGTGTGAACATTAAAACCGGTTTAAGAAGGCATCGCACGGCCCATTTTTAAGGATTAAAGTATAGCCATTGCTTACAAAATCTTATTTTCAAGGTTAAAATGTAATTTGTAACTATTAGTTCAATAACTAGGACTTGTATTTTGGTAGTTAATTTATTTTTTGGACTATCACAGCTTCCTTGAAAGCGATTTAAAAATCTCTACATGTTTAAGCAGACTAAAAATAACTCGCTTAATTTTGGTTTTAGAGTAAAAGCACTCATTATAAAATTTAAAGAGAACAATATTCCGGAGGGCAAGGCGGTGCATTTTTTTCATTATTCCAAGTATAACGCTCAATACATAGTTTAGAAATAACGACTATTTTAACTTTTCAAAAAATTATTTTTTTTTAAAAAACGCACCGTCTTACCCTCCGGAATATTGTTGTCTTTTAATTTTATAATGGGTGCTTTTACTCTAAAACCAAAATTAGGCGAGTTATTTTCAGTCTGCTTAAATATGTTTTTACCACTGAAAATCACCGGTGCGACGCCCTCTTAATAGAAAGAATAATTTTTCCTTTGGTAATTATTTTATATTTTCCTTAGGGTACAGGACCTGTGGGCAAATGATATGTTATGCTTCGGAAAGACGGTAGATATTATTTGAGATATTGTGAAATATTTTAATGCAATCTAAATTTTCAAAATTAAAAAAAACACTTCATCGTTTCTTATAATAAATATTGCTAAACTGCAAAACTATATCATCAGTAAACAATACCTAAAATATCATTAAAACACGAATGAAAGTTGATATAGTTTATGGTAAAAAAAAAAGACCGTTAAGCATGGACATTATAGATTTACTAGAACATACAATACAAATATTTTCCCTGGCATTACAATTGCATTAGAAATTTTTCTATCTTTACCAGCCGCAAGTCGTACAGCCGAAAGGTTTTTTAGTACTTCACGAAGAGTTAAAACTTGGCTTCAGTCTACGACGGGTGAAGACCAATTAAATGATATAAGTGATGTTAAGTATTCATCGTGAAAAAGTTAAAAGAAGAAAAGAAAAATTCATTGAACAGTTAATTACAAGGTTTACTTACAGTCATTTTTTTTTTTACGTGCCCACCAACATATAAAAAAAGTAGGGGGGGGGGTGTATTTTTTAACTGACAGATTTTATTAATATGACCATCTACAGAAGAATTTTATGGAAAAAATAAGATGTCAACATTTTTGTAATTGTTTTATAATTTATCGTACACACAAACGATATGATATTTGTGTTTTTAATGAAATAATAAGAAAAAATTTTTCAGCCGAGTCTGCAACCACGAAAGAGCATTTTTATGTCTCGTTGAAGTACCGAATAAATTTAAATTAGTTGTGGAATTATAATTAAAAAAAAAAAATTACATGGAGCTTCCAGTTACAGCATAAGGCCAAGGTGATTAAAAAATTATGTACAATCAAGTTTCTGGCTAAAATTGTAGTGTTTATTATCTGGCCAAAAGTAACATAACATAGAGATTTAAACTATTTTGAATTTATTATTTAGTTCTAATTTGAACGTACAACATATCTCTTATCTACTATATCTTACCCCTCTCCCCTACCCACTATCTCCCGTCCCTATCACTAACCCCTATCCCTACTCTCCCCCCCTATATCCCTCCCTATCACTCACCCTTATCTTCCACCCCTATCTCCTGCGCCCACCCCCTACCCTATCCCACCCCCACCCCTTATCTCCTACCCCTATTTCCACCTCCAACCCATCTCCGTGTGGTAACGCTTTTTTCCTTACCCCTTTTTACGGTTATTTGCCATAGCTAATTCCACCCCTTTCCCATTCCAACCTCATCTTCATCCCCATTTCTTTTTTGGTAACGCTATTTTCGTTACGCTTTTATGGTAACGCTATTTTCGTTACGCTTTTATGGTAAAGCTTTTTTCGGTTATGTGCCAGAGCTAAGACATGAAAATGTCAAAACCGTACAACCGTCTTTTATTTTAAAAGCAGACGACTGTAATTTCACAAAACTATCCCCGGAATGGCCTAATTTTTTATTTTACCTGACCTTTACTCTAGCAATAATCGATTTGTATATTTGATTACCGTATGATAACTTGTTGAAGAAAATAAGTTGACGGCTAGAAATAATTCTAAAATGTTTTTTTTAAATAACAGCGTTACCGTTGTTATTTACATATATATATATATATATATTGTTTGTCGTTATAACTAATTTTGTAATTTACCATTTAACTTTGTATAAACTGTTCTTTAAAAATTCTTGCTGTAAACTTGTATACTCAAATCGTTTTTCCCGCCTTCGCCGTTGTAGGTGGACATGCAACAATTGCCAGTGTCGTATATCAACACCGCCTATACCACCACCGACGATGGCGGACTTGACTAGGCCGCCACCGCCTGCATTTATTGATACCAGCGTGCCACCACCGCCACCGGTGTGTCAATATAATATAACATCAGCTGTGCCATTGAATACGGTCTGTGCGTCCACTCAAACATCGACCATGGTCAGTGTGTCGTGCCAAACATTGTCAACGGTCAGTATAGCGACCCAAACGTTGACGTTGTCTCATACATCTACTCAAACGGCGACAATGATAGATGCGTCGGTACCGGCACGTGAAGCCGTGCTCAGCGGTGGCCTTGTTACCAATAACAATAGTCATATCTGATATTATAACCTATACTTTTTTAACTTCGATGCGGAGCTGAGAAGGTATTGTTATTACAATCATGTGTTTTTATTTTTTATTTTTTTGTTGGTGTCTGGACCCACGATATCTCGTAAACCACTGAGCCGATTTCTTTGTGTAGCAACTCTATAGATCAGAAATCATACCTGGAAGGTACTTTATCAGGTCAAAAATTAAAAAAAGTCACCCCTTCCCCATCAAAATCGAGAAAAACACCTAAAATTACGATGCTCTACAACTTTTTTAAAAATAGTCGAAAATGTTCCAAATTTATATGAATTGTTTTTTAAACATAGTACTATCGATAAACATTAACAAACCAAAAAAATATCATAAATCCTTTCCCTTAGATGGGATAGATTTTTTTTCTTTATTTCACTTTTTCAAGCAAAGTTTTAGAGATTTAGATCTGAAAATTAGACCAAAGGTAGATCTAAAATGGAACTATAACATTTACAATTTTCTCAAAAATTTGTAGTCAAATTTTTTTTTTAATAAGGAAAAACCCCGAAAAAAAGGGTAAATTTACACTTTATCCGTAGTCAGTTTCTAGGTTGCTATGTGTGTGTGAATCAACAGTCAACAGGTAATGAAAATATTTTCATTATATTGTTTATTACGATACATAGGTAACTATGACAGTACATTTTTATAGACAGACGATCCACCCTTATCGTATCCACCCTGCACAAGACTAAATATTAAATTTTTAGTACATTATTGCTGGTCCCACGATATTTTCTAAACCGCTATAACTAGTTTGAACATACTATCCACAGATTCGCATCGAAGCGTTTATTTAAAAGTGATTTTATCACTTTCAGTTATAATAAAAACTGTAGAATAGAAAGCAATTATTGATAGTAAAATGTTAGCAGCATTTTTAATTGTAATTGACAAATACAACCTCCTTTTTACTACACACCAATACTGAAAAACCCAATGATAGAAATAAGTTCGAACGTTTCGAAGAAATTTCAAAAGACGCTTTGGTGATACTCTTCAACATGAACGCTAAATACGACCGCCGGATCCTGTATGCGGTGTTGCTGCTCCATTTGTACGTTAAACATTTTTTCACATATAATAGGAAATTTAGCTACGGACAAATGAAATGTGTGGAAAAAATGATCATCGAACAACTGACGGAGTCCATGCACGACTGTCCGGGTGACAACGAATTCTACTTGACCGAAAATAGTAATCCTGTAATGCTTGACAATTTTCACGACATGATTGTAGAACACTTTCGCCAAATTTTCCAGACCACAATCAACCGCCCTATTGGCGTCGATAATACCACATATTATGATAAATGAAATATTATGCTTCATAATTAATAAATACTGAAATATTACTAAATAATTTTCTGTATATTAATTTATTACATACTTTGTATTCTTGTAGTACACCAATGAGAACGGAAAGGGCCAAATTATACATCCAAATTAGGTCACTTTCCAAGGTTTCTACCCAAGTCGCTAGAAACGATTTTTATACTATGTCGTTTTTGTTATATTTTTTACGCTTTGACTCGGATACAAATAACAACATGTGACTAGAAATATATTATGTTATCTTATTTTACAAGAACAAAATATTTAATCCGAGACGACGCCATCGTCAAGCACACAAGTTAACTTAAAAGGTAAGTAAATGTATAATATATAGTAATATGATACAGTGATAGTCATGAAAAAAATTCATAAATAAATATTTTCAAGGTGATACAAGGTGATGTAAGACACTCTTTTCAATGAGTGGCTTACATTAGATGGATCACTCTATATGTATGTAAAGGGTAGTACGTTAACTATGATACAGTCAAATTTGTTTATACATTTAAAAAAATATCATGTTTAAATGTAATATTGATATCAATAAATATAAAATTCTTAATCTAGAGCGTATACGATTTTATTAACTAAAAAATTTAAACCATCTAAATTAATTTAAACTATACTACATTTTTAAACATTTAATTTAAATTTTAAATCTAATATATAACAATATTGTGTTTTTTTTATATTCGAAACTAATAAACGAAGATGCATTTAAAAGTAAATTTCGTTTATAATTCTATTTTATTATTCTATTTTTAACTGTAAACGGTGATACAGTTTTTATCCATGTCGTTAATTAATATTGTTATGTTTTTGAGCCAATTGTTAGTGCATTAGTAAATATACTCATAGATGATTTTAAATTGTCTCCACTGTAAGAAATTCCCTGGAACTTTTATTTGAGATAATAATCATACAACTCCCATGATTAAAATTGAGTTTATGTATTTATAAATGCATAAAAATATTGCACAAATCGAATTAGTTATTTATTTAGTTATTTTTTGGTGGGAAAAAAGTTGTTTATCATTTTGAAACATCTGGTGGTTAGGTAGTATTATTTTTACAGCCCCCCCCCCCCAGAGTAAGATTGAATGTACGCCACTGCATCACGGTCAAGGAAATTAAATCAACTAAAATTTTTAAAATGAGCGACGAAAACAAAATAATAAAATCGGACATGGTTAACTTGTCGGATATCTAAATTGAATCGCCACAAGAAGAGATAAAAGTACATTTTTAATCAACTTCATTTCTTGATGGTATATTCAGGCTTTAGAAAAAAAAATTGAAAGATACCAAAACTACGACAGGACAAAAAGCAGCATCTCGTATTTGTGTTTCATCCAAAAAGGTTAAGTTTTTTTTTTCTTAAAATATAACTATTTTTGCACAAAGTTGTTCAAATAGTTAAAGATCATTTTTAAAAATTGCGATAAAACTAGCCGAATCTTGAAATAATAATTTTAAATCTTTACTTATCAAGATGATAGATTTCCCTTTCATCCTGATCTTTATTCTAGCAATAATTTTAAAAAAAGTTGCTAATGCCCTCGCGTTTAACTCGTGTATTTTAAATTATGTAACTTACAAGATTATTCTCGATTTGTCTATTTGGTTACCATAATATATGTAAACTCTTTTAAAAAAATAAAATACAAAACTAATTACCGGCTTGAAATGGTTTCTAAACAATTCTAAAAAAAAAAAAACTACAAATAACATCGTTACCAGCGATAATTTGTTATTACGTTGTTGCCTGTTATTGAGTTCATGTGTACAATTTTGTCTCACTGACTTTCTTCTTTTTTTCATTGCGTTTAACTTATTAACTTGTTTAACCTACTATAAGTTTTTTGATCATACACGTTTATTAAAAGGTCAGCACGTCGATGGCAGTTATATTCGGGGCAGATGCTCGCTGGCTTTGGTGTGGTTCACCCCGGAGGGATCGCCTACGACCGACTAGTAGTGCGGGCCGAGAAAGGTTGGGCTCAAGATGAAGTGACCGTGTAGAAATCAGCCTTTTAGTCGCCTTTTATTATACAGGTAAGGTGCATTGAAAACACCAATCCCACTATGTCGTGTCGTGATCGACTTTGCCAATTCAATCTTAGATGGTGGCAAACTCTGGCCGTCGCACGGCGTTTGTTTCTGCCATTTCTTAAATATTATATACACTACGCTAGTATATTGAATTAAATAGGTATATATAAATTATGCACAAAACAATAGTACATAAATTATTATAATTTAAAAAAAATTCAAGTATAAAATCGCAATGTCTACGGATTAGTGAAAAATGAAAATGTGTTTGTTTTGAATAATACTGTTTACCGGACAACCAATAACATTGGTTATTTTTACAATTTCGATTCTAAAATTTAATTACGCCGTCGTTGCAGATTGTGTTGGATTCGTCGGTCAACCAGCCAGGTTGTATTTGACTCGTTCTATCTGGCACAGCCCGTATTAGCTATGCCTTAACTACTGCCACCGCAGACAGTGTTCGACTAGCAGCCAGCGCCGGTCAGTACACTGAATATGACTTATGTCCACCATTGGTATTACCACAGAATAGATTAAACCATAATGGTCACTTCAGTTCCACATAGGTACAATCTTTATGGTAATAATGAGAAGATCTAATGATAATAGTCAAAGCCCCCACCCCCGTTAGTAGAAAATATAAGTAGCTGTGTTATGAATAATAAAAATGGTGTAAGTAATAACCTAGTAATTAAAGGGTGTTATAAATAATGTAAGTTATAAGTTTACTGTTGACTCGGGGGCAAGCGTAACCGTTATTCATTTTTTTATTGTTATAAATCATTGCTATACATTACAATATACATTATTTTTTTTTGCTTTATGGAACATTAATCCGTTTAGGTTAGGTTAGGGTCACTAGTTAGCAATTTAGTTTATTATTTATATATCTGTGAGTACAAGTTGATAGCACAGAATCATAGATGTATATAAATTATTTTGTACACACATAAATCTCACAAAAACGTCGACTTCTATTATTATTTTCACTAGTTAGCATCTAGTTTATTGTATATATCTGTGGACCAAAATATATTATTTGTTATTTGTGTGTTTGTTGTTGTAATGTTTGTTTTCTTTGCAGAATGCCCAACAGCCATCGACGCCACGGACCATCGAGGAGCTGAGCTCGCCCATCGCCAAGTAAAAAAACCGTACTATCTTACTATTCTTGCCTAGCCCATTCTCGCAGTAATCAATAGTAATAAACAGCCGGTTTCACCAACTGTTATTAAATACACTCTTAACACTCTTAATGTTAGTTGACAATTCATTTGAATTTAATAAAATAAGTTTCGTTATAACAATATATTATTATTTAAACTTTGATCGCTGCTAAGATGAAACATGCAAAAAACTTACTATTTTAAAATTGGCAAAAAAAAAAGACAGCACATTTTAACAGTTTTGATGTCAGCAGATGTTAGGAGTTGATCAACAGCCGCCAACGGTCCGAAGATGTCAGGATCAATATCGACGTCGCCGGGATCAACGTGTCAGCAAACATTGTTTGTATTTATCATTGTTGTTGTCTGGGTTGATGCATTTAACATCTCTGTTGTTTAGAAACTAATTCCACCGAAACCTCCTCCAGTCATCCGAGAACCAAGGAGGACACCTGGCACTTTTCTGGCTAATTCGACCAGTTGATCTAATTCTGGACAAGATACTTTTCAAAATCATCCCTACGGATATAAAATTTAAATTTAGTCTAATCTTATGGTAGTAACATGTCGACAATAAAGTATCATAGCTGATTACTCATCGTGCTAAATTCTGGTTTTCAATGATAAAGAAGAAATAAATAAAAATAGGTCTCTTTTAACGTGTTATTTATTTAGACCACAAGTTGAATACAAATTGCGTTTGAAAACACTTGGTAATAAATACATTATGATGAATATTCAAATATTATCATAAAAAATGTTGGCCGAGATTAAAAACAAGTACACCTAAAATTAATGTAAATACTTGCTTTCGAGTCACACTATTCAGTGGTTTGAATTTTTATCATTTAGTACTTTGAAAAAGTAGCTGGAATTAAAACTTTCTCAAGTTTCGACAATTCTCCATAGATTTTGGGTTTTTTCTTCTAAATTGACCTTTTTTTGTAATTTATTTGTTTAGTATGTTTAAAAAAACATTTAAAAAACTTGTCTCTTACTCACTAGATTCCAAAATATAGCTTAAAAATAACATATTTATCTGTAATTCATCGTTTGACCTTGTCTAGCGCACAACATATTTAATATACTCATATTGTTACAGCTGGCATGGACTTAGGGGCAACAGACACTTTTGACAAAACCAAGTCCCCCTCCGACTTCAAGCATACTATAATATATAAGAGATGAAAGGAAAAGGAGTTTTGTTTTAGTGTAGTAAAAAGTAGGTTTTTTCATTTTTTCAATAATGTACATATATGTATGTAATATATATAATTGGTTATTTCTTGTTATTTGAAACAATTATTTACAAGTAGATCAAAAGTAATAAATGCATAAATATTAAAGATGTTTGATAAACACATTATAAATTCTAACCATCATATCTGCACCACAACTGGCCATCCGCAAAACTCCGTCCTTATGCCGAACGTCCTTTTTATTTAACAACGGCTGGAATACGAGTTTTTTAACTGTCAAATGATGTCCCAATCTAAATTTGTACTAATGTAAGGAAAACACATAATAGCTTATTTACAGTAATCAAAATTTCAGTACAAAGTGTAAACTATATTTTATTCGCAACGATCGATAAACGATGAAAAACAACAATGTGAGCCACATTTTATACAAGCTATAATTGATAATTTGATATTTCAAAGGATACTCGTTAAATATATTGGCTAGTTCAAACCACGCTGTAGTAGATTTGTCTTCAGAGTTCCATTTATACAATAATATTCTTCCTGAATCACATCCTATAGCCATAAGGTACGCCGACTCGTTATTGAGATGTGTTGGTGCGAATGCGACTGATGTAAAGCTCTCTTCGGATGCAATCAGTGGATCGCTCTTGGGGCAATACAATTCTTTCGTATCGTCGCCTGTTTCGCACCGGTCAGATTTGTCCCAAACAACTAATTTACCATCTCTAGAGCCCGTAGCGAAATACGAGGAATCGTGAGACCACGCGCAACACCAAATAATTCTAGTATGTATTCCCGTTTGCTTGTTTGATTTGAAAACAAGACTAAACAAACACGATTCTGCATTATACTTGAACAAGGTCCATGTACGGTCGCGTGAGACGGATACGAGTTTTGTGCTATCTGGCGAAAAGGCCAATTGGGTTACAGTTAAATTATGAGATACTAATTTTTGTACTTGTTGATAACCATTTGTATTCCTGAAAAAAAAAAATTAATTAAGTCATGTAAATTTAGTTTTATACTTTATATAGGTACCATATAAAGTATTATCAGCCAATTTGAAGAAAAAAAAGGTGGATATTATATTAATACACCTTTATGGGAAAAGGGGCTAAGTAGACAAAGAAATTTAAAACAACTATAGGGAAATTAATATTATAATTCACCATATTATAATTGCAGCGTGTTCAACCGATGTAGCTTTTGCAGCCGAAGCCACCCATTTGCTGTCTGGTGAAGACGCCAAACAATAAACTTCATATCCGTGACCATAAAGTTTTTGAATTTCTGGCCACAATGTGTTTTGTACTAAGTCTTCTTCAGTAGGTGGTTCTAAGAAATACATAAACTTTTCACTAAACACAACTATTTTAACAATAAAATAAGCTTACGACTTAATGTCAAAGGAACAAAATAATGCTCGGGGTAATCTTTTTTGGTTTTTTGGTTAGCCATATTTTTACAGTCTTCTCCGGAAACTGCTTTATTGGATAAACCAAGCGATGGAACGGATGCTCCTAATGGACTATTTGCAATGTCTGAAAGTAAACAAAAATGTATGTATCGCGCGTTGACTAAATATCTTTGATAAGTATAGAATTAATTATTAAATAGAGGGGACAAGATTAGGAATGTATGTCTATTACACAGTCGTACAAGAGGTAATATAGAATACGATGACAACTAACTTGAGACAAAATATTTTGTGATAAATTGTTTGCATGTTATTACAACTCACCGACAGGAGGAAACTGAATTTTTCCTAAATTGCTCATATTCTCTAAAAAGTTATAAGGCGCTTGAAATACTCTTATGACTTTTTCTTCGGCCGAAGACGCGAAACTTAAACTCGACAACATAACAACGCTTGACATATTGTATCCGTGTACTTGCGGCCGAGCCATTTCATGCCAATTCTTCATTCATTAAATTGATTACAAATACAATTCTAACAATTAGTTATTATTATTGGCCAATTTTATTATATTCGGCCTATAGACTATTACTGTATAATATTAATTTTTTATGTTAAGACTAAAATATTGTTATTTTTAATAAATTTACAAAGCTAAAAATTAGCTTGACTTTTTTTTTTTTTTGGTTTCTTGCTGCATATTTATAGTGAATGCACTGAGTGAAAAAATGTAAAACTGATTTAATTATATTTTTGAAAAAGTTGTAGCATGTCATATTTTAAAGATGAATATCTTGGCCAATAGGTATAATATTTTATTTTTAATAAAAGCACTTAAAAAAATATATACACCCATAGTTAAAAAGTTGTGTTCACACACATTATTTGTTAGACTTATATATTTTAAGCTTTGTGCCAAAGCTTTGAAAGAAACTTACTGAAATGTTATTAGATTCACTTGATTTCAGCCACTGAGCGTGAAGTCTGGTAGTTTGGTCAAAACTCACTGATACAAGATACCTTCCCTCTGGCTCCCAAGCTATGTCTTCAACTGAACCAAAATGACCACCAATTGTAACTTCAGGAGACCAACCACCATCTTCTTTGTTCTAATATTTGAATAAATAAATAGCACTGTTAAGGCAAAAATGATTTAACCTTTTTTTTATTGTTGAATGTTCACTAAAAGCTGTTCTCACCAGTTTCGCTTAAAAATTCAGTACAATACTACAATTTTACCACATAAATCAAACTGGTGAGAAGAGCGATAAGAAATGTTCATGTTAAGTGTTCAAATGAAGTGTACAATAGCCAGTAAGACTACTTAACCGTTAACCAACTCGACCATATTATTCTCCGAAAAATTATATTTTAATTACTTTTTTCCATAAGTGAAATGATCCATCATGCCCTTGAGCTAAAATACATTGACCGTCTGGAGAAAATTTACCTCCATAAAACCCTAAAGTATTGCCACCAACTTCACCTAATCTTACAAAATCAATCCAAAGACCACTGTTGTCATCAAATGCCCATACTGCGAGCGTTTTATCCATTGACACCGACAGCAATTCTAGTTTGGATTCTACAACAAAATTAAAAACATTATTTTATTATTTCTTTTAATATCTAAGCACTTAAGTATAACGCACGAACGAAAACCTTCACCAGTGCTCCTGTTTTAAACAAAAAAAACACTGTAAAATTCTACAGGTGAATTTTCATTGGCAGGGAAAAAATAGATACAATGCAGAGAGAAAAATATGTGCATTTTAAGGTAGTAAAAATAAATAACTATATTATAATCTAATAAACAAATATAATTCACGTTACCTGAACACGACTTAGACTTCCAATTCACGCCATAAATCCAACCATCATGACCCGATATAACAGATTCTGTTTGAATGACATAGACTAAGTTGGATCCATCTTGCTTAGAGACATTAATTTTTTTCTGTTCTAATTGCAATGTTTCTTCATTTGATGTACTATCATTTGTATTTTCTTCAGTTGTAAATTTCCATAATCGTATCATGGAATCTTGCGAGCCACTTGCAAGGAACAAACCTCCACCAGTATTTTCTAAAAGCATTATGCTATGTTTTAATTTATAATTCTGCCGTTGTTCTTCAAGACACGACTTAAGACAACCATTTCAATTGCTTATTTAATTGTTGTACAAAAAATTCAAAATCGATTGTAAATTTATAACAGAACACTAATTAACAGTGTCAAATTATTATTTTACGATTGTCCCAAAAAAGGCAGTAAAAACTAAAAAAAACTTTATCGTTCTTTACCTTCAGAAATAAAATCTAAAGCACGAACCCAATCTTCATGGCCATCTAAAGTGTGACTTGAAATAAATCCTGATTTTCCATTACTAAAATTACTAATGCATAATTGTATTTTGCTATTAGATAAACCACAAGCCAGCAACAGGCAGTTAGTGTATGGTAAAATAGCAATTTTAACAGATATACACAGCACGTTTTTAAAATCGAGCGTTTGGAAACACTGGCAATCACCTAAAACAAATTTAAATATTATAATAAAAAATAATAACAAAATAGTGTAAGATATGACACCTACATACAGACACACATACACGCATAAAATTTACTGTTGTTTGATTCTAACACATTTTAAAATCTAAGGTTATGGTTTTTTTTTATTTTACTTACACTCGTCTTTAGATTTCACCCAAATTTTTACAGTACAATCGCCAGAAGTTGTAACAATGTACAATGAATCATTTAAAAGTCGTATAGCATCACTAGATGTAACCACGTCAGAATGTCCTGAAAGAACAAAGAAACCCTTATTAAAACTAAAGTTAGATAATACAAATAATTATTATTGTTAAGTAATCGGATGAATAGTATTTTAGTTTATTAATATTGTTTGTTAAATAGTTTTTAAGAGAACACACAACATACTCATTTATTAAGGAGTTATGGATAGGCAATTATTTGAAAATTCTTAGTTTAGAGCTTAAAATACATAGTGTATACATTAATGATTATTTTTTTATTTTTTGTCAGACTGTTACAGTAATTACAATAGAAAAAATAATTATTTTTTCCATCAAAATGGTTTTGAGCAAATCAAAACTAAAGTGTCTTGGAATTGTAAAGTCATTAGATTTTCACAGTAAATAGAGGAAAACTTTATGTGTGCTTGAGCGTTATTCAATTTTAATAACTCAATCCAAATTTGTACCAAAATATTAATAACTAGAATAGGATTGTCGAAACTCATGCTACTGAAGTAAAAGATAACTTCCTGGTATAGTTTTAACCAATTCAACACTGCTTCATAAAAAGATAAATTTACAACTTGGGTCAGAGAAGGGGGTTGCTCACCACTTAAAAACGTCACTGCTGATTTTAATATTAAACAACAATACAACCATATGTTTGTAATTTGGGTAACATTCAAAGTTTGAATCGACAAGACATTATTAAAAATGGTATAATTACCAACAAGTTTTTCTTTGCGTTTATAATATCCCGTAGGTTGAACTCCCTCCCATAGTACAGCAGAATTGTCAGCAGAACAAGAGACGAAATCTTGAGCCAAACTATTATTGGATGCCTGCTGTATCCATTTGACGCTGTTTACTCGCTTCGTATGATGTAGAAACGTTGAAACAATCAGACCGTCGCAATGATCCTGCAATTTTTTTTATAAAAGTTAAACAAATAGGTTTAATTTGTTTTTATTTGATAATTTCACTTGCATCTATTCGAGGATCATACATATGGACAGCATTGCAAGAGCCAAAGATCACCAATCCATTTGTGCCCCAATCTAGACAATGAGGCGAACTGTTTACAGCACTAGAAACGTAAACCGACTCGACTAATTCTTGTTGATTCGTTTCCTCCATTTTTAGTGAATATTGTAACTCTTAAAAAACCAATTATCAGAAACAAAACGTTTTCTAATGCAAACAGAAAACGTCCACCAATTAGTAGTGTCAACTATATTATAATATAATAATTACATAATTTAACCAACCTGTATCATTGTTGTTATATTATTTAGTTGCCGTTTATATTGTTATCTATGTTTTTTTAACGCACGTGCAGTGTGCTTGATAATATCATTGATTTTAAATATTTATAATCAATGATAGTATGTTGAGTGATAAAATCAAATTTGATACAAGTATGAAAGTGATAAGATATATAAATCAAGAATTACTAAAAAATAAAAACTAAATTGTAGTTTATAACTGCAAATCATACTCCAGGAATCATAGTTTATTACTGCAAACTAAAAGCAACTGCTTGTTTTTGGTTGTGGACCAATAACTATTAATAATTATTTTGGATTTCAAAACTGAACATGCGGTCGGCCGTTTCCCTAATCTGAGCCAAACTTACACTTTAAAAATAAAAATATACTATCAATTTTTTTTATTTAAAAGCCGCCGTACAGGTGATTTTTTGCGGTAAAGAAATGGTTAAGCAGACTGAGTAGAACTCGCTTGATTTTGGTTTTAGAGTAAAAGCACTTATTAATAAAATAAAAACGAGACAATATTCCAAAAAGCGCCTCGATACGTTTAAAAAAAAGGTATTTTTTGAAAGAAATTTTTTTTAAATCGCTTTCAAGGATGCCGTGATAGTTCAAAAAATAAACTGATTGCCAAAAAAGAGTTAAAATACTGAGCTAACGACTACACACACAGTTTAACCTTTAATTTAAGGTTTTGCGAAAAAATGCCTGTATAACGTCCTCTTAAATCAATTTTTTTACTAAAAAAACACAATCTATGTGATCTATATTTAAAATGGTTTCTTTAGAACATTTATTTTTTAAATCTCATTTTGCCTAGGAGATATTTTAGTAAGTACTCTCCGTTGGACATCTTGCACATCCAGCTTATATTTTAAAAACATGTTGACGGGGCCTGATTAAGACATTATTGAACCATAAGCCATAAGCTTAGTAATGGCTATAATGGCTATTTTCCATTAGTATGTACTGATGATACCTGTATAGAATAATTTTGTTAAAAAAAAAATAATACCTAACCGAGGCATTTTCGAATCCTAATCGAGTCTATTTCAAATTTGTATTCCTTGTTTAAAATCTACAATACTATAGCGTTTGTTAGTCATCTAAAACAATACTCAATGACCAACATAATATTATTATTATCTGTCAATAGTGCTCACACATTTGCGTTTATCCTATTTTTATCAAGAAACTGGTCACTGCTCTTGTATTTGCTTTAATACAATATATATATAATAGATATATTAATACAATATATATATAATAGAATAACTGATGTGCCATTTTCATTCGAAATTGTGTACTATTCCGGATAACATCTAGACATCACCAAAGTCCTCAGAAGTAAGTTGCTTGAAATATTACTAAATCTTGTTGTACAGTTATATAATATATTCACTGTTGGCTTATTATAGTTATAAGCAGGAATCGTTCCATTTTCCTCTATCAGTAACGTGCTTGAAAACTAATATTACTATATTGCTATATATTTTTTTTTTTCCATTTGATCAAAAACTCCTAGAAGAGATGGAATCTTTTTCTTTATTTCAATTTGTTGGGCGTAGTTTGAGACATTTTAATCTGAAAATTACACCTAAGATACCTACGCCTAGAGCCGGGCTAAAAGTAATAACAACAAATTGTCCCAAGAAACAGTTGTTATATATATATATATATATATATATATATATATATATATATATATATATATATATATATATATATACATATATAATTGTTTTTTTATTAAGGAAAACTTCACACTCGTTGCGTATTAAATTTACTGGTTATGTACTGTGCTGTGCTGTGCTTTACTGTGCTATGTGTGAATGAATTAACAGGTATCAGGTAAATATTTGTATTATATTAATAAATACTTCTAAAAACTCTTTTACTTTTTAAATTATAAAAAAAAAAAAAAAAATAAAGATAGCTATTTTATTGAGAATGTTTTGCTGAGAATTTTGACTGGTCGATAACCAGTTTTGGATAATTACATTTAAAGTTATTAAAAGTTAAAGGATAGGATGGGAGGTGGAGTACAGTTAAGTTGCTGTTGATTGCACTCTACCGCACTCCACCTCCTATCCTACACTTTAAACTTAAATAACTTTAAAAGTAATTATCCAAAACTAGTTGTCGACCAGTAAATATTTTCAGCAAATAATTCTTAATAAAATGGCTGTCTCAAAATTGAATAAAATTAAAGTGGCCAAAAAAAGTAAAACAATTAAGCATACAAACCGTGGGGTGTTTGGAGCGCGAGTAACAGAAAGTCATTAAAATTGAGTGTATAATCTAAAATCTTGGCCTTCCGTGTTTCCCAAAATTTGAGAATTTTCCTAACATTTTTTTTTCAGAAAGCTGAGAATATTTTACATAAAATGTGTAAATTTCAAACTGGATTTTCCGTAAAAACGCTTAGAAAAAAAGGAGGTGAAAATTCACAAAAAAGTCGAAAAAACCACCACAGTAATCAAAATGGCTAAAATAATTATTATATGTTAAAACAATATAATTTTAAGTTTTTTATATGAATTTTCACCTCTTTTATTTATTGTTTTTCTAAGCTTTTCGATGGAGAACCCAATTTGAAATTTACACATGTACAATTTTCTTAGCTTTCTAAAGAAAAATTCTAAAATTTTGGACAACACGAATAAAAGAATTAATTAAATTATTAACTTAGTTTTAAAAACATTCTGGTACTCGAATCTAAAAACCAATATTTTTTACAGTTCCGTGGAGGGGAGAGGGGCTTAAACGTTCGTTTGTATTTGGCGTTTTGACCCATTTACATATATGTATATATAAATTATGATTGTATACTTCCTTAAATTCATTTATAGTAATTTCTGAAGACTTGTGACCTCCCGGCTAACTGACCCAATATGTTTCTACCCTACTGTGCTGGAGATTTAAAACTATTGGGTTTACTCGTTAGCGTTTTTTTTTTTTGTAAGAAAAATAATTCATATTAATTATTCCAATAGAACTGCACAATGCGTGCTTTCAGTTCGATTTTATGTACATGAATTCTCGACAATTTATACAAGGGACGTTCATCACGTGTGATTAAGATATATTGCCTAAATTATTATAAAACTCCATAATATAGATGCTGGGTCAACCCCCATTAAAACGCATACAGTTTTATACTTGTTAGGAAATAAGCAGTGAAGTAAAATATTTCTATAGTAAAATACTTCTTCAAATAACTAAATAATATTCGAATAATAAATCAAAAATTGATAAATGCAATTGTGATGTTTTGCAAAACTGTTGGAATAACAATTAATATTTTATACACCTAACGATATACACCTATACATACATACAATAGTAGGTAATAATATTGAGTTTATCCTTTGATATAAAATACGTATAGTTACTTTCAAGGATAAGTGTAGCAATAACAAAGTTGTTTTTGTATAGAGACTATACAGACCTACCTACACGTGCAGCCTTGTGAGACAATAATAATTGAGCTAAGGGCGCGGGGCTTCTTATATCTGTTCAGTTTTCTTAGTAAATCATAAATTTATGTCACACTGTTTATTTTTCTCTGTGCAATATTATTATCTATTGTTATTGTACTTACCGAGGTGGATTAATGCACCTGAGTATTTACTTATATGTGTTTATCAAAATAGTAGTGCGTTAATCTATTCATCGTTAATCTATTCTATTTATTTGTGTTATGTTTTATTCAAATACTAAACTTCCACTCGTATAATATACAACATTTTATGAGCGTTAGGAAATAAGCAGTGAAGTAAAATATTTTTTTTTATAATAAAATACTTCTTTAATTAACTACAAATAATATTCCTACAATAAATAAAAAATGTATAATATATCTTTTGAGGCTCTTTATAAAAAAAATGAAGCGTCTTGGGGGCAGGTCAGTGCTAGGAACCACTTGATTAATAATACCGAATTTTGTTGAAAGTTGAAGGGTCACAAGTGTCTTTAATTTCAACCATCTCATAACTGACCCATAAAAGTACTTACCACATTTTAAATTTCAACTCAATTTTGTTTAGAAAAAAGCACATTAACAACTCCAGAGAGCGTATTAAAAAACACTGGGTGTTTATATATATATTTATTTCTAGCTGGCCTAATTTACATAACTGTTCCTATAAACTGTAAAAATCGTCCGCCATTCCACCACTCTAATGTAAATAATGTGTTATTCAATTTTTTGGCGGTTTTCTTAATAAATTAAGTGACATTTTATAAAAAAAAAAACTTACATGTGTTCCATACATTTTTCAAGTTGAGAATATTATAATATTATCGTTGATAAAGATGTAGATAGTTTTGCATTACAATTAATTTTCTATATTCGTTGTTATTTAATTTTCTTGTCTTGGCATTACTCATATGAAAATGATTGTGAACAGCAGAACAATCTTGGGACGGCTTAAACAAACTCAACTGAAATGCTGAAAACAATTTTGGCGACGTACGTTCGGTCTCCACACACGAGTTACATAAAATTTTTTTTCCCCATATCCAAAATTCGTTGCGTGGATACATATGACAAATTTTACATCGGTTTATCATAACTGGTGGACATATGATTTTGGAAAAAGGTCTAAGACACTTCTTTCCACCAAATGAATGATCCCATTGTAGCATGCGTTTGCAATCACTTGCATCATAACAGACATCAATTTGTCCAATAGTATTATCTTTGAATCGTTTATTAATCGAGTTGAATGGAACTTTATTTTGTCGGACGGGTCCGGGTGAACTCGGAACATAAGAGCGATCTTGGGTTATTTCACTTCTTAGTAGAGGTGAGCTGGAACGAAACGTTGTACTTTTAAAAGGTAGTGTTCTTAGATCTTTAAGTTTTATATATGCTATTTCATCTTTATCTTTTACGACATATCTTCCCGGTCCTAAATTAGCTTCAAACGTGTATTCATTTTTTAAAGGCGAGAGACGACTGCCAGTTCCGTTTGGTGGTAGACAATTTTTTTCCTTTTTTGATCCAAAGCAAATAGGATTTTTATAAAATATGTCTACTACATAATTAAAATCAATATTAGATAGCATTTTGCAATAAATATAAGAAGAAAATAACAATTTAATTGGTAGCTTAGCAATAACCACATGATGTTTCATAATATAAGTTTAATTTGTTAATAATTACATTAAAGATTATAATAGTAATACACCAACAGTTATATAAGTCTAAATGAATAATAATGTACACATGTATAATTCTTAAACATATTGTAATATGCAGTTTTAATTACAAATAAATTATAAAATCAGTCTTCTCAAAAAAAGATAAGTAATATTTAAGATAAATATTATTATAATAAATAATATTTAGTTTTTATAATATAATCAAAAGAATTATAGTTATAAAAATTATACTTAATAAAATACCAATTGCCATCCATTGTCTTCGATCTGAAACAAATTATTTATACTTAAAGAGTACGTTGTAGCAAGAGTTTGGATTATAATTGATATTTACTAGTTCCAACGCCAAAATTTAATAACCACCTTTTATCGTACAATGTACTAATAAAAATAAGTATTTTAATTTATTTCTAGAATATTTTAAAAGATTATTATTACACAATCACTTTCTTATCAAATTAAAATAATCTTTATTTTTAATCTGTATTTTAATCAAATTTAAAATGTTTATACAAATATAAGTACTATATATATTAATACTTGAACGTTTTACCATACTGCTGTAAGTTTTTTTTTAATTTGATGGTCAATCGTAATTTAAATACAAATTAGCGTCATTCACAAAATAAGACTAAATGCATTTTTAGCGAAAACCTAATTGTATAACTTTGATTATCATCATGTATAGTTGATTTTCATTATTAATTCATGTGTCAAAATAAAATGTGTATGTATTCTTAAATATTTTATTTATGTATTATAATTTTAATTTAAATTGGGTAAAAAAACTAGTTTGAAAATTACAATTGCACTAGGGTAACTTAAAATATTAGTGTGTACATTTAAATTACCATCAGACAGCTGAAGAACTTGTGCGACTTTTTTCGAAACCATATCTAGCCTTGACTCGGTTTTGTCTAGCTCAGTGTTCAAACTGTCGAGCATTCTATAAAAAAAAAAAAACGCCAACAAAACATTTAAAAACTTCAAAATATTCAAGCACGTGGGTTTTATTTTTGTAGAGGATAAAGGGTCATTGAACTATACAGAATATTTATTTAAGCTCTTGTTGGAATCAAAAAGGATATTTTATTTAATAAATTCAAATTTAAAATATAATATATACCCATTGACTTACATGTTCTGTTGATCTAATTCAACGCTTATATCTTCAGAAACGTTCTTTAGCGTTTTAACAGATTTTGTTATAAGGTCCAATTGATTATGTTGTTCATTCATCTTGTGAGTATTTGAACTTAACATGTCGGCAACAAATTTAGAAGTACTCGGACGAGATGTAAACAATAAATCATCATCATTCTCTTGTTCTAGTAGAGGCTAAAAAAAATTGTAAAAATTAATGATTATAGTATGCTTAATTTTTTGAAACTTAAAAGTTACTTTTGTTGATTAAAATATGTTATCATTGTGTGATTTGTTTTGTTAAATCATATAATATACATACCGAATTACATATCGACGCCCTAAAAAGATATAAAAAGTTTATGGATTTATGAATAAATTGTTATTTCGCGTTTTTGTGATTTACATTTTTTTAGAGCCAATGATCGAAAACTGCTTAAAATTGCTAAGGGGTTTTTATGGTATTTTTACAAATATATCGTAGTTTTATAAAAAAATAATTTTTCAACAGCTGCTGTATTTTTGTTTAAATTTTTTTATAATTAGAGTTCAATGAATTTTATTACACGCACATTTTTTTTATAGCAAATTTGTAATTTTAACTGCTTAAGTTTTTTTTTTACATTATGTTTATAGGTAGATGTTACTAAATAAATAATTTGTTAAAGCCGAAAATACCTCAGAATCTTGGGTTCCTGAATTGATTTCCCAGGAATATCCGTTTTTGCCTCTCGGTAACATCTTTAATAGATTACTAGTAGGCAACAATATATAATTTTTGTTAACTATATTAATTATACTGGACTAATGACTAATCAATAGATAAAACTACTATGCGGATTAAACGAAACAAATAAACACTGCGCATTTTTTACGACTAATCGAATTAAAGACAATTGCCATAAAAACGGATAACAGAACGTTTAACATTGAAAATTGCTATTCGCGTGTATTACGAGTTATGACTTATGACTATTACCGATTGCGTTTTCAACTTAATTTTGCAGATTAAATTTTCAGGAAATTTATATCATCATTTCCGTTGTGTTAGGTATATTATTTCTTTTTTTCAGTTAATCGCCACTAAACACATAATGATAACAGTACCGATAACGAACAGGTGGTGAATAATCTCCAGAAAAAAAAAAATCTTAATATGTCTATTTCCATTTAGCAATGATAACAAGAATCCAAGTTACATCCACTGATAAATTATTACCGCAATACAAAGATGCGTGTTCGAATTAAATGCAGTTTATGTGCAGTACATAATATTTTTTTATGATCGTGCATGCGATTTGTCAATTATTTTATATTTATTTCGTTGTAAGACGTATTTTGTGCGTTAAAATGTGACATTTAATAAATGAAATCGTTGAAATTATGAATGCGGAGAACGCGGCTACTGTGGATGTACTGAAACAAAGATTCGAGTCCTTCCAATGCACCAACAAGCCTATGCGTGGATTGGAAGATAAACAGAGTGATATATTTGTAAACAAAATAAATATTAAGAGGACTCCGGCATTTCGACGAGATGCTAAAGTACCAAAACATTTGGGGGAAAATCCACAATCCAAAAAGGTAGCGAATAAACAATTTTATTATTGCGACAACAACAATAGTAAAAAAACCGTCGAGTGCGGTACGGACGTGGCGTCCAAGTCGTTTTGTTTTAAAAGTTACAATTCAAATAAAATATCCGATTTAAATCACTGTATAAATAACGATAAACTTGTGTCAAGTCATCAAGTTCTGGTTGAATGTTTAAAAAAAGAACTAAAAAAAAGTAGCTACAATAACAATAAAGATATAACGTCATTGAAAAATAATATCGAACATATTTCTACACAGACACCGCTTCCGTCAGGTCCACCTCCTAAAAAACCACCACGAACATTTGCTCATGATAAACAAACAAGTTTGGAATTAAATGTAAAACCAACAATGGACGTTCATAAGAAACCAAAGTCTGATCCTAAAATTATGTTACAAAAGTTAGAACAATTTGTCGTGAATAACTCGCACACTTATCAAAAAGAAAACGTAGTTGTTGATGAAATTCCTGATAGAAGATGCGATTCCAAAAAAAGTCAAAAGAAATCGAAAATGTTTAGTTTGGCAAAGTCTTTAAAGTGCATAGGTAATTCAAATGTTTATGATAACACTACAAAGATTCATGACACAGATGATCAGAACTACTTAACTTCAAAATTCTATTATGAACATGATACTGAGCATATTTATGATGAACCTGTATTCCTAAACCAAAATTCAAGGATAAATACGAACAGTGTTGATAGCCGTCATGCGCTTGATTGTAATGAATTGGCTTGTGATTCCGATAAGTCTAATCTACATTATATGGTAAATTCTGAATATCAATTAAAATAATAACTATTCTTATTAACATTTTTTAATTTTTTTTTTTTTTTTTTTATCAGCGAGTAATTACATTTGTTATACCTTTAAAAAAATATAAACCTTTTAATTTTGTTTTGTAGTCCACGCCAATAAAAGATTACGATTCCAAAAATGAATGTTTAGATCAATGTGATAATTTTCCAAGTATAGATCTAGATGGTTTAGATGATTTTGATGGACCGTCGAATAAAGATAAGACAGTAAGCCATGAAAAAAAAGTAAGAATTGTTCTAAACATTGTGTGTTATCATTTTTATTTTTATTTTATGTAACCTCATAATGTATTATGTGTTTTATTTTATAGATTCAAATGCTTATGAATGAAGCCTATGGGACATTTATTAAAGCTCAAGAATCTGAGAGTGACTCTGAATCGGTGTCAAATAACGAGGATAGTTGTAATAGTTCGATTAATTATCTAACGGGTAAGTAATTATTATACACTTATAAAATTGTACAGGATATCATAATTGTGCTTATGTATACAGCGTGAGTTATTTAAAACTAATCGAAATCAATAATGACTCGTAATCCCGTTAAAAACAATTAAAACAGTGGATTAATTGAAACACCGTTTCAGTTTATTGAAATGATCAGTTGAACCTCACAGGAAATTACGTTCTAGGCATTAATTTAAATAAAAATAATTATTTCTTAATCTCTTTTATTGTAGAGCAGTAGAAATTGGTGCTCAGTCATACTTATTGTGATCACTTTGTTCATGTTACATGTATGTATAGGTTGTAAAAATGTTTTAACACGTGTAGCTTATTTTATAATAGTTAAATTATTTGAAATTCTTAACCAATAGTTTTTGGAAATAACCATCATTATCTAAAGGAATGTTGTTTGTTCCTGATAAAAGTCATCTTCATTCTTCTTTCCGATCTTTTAAACGCTTAAGACGACATTCTGCCGACATAATTATAAGGCCATGGACAGGCTGGTCTAAAAATGGTATGCTTTTTTTACAATAATTTAAAAATACATTTGAACGTCAAGGTATAGTGTTCATAACTACATTAGCTTTGCCACCTTTTTTTAGTACAGCAGAGTTGCTATAAAAAAAATTGTGTACGCCTAACATTTTTACAAAATATAATTAGGAAATTGTTAGAATATAGCGTCTTTCCTAACACCCTTATTGCATAATTTTTTATAGATTTAGGTTCAGGTATAGTTATAGTTAGTTATAGTTTCAATATGAAATTATAAATGCGTATTATTCAATACTTATCTGTAAAATATCTGTTAAATAATATATGTGTATATACTTTTTTTTTTTTGGTAAACAAATTATTTATTAAATTATGATGAAATGTTTTTATGTGTAAATTGTCTGTCCACTATTCATTTTTTAATTGCTCATAATTTTTTAATCAGTGATATTTAACATGTTACATAGCTAGTATTTATCGTTCCTTATTACATTTCCTATTAAATATTTAACTTTGAATTTATTATTATAGAGTAGTAATAGGTATAATTTAAATTCATCAAAAGCACTATGGAGTACTGTGTATTTGACTGGGTAGTTATGACTTAGTGTAAAAAAGCTTTGATTAATCTCTCATAATATTTATTAAAAAAATTATAAAGGCTATGTTATTTATTTATTTTTTAGTATCAAATATATTTTTTATACAGCCAGAGTGGTGTCAAACACTCTGTCATGGACTTACTTATAAAATTATATTATTATTATTATTTCAGATGCGAATATTAGCGAACAGACACTAGAGCGAAAGGGATATTTGCGTCGAGTGGCAAAAAATGTGACATCGGCTTACTCGACTCTTATACATGACAAAAAGCATTTATTTCAAGCATTACTATTAATCGGGCTTGATTTGAGTTCAACTAGAGAAAAACTTCCTTACGTCAAATATAAATATCCTGAACAAGTAATAATTTAGTAACAAAAAAAATGAGCTGTTACTGATAATATTAGATTATATGTAATAATTTATGGTTTTAGGCTGAAGTACCAAAGCAAATTGAAAGCTTATGTTTTCCTGATTCACACGTTTGGCCTTTTACCGCAGATGATTGTCGAACATATACTTTGACTGTCACTGACGAAAGTGGCCGGCGTTATTACGGATATTGTTATAGGATACAGCCAGAAGGAGCTTCCTATTGTTTACCACTAGTATACTGTTTATATTCTACGATCAAAGCAAATAGTTTTTATTTTCGGGTATAACATTGTTATTTAGTTTATAATAGGACATTTTTTTCTTTTATTTATTTTCGATTGCTACAAATTATAACATCTTGTTTTTTTTTAGGTTTTGAAAGAAATCGAATCCAGACATGGTCTGTCTGAAATGAAATGTTTCATAGAGTCATTACATGATCAACCATTTCCAGAGCTTGGATCTGCTATTCGTATACCACACGATAGTAGTATTGTAACTATGGAATCGTAAGTATAGCTGTTTAGATAACTACAAATGGTTAGAATTATAAAAAGTACAATGAAAATATTATATACGCATGGTCTGTTAAATATTAAAATACTATATACGATAGCGATGCCGAAAAATTAATTTATGTCATTTGATTATTTTGATTCTAAAGATTTATATTTTTCCATTTTTAGAGCACCGAATGAAGAAATTCGTAGACCGCTCGATATTCGACAAGAACAAGATGACATATTGAGACTTTTACAAGTCATAAAGCCTACAACATTTATACAATTATTGGCCACTATGTTATTAGAAAGAAAGTTAATACTTCTTAGTAAATCTATCAGGTAATGGAAATCAATTTTTGTATCGAATTAAAAACTTTTAGGTGTATTCATTTGACTTTAAATATATTTCTGACGACAGAAGTTTTCAGATGTTTTTTTTTAAAGCTTTGAATTGAACATTTTATAATGCAAATCAATAACATATTATAACATAATAATTAATTAATTGACATAAAATGAATAGCATACTAAACATGTTTACCAAATTAAATAATATTTTCATAATTTTAGTACTAGAACACTTTTGACCTAATATCTATATAGTAATGGTTTTGTTTTAAATTTATTCATTACAGTTTATTATCAAGTAGCATTGAAGGACTTACAGCTGCTTTATACCCTTTTACGTGGCAACACACGCTAGTTTCGGTACTCCCTTCGCAAATGGTATCCGTAGCCGATTTTGTTCAAGCGCCAACACCCTACATCATTGGACTGTTAAAATCCGATAACCAATCGGATATTTTTGCTCAATTCTCTGAAAATGATCAGGTAGATTTATTTTTACAATTAAATTATAATTTTATTTATAGCTCTGACGACGATGGTCATAAGTTAAATGACCTTGTGACTTGTCATCATTTTTATGTTAACATTTATTAACGAGAGTGACGTTTACAGGTATTCATATTTGATTTGGATTCTAACAAAGTGTTACGAAAAGTCAAAGACGAATACAGTGTAATACCATCAAGAATTGCAAAAGGATTAAAAAGTGTAATCAGCTTGAAGGTAGATCTACCGCATTCTACCAAAGCGATTTTGGCGTCTGAATCTCTTATAAGGCTATTTGTTGAATTAGTTGGCCACTACAGGATGTACGTGGTACCTACTTCAAAAAATAAACAATTTCAATTTCAGGTATGTCAGCTAATAACCAAAACGATAGTTTATAACAAAAACTATTTGACGTTTTTGGAAAGTTTTTTAAAATGCCATACAATTTTTTTTTATACTTGACAAATTCTCTTACACTAATTATTTGATTTCAGAAACAATCGTTTATCAACGCCGGTATCAACACTGCACATAGAAACTTTTTAGAGTGGTTTACTGAAACGGCGATGTTTACAACGTTCATAAACAATAGACTAAATTGTGACGTTGATGTTAAAGATGTGTTCGAGCGACGGTGTGCAGAGTTTTCTTTAGAGCTGAACAAAATCAAACAAAAATCAAAAACGCTTCAGACTGTTAAAGCAATAGGTGATCGTATAAAAGACTGGGCAGTTTCATGAATCTCCAAATAGTTCAGAAATGTTATTGCTACATATCCTGTATATTATTTATAAAAAATCATACGTATTAATATAATTTTAAGAAGATAACTTATTATTTTATATTTTATAGCAAGATGCAGAAATGTAAGTGCTATGTTTTATTACCTGCATAAGTACATGTATCTATTGATGAAAATACTAAACTTTTGCATGTAATGTAATTGTTGAATCTCTTTTTGTATTTGCAATTGATATTTATGTTAATTATTTAACATAAGGTTTTCAAACACTGACATAAATACTACAGAAATATTTATTTTGTCAATATACATATTATTAATAAATATGTTCAAAAGTGGTAATATTTAATATGTTTACTACGATTACGGTTAATTAAAAAAATTCTATGTACCGTATGACTTTGATTTTGTCAACTGGGTTTTTGTTGAACAGTTACAAAACTGTTTCTTTGAAAAACATTTAATCCAATACCAATACAAGTTTTAAATTAATTTGAAATAAAGTAGAATGGGGCAGTGATTTCTTAGAATGCATGCTGAGAAATAACAAATATCAATTTCATTATTCCGTGGCTAAATTTATTGATGTTGAAAGACAAAACAGTTTCACTGTCTAAATTCTTAAAACATTCAACAACTGCAGCTATTGGTAGTGTGTTAATTTTAATTGTGGTTTATTGTAGTGTTTAAAAGTACAATCTAGTCTTAGTTTGGAATATTAATGGAGGGGGGGGGCAGTATTTGGAAAAATCGTTATAATAAAAATAATAATAATTTATCATTCAGACCATTAGAGGATATAACGTTTTTAAAACAAGTGTACAATAAATCTAAATTTAAAAAATGGCCCAATTCACCACTGAGGAAAACCTCTTATCAGTGGAACTGAAGTACTATTTAAAACATTTACGGATGAGTAATAAAAAAATAATACAAAAAAAATAATAATAAAATAATAGTAAAAATAGGTAATATTTACACAGGGACACAAATAAAAGATTTACACCAGATTCACAAACACACACACCAGAGAGATCTACATGTTAATTACGTTATGCTTCAACCACGTTTTGATTAGATCCAGCAAAAGATTTGCAATAAATAATGTGGATTGGTATTCTGTTGAATAGATTGAGGCCAACTAGAGAAAAACACCGACTTAGCTTTGTTATCTCGTGTTGTAATGGACTGTTGTTTGAAATTAAGTTAAATTTGTATGTCAAAACAAGGCATTTCTAAAAAATAGATTGGAAAATACCTTAAACTCTTCAAATAAATTTAATAGATGCATATTTTTTGGGATTATTTTAATTATGCTTATTTGAGGTCTCAGTTTTTTATTGCTTGCCACAATACCTAAGCTACCCCAAGCAGTTATACCATATTGAAGTATTGTTTGTGTCAGAGTAAAATAGATGAACTCGTGAATTTTTATTTTATTGAAATTTGGTTGGATTCGTTTATCTTGGGTAAAGGTTATGTGAAGTTTGATTTAGTATAATTTATTCTTAAATTATGTTTTAAAAACCAAGTATTCATCAAATAAATATGTATCCGTTTCAGCTTTACAAAAAACTTCTTCCCAGCAAGTTTCAGATAGTCCAAACAGGTTTAAATTGCCTAATGGGGTTACATGATATATAATTATTATAAAATAGGTGATAAACATACTATCCCCTGAGGTAAAATTATAGTTTCGTCGATTACTTAATTAGTCGTTTCCTGTTAATTAAATATAATCTTAGAAGGCAGAGTGGTTTATTAACTATACCGATATATTTTTAAGTGTTTATTAGTATTTTGTGAGACATGCAGTCAATATTCCTAGCGTTTTTTGGTTTTTATAAATATAATAATATTTATAAATAGTTGTGCGAGGGCATCTTCAGTTCCAAGCCTTGCCCTGAGATTTTGGAAGAATTGCATTCTAAATAAGATAATTCTTAATAGTCTAGTTTTAATGGCTCATTCAAACATTTTAGGAAAAATATTATTTTTAGATAAGTTTTGTTTTTGTTTTGCTATGTCTGATAATTTGTTTCTGTAAGATTTATATTATTTTTTATTAAGAGAGAGTTTAATGGTTGGCGCCTAATTAGCGTATGTAGAGTTTATCGCTTTTTTTTTTTAATGAGCCGATAATTAACACCGGGTGTGAACCATTCACTTTGTTAATCATATTTTGTCTGCATATTTTGTGTGTATATTTATTTAGGAGGTTTTGTATAATTATTGTAAGCAACGTTAATTTATCTTCTGCTAGCTTAATTGTTTTTGTTTCGTCCCAATCAGTTTTGGCTATTGCCTTTTTAGACTCATTAAAATTGATATAGCTTTAAAAGATTTGTTATTGTTATTTATTGAATATCGAGCAGAGGGGTGGTCTAACTATAACTGTAACTGTGTTGCGTCAATACTGTGTTAATATCTTTTATGTTGTGTAATAATAGTACATTTGGTTTATTAATTATTATATTTAATATAAGTATAATATTTGTATTGGTTATCGGTGGATACTTATTTACTTGTACGCCATGCACAAACCATAGATGCAATAAAAATGGGTAGATTATTTCATTTCTTTAGTGATATGAATAATGTAGATTATACTCTTAAAGGGAAAATCATTTTTCTTGCAGCGTAGTATTTTAAGTAAATAATAAAACTCACCATTTTGAAAATATTTCACCAAAATTAAAATAATGTTTTTTATTTTAACTAATCGAATCGTACGATTTATAAATCACATTTGTTTAGAAGGGTCTTTTTATTTTAACGAAATAAAAACAATACATATGTTTGCACTACAATGACGTTATAAAAAAATGTCTTGCACATTATGTGTAAAATATATAGATTTAACAACTAACGAAAAACTTGTACGCCAACAATATAGTAAAAAAAAAAAAGCAAATTAATTAAATTTTTAATTTTAATAACTCGGTCTGGAGAAGTCGTAAGGGACGCCAACGGATTTGTCTTCGGCTTCGGAGAAGAATTTTTCGCATTCGTTAAGTACAAGATAAGCGTCCAGCTTTATAATTACATCGGACAACCGACAATAATCACAATATGTACTGTTGTCTACCAACGGGATGGCCGTCAAGGTTTCGTTGAAATAAAAGCCAACCAACGACTCGGTGCCCTTCTTTTGGAATACAATTACCATTAAGTTTGCCATGAAGGGTATGACGTGCGAGGTTGAGAAATTTTCCTTAACTGGGTCTAAACCTAAGGCCGTGTGCGCAAGTAAAACATTTGTCCGATGTCCAAAGTACATTGGAAATAATGGTCTTTTTTTTTTGCTGAAAATACAAATTCAAATATTAAAAGTAATCCGTTTCCATCTATAGCAGGGCCCCCTATAAGCTAAAAGGTATAAAAAAACGACAACTGTAAACGCCTGTTTTCTCTCTGGAGTATAATATAACAAGAGTATAATTTGGATTTACATTATTAGATACATTCCTTTGTGTGTTGAGAATGGCAAGTGAGGAAAACCTATTTTAACTCATAGTTGATCTATAAGTATTAATTCGCAAGGGTATGCCGAAGAAATCCTAAACTGTGTAAGAAAACTATTCTATGTTGCTATTTACAATGTAAATACATGTAAAGGTAGTTTGTTTTTATGTTTGAGTAAAACATATCTTGTTTTAACAATACAACTTCAGTATATCTACCTTTTCAAAAATCTCAGGAGATGGTCGAATATACCGCAACTGAGTTTTGCGTTGAACAAACTTACACTGGTAGAAGAAAACGACCACCAACAATCTTCATCCAGTTTTAACATTACCTGCGAAAATTTCGACAGAATTAATTGCAGTTCAGTTGTACTTGCTTAAAATAATATGGTACAAGAATGCTTACACCGATATCTTCTTCTTCAAAAAAGTGGCAAGGGCATTGATCTTCACTATATATAAGTCTATTCCAACGGCAAATATCCCACAAGGATTTTATATATCCTAACAAAAAATTTAAACATTAAATAGGCTTACTCCTTTTTTATTACCTATTTACTTATCAATAAATCTGAGGTTATTAATATATATGGTATAGATTTCATAACTTCTTACCGTAATCCACCTCTTCCACATGAAGGCCAAATTTGTTTGCAAATTTTTGTCTCACATTAGTGAATGCTCTACTTTTTATAAAATCCTTTCTTTGTCTTTTTACATGTTTTCTATATTGTTTCCTTCCTGGATCTACTGTTCTACCGTATTCAAACTAGCGCATACATTTATTATATTTTATACTTTGTTGATAATATGCTATACGTGTATAAAACTTGTTTAACGTACCATTAAAAGAAGATCTGTTTCCGAGCATGTCGGAATTTCCTCAGGAAGACTACTTTCGTTAAACAGGGTTTTCAAAAATACTCGAGAAGTTTCTATGGCACGCCCACTCGGAATTGCTTTTATCTATGGTGTATAAAATTAAATACTATTAGCAACCAGGTTTATAGTACTTTTTATTTTGTTACAGATAATTTTACCGGGTACTTTGCAGCATCATATAAGCCGTCAAAAAATTTTGGAAGCGTGTCCTTCAACCTAGTTGCGAATTGTGTAATTTCCATTATGCCTTCAGGAAGCAAATAAGCTCCTTCAACAAACTGATAAGGCGTCGCAGTCCAATCCAGAAAGATTTGAACGTCTTTTCCAACCGGTTTCTTTCCGGTTGTTCTAATTTTTTCTTGCAATTCCCGTAGTAACACCATCATATTATTATAGACACTTTCGTCTGGTGTGCATGTCGCATGTCGGATTAGCAAAAGAGCCTTAGACGGTTTATAGCCTATACAATTAGACAGTAAAAATAAATTGTCATGTAGTTATGCTTAATTTTACATAGATGTACAACTATAATCTAGCAGGAATTTTGTACTACAAAATATGAGATTGGTAATTAGGGAATAAAAAATACTTATTGTCTTATACATCTATTCTAAGTTTGTCACAATATGACCTTGAAACAAGAGCCAAAATCGCAATATCCATTTAACACTAGATTTAAAAAACAAAATTGTAATTTGATAGTTTTTCTTGAATAAACGTTTGTTTATGTTGTAAACTTTTATATGTTGTAACTATTATAAACTTTTTTTTTTCATAACTCATTATGAGTACCTGTTCCTAATGATTAAAAGAAGGGTTTTCTTTACTATTTTTGTTGTCTTTTTACGTTAAATTCGTTTTTAGTGAAATTTAATACTTTCATTTACTTATTACATTTATTATTTGATAACAAGTCTGCCCGTCAGCATTACCCTTAGTTTTGTAATACTCACCAGGTGGTAGTACAATATTTTTCGTGAAAACATCCTTGTATCGGGTTTTCGAGCTAAGTTGCTCGAATTTTGAATTGACCATGGCTACTGCCAACAACAAAGAAACTAAACACAAGTACTTTGACATTGTATCAGACCCTGTGACAATGAATATATTCCAATTAATACTATATATATGCTATGGCAATTTTTATAATACTTTTTTATTTTATAATTTACCTTTATAATCACCAAAAATGTAAAGTTTTATTCGTTTTAATTCTATAAAGAAGTACGATAGTTATACTATTTTATTATGTGATTTCTGCAAAATTCGATATTGACCGGTGTAATATAATCACTTAGAATAAATCCTTAGGGCGAAAATTTTTATTTTTGAAACGTCCATAACAACATGGATAAAACTTCAGAATGTTGTATCTTTTTTAAGTTAACGAATTGTACGGTTTTTGGGAACAATATTTGGTTTTGTTGTGTGTTTTTAGTTGCATAAATAGAGCCACATTGACGTCAACCGAAAAATAAACACATCTGGAAGTTGAAAAATTTCATTTTCGTTTAAATTTATTCGCTTTTACTGAAACTTTCTAAAAATATTAGCTCCTTTGAATTGGGGTTTAACAATTATGATGAATAGATGCGACCGTAATATAAATACTAGTAGCCTCTCTAGAGGAGGTGGTGTTCTTATTGCCGTCGATAATAAATTAAATTCAGAGTTGTTAAATACATCTTCTTGTTCATTAGAAATTGTAATTGTTTTAATAAAATTAGATATAGAGTATTTATTGTTAGTTCCGTGTATTTTCCTATCAGTTTATCAGTAGATTTGTACACTTCTTATTATGATATCATGGGAAACATGTTAAACAATTACCCGAATGCTGAATTTTTATTATTTGGTGATTTTAATTTACCTTCGGCAGCTTTTCCTAACGCAAAATCTCTTTCCTTTAACAATTTATCCTTTCTAAATTTTAAACAAATTAATAATGTCTTAAATACAAATAATAATTTACTCGATTACCTATGTCATAACCAACTCATGACAGATACCTGGCATGTTTCCTTAAAAACTTTACCTATTGTTAATGTCGATTTACATCACCCCCCTCTTATTATTAACTATTCATTCCCCTACCATCATATAAATAATCGTGTACATCATGAAATATTATATAATTGGAATAAAGCTAATTACAGGGAAATCATTCTCAAGTTAAGCGCAATGAATTGGCAAATTATTTTTCAGTTTCATGATGTAGATATTTACAATATAAATGTATTTTACTCTGACATTTTTTCAATTATAAATTATTTTGTTCCAACTATTTCAGTATCTAATAATTCTAATTTTCCTACATGGTTTAGTCATGAATTAAAATGTATCATTAAAGAAAAATGTCTTGCAGGATTGCCAGGGAGATTGGGAGAGGATAGATTGGAAATTAGTGGGTTGGTATGATTGAGGAGGCTTCTGTTGAATCTTCTATAGTGTTGCTTTGCCACTTCATTCACCAGGGGCACATGTAAATCTTTATGTAGTGAATCGTTGGATATATATGGAGGGGCGTTGATGATGAGCCTCAGGGCTTTTGATTGGAAAATTTGTATTTTTTAAATATTTGTTTTTTTTGGCAGATCCCCAAAGTTGGATTCCGTATGTCCAGATTGGTTTCAGGAGTGTATTGTATAATAGAATTTTGGACTTTAGATTAATTTTGGAGGTTTTTCCGAGAATATATTTCAGGAGGTTTAGGCGGTTGTTTAGTTTTGCCCAGGTCAGCCGCTTGTCAAAGAAAAGTCCTAGGTACTTCACATGATCAGCGACTGGTATTACGTTGTTGTTTAAGAAGACAAATGGAGGTATACCGCTACGCAGGGCAAAGGTTGTATAATTGGATTTAGATTCATTCATTTTAACATGCCACTTTGAATACCAAGGTGTGAGAGAGTCTAAGTGGTTTTGTATTGATGTTGAGACTATCGTTGGATCATTATGAGTTGTGAAAATGACTTTGTCATCCACATATTCTGCAACGTTAGTGTTTGATTGAGTTGGTTGATCAGAGGTGTAAATATTATATAGCGTAGGAGACGCGACTGAACCTTGGGGGACGGCAGCTAATATTGGCGAAATATTGGAAAGCACTGCTCCAGATCTGACAGCGAAGTGTCTTTCGCTGAGATAAGATTTGAAAAATAAGTAATATGGTTGCGGTAAGAAGGTTTTTAATTTATATAAGAGCCCTGGGTGCCATACCTTATCGAACGCTTGCGAGACATCTAGGAATACTGCAGATGTATAAAGCTTCTTTTCTAGCGAGCTGGAAATTGCATCTGCAATTCTATGAATTTGATGTATTGTTGAGTGTGATACTCGGAATCCAAATTGGGTATCGGGAATAATTGATTTATCTTTAATAATTGGATATATTCGTTTCAAAATTAGTTTTTCGCATAGCTTGGAGAAAAAAAGGTAGGAGACTGATGGGTCTGTAAGATGATGCTTGATTTGTTGGCTTGTTGGGCTTTGGAAAAATAATTATTATTGAGAACTTCCATGAGATTGGAAAGTATGAGAGTCTTAGAGTTGCGTTAAGTAAGTGTGTTAGGTGAATGCTTGCTTTCGGTGGAAGTTTACGAGCTACTCGGCTGTTATTAGATCGAAAAAACATAGTGGTAAATCATAATCTCGAAGCTGTTCAGAATCGTTTTTTTCGTTTTTTAGCTTTTAATTTTAAAGTCGAAGACCACGACATTCAGATTATAATGGATTATTGTACTATTTCAATATAAAATCGTTAAATACAATAAGAAGTAACCTTCATTATTCATTTTGATTAAAACTATTAAATAACTCTATAGATTGCCCTTACTTATGGATTTCTAATAGATAAAGTGTTACAATTAGAACTTGTAAATAAAAGTCTATTAAAAAACATTTTAAAATTAAGTTATACCTTTTGAAACGATCTATTAGTTTCGTTTTAACTTCAAGCGGATGGTTTTATTTAAAAAAAAAATTCCAATTTTTTTATGATAAATATTGTACTTAAATTAGCGTCATTTTAGTTTCAATGTGGAGCTGAGAAGGTATTGTTTTTACAATGATGAGTGTTTATTTTTCTGTTTTTAATTTTTGTGTTTGTACCCACGATATTACCTAAACACCAGAACCGATTTCTTTATGTATGATTCGATTCAAGTACTGTATCTCCAGTTTCAAGCCTTTCCCTAAATGCAAATTCAGATTTTGGAAGAATTGCATTCTCTTCTAAATAAGATATAAGTCTAGTTTTAATGGCTCTTTCAAACATTTTAGGAAAAATATTTAGTTATAACTTATTTGTCGCGACTGTATTTGCGTCGTTATTTCTCTTACTGTCGACTATATTTTGTTGGGGTTGTTGCAATGCTTTTTAATTTTTTTTTAGAAAAAGTTTTGTTTCTTTAAGATTTACATTTTTTTCTTTTAATCAGAGTTAAATGGTTGGCGCCCAATTAGAAGGGGGAACGACTTATTTAACTTTCAGTCTTTGTTAGATACTTTTCATATGCAATACCTGCCCTATTAAATTTCACTTGAGTACATCCAACCAGGTGTTCTCCAAAGTTCCAGTAAGTACTCCGAATACAAAGCAAAATACATATTTGTATAATCACGTGTACCTGAGTTAGTGTAGGTATATATATAAAGCGAACTGTCCATTAATTCGGGTTACCAATATACAACACAGCAGTCAGCATACTAACATCAATCGAATGACATAATTTTTAAAGACAAGAAAAAAGATAAAATATAAATAAGTACATAATAGTAACAAAACAATAATAAACGTTGATATTTTCTAATTGAACAAAAAAAACCCATTCGATTCATTAGTTAATCTACTGCTAACAATACAATATACTTACACGTGTTGTTAGATGTCTGAAACAAACGGATATAATATATTTATTGAAATTTGAAATATTTTAATACATAAACAAATCGAATTGCGCAATAATAAAAACAAATATTGTTGGCTTACAAGTCAAATACATTAAGTCGATAAACAAAAATATTATGCCTTGACGGGTTTCATCAGTCTAAAGTTTACAACATTTTAGACCACCAGAAATACCAAAAAGCTAAAGCTACATAATTTTAATTTTAATAATTCGGTCTGGAGTAGTCGTAAGGGACGCCAACGGATTTGTCTTCGGCTCCGGAGAAGAATTTTTCGCATTCGTTAAGTACAAGATAAGCGTCCAGCTTTATAATTACATCGGACAACCGACAATAATCACAATATGTACTGTTGTCTACCAACGGGATGGCCGTCAAGGTTTCGTTGAAATAAAAGCCAACCAACGACTCGGTGCCTTTTTTTTGGAATACGATTACCATTAAGTTTGCCATGAAGGGTATGATGTGCGAGGTTGAGAAATTTTCCTTAACTGGGTCTAAACCTAAGGCCGCGTGCGCAAGTAAAACATTTGTCCGATGTCCAAAGTACATTGGAAATAATGGTCTTTTTTTTTTGCTGAAAATACAAATTCAAATATTAAAAGTAATCCGTTTCCATCTATAGCAGGGCCCCCTATAAGCTAAAAGGTATAAAAAAACGACAACTGTAAACGCCTGTTTTCTCTCTGGAGTATAATATAACAAGAGTATAATTTGGATTTACATTATTAGATACATTCCTTTGTGTGTTGAGAATGGCAAGTGAGGAAAACCTATTTGGACTCATGGTTGATCTATAAGTATTAATTCGCCTCGTAGTGGAAAAAGATCTTTTGCAAAGATATGCCGAAGAAATCCTAAACTGTATAAGAAAACTATTCTATGTTGCTATTTATAATGTAAATACATGTAAATGTGGACTTTGTTTTAATGTTTGTGTGTAACATAATAATATCTTGTTTTATCAATACAACTTCAGTATATCTACCTTTTCAAAAATCTCAGGAGATGGTCGAATATACCGCAACTAAGTTTTCCGTTGAACAAACTTACACTGGTAGAAGAAAACGACCACCAACGATCTTCATCCAGTTTTAACATTACCTGCGAAAATTCCGACAGAATCAATTGCAGTTCAGTTGTACTTGCTTAAAATAATATGGTACAAGAATGCTTACACCGATATCTTCTTCTTCAAAAAAGTGGCAAGGGCATTGATCTTCACTATATATAAGTCTATTCCAACGGCAAATATCCCACAAGGATTTTATATATCCTAACAAAAAATTTAAACATTAAATAGGCTTACTCCTTTTTTTATTACCTATTTATTTATCAATAAATCTGAGGTTACTGGCTGTATAATAAATATGTATAGATTTCATAACTTCTTACCGTAATCCACCTCTTCCACATGAAGGCCAAATTTGTTTGCAAATTTTTGTCTCACATTAGTGAATGCTCTACTTTTTATAAAATCCTTTCTTTGTCTTTCTACATGTTTTCTATATTGTTTCCTTCCTGGATCTACTGTTCCTCTACCGTATTCAAACTAGCGCATACATTAATTATTTTTTATACTTCGTTGATAATATTTTATACGACCCTATTCAACGTACCACTAAAAGAAGGTCTGTTTCTGAGCATGTCGGAATTTCCTCAGGAAGACTACTTTCGTTAAACAGGGTTTTCAAAAATACTCGAGAAGTTTCTATGGCACGCCCACTCGGAATTGCTTTTATCTATGGTGTATAAAATTAAATACTATTAGCAACCAGGTTTATAGTACTTTTTATTTTGTTACAGATAATTTTACCGGGTACTTTGCAGCATCATATAAGCCGTCAAAAAATTTTGGAAGCGTGTCCTTCAACCTAGTTGCGAATTGTGTAATTTCCATTATGCCTTCAGGAAGCAAATAAGCTCCTTCAACAAACTGATAAGGCGTCGCAGTCCAATCCAGAAAGATTTGAACGTCTTTTCCAACCGGTTTCTTTCCGGTTGTTCTAATTTTTTCTTGCAATTCCCGTAGTAACACCATCATATTATTATAGACACTTTCGTCTGGTGTGCATGTCGCATGTCGGATTAGCAAAAGAGCCTTAGACGGTTTATAGCCTATACAATTAGACAGTAAAAATAAATTGTCATGTAGTTATGCTTAATTTTACATAGATGTACAACTATAATCTAGCAGGAATTTTGTACTACAAAATATGAGATTGGTAATTAGGGAATAAAAAATACTTATTGTCTTATACACCTATTCTAAGTTTGTCACAATATGACCTTGAAACAAGAGCCAAAATCGCAATATCCATTTAACACTAGATTTAAAAAACAAAATTGTAATTTGATAGTTTTTCTTGAATAAACGTTTGTTTATGTTGTAAACTTTTATATGTTGTAACTATTATAAACTTTTTTTTTTCATAACTCATTATGAGTACCTGTTCCTAATGATTAAAAGAAGGGTTTTCTTTACTATTTTTGTTGTCTTTTTACGTTAAATTCGTTTTTAGTGAAATTTAATACTTTCATTTACTTATTACATTTATTATTTGATAACAAGTCTGCCCGTCAGCATTACCCTTAGTTTTGTAATACTCACCAGGTGGTAGTACAATATTTTTCGTGAAAACATCCTTGTATCGGGTTTTCGAGCTAAGTTGCTCGAATTTTGAATTGACCATGGCTACTGCCAACAACAAAGAAACTAAACACAAGTACTTTGACATTGTATCAGACCCTGTGACAATGAATATATTCCAATTAATACTATATATATGCTATGGCAATTTTTATAATACTTTTTTATTTTATAATTTACCTTTATAATCACCAAAAATGTAAAGTTTTATTCGTTTTAATTCTATAAAGAAGTACGATAGTTATACTATTTTATTATGTGATTTCTGCAAAATTCGATATTGACCGGTGTAATATAATCACTTAGAATAAATCCTTAGGGCGAAAATTTTTATTTTTGAAACGTCCATAACAACATGGATAAAACTTCAGAATGTTGTATCTTTTTTAAGTTAACGAATTGTACGGTTTTTGGGAACAATATTTGGTTTTGTTGTGTGTTTTTAGTTGCATAAATAGAGCCACATTGACGTCAACCGAAAAATAAACACATCTGGTAGTTAAAAATTGTTTTTCGTTAAACACTTAAATTACAGTTACAACTTACATTAAATTGAAAAATGATCTTATAATATATATTTGTATACTAAAAAAATATCATTTTTGTCAAGTCTTAAACGTCAATGTATAAGGAATTCAAATTTAACGTGAGATTGGTGTAGAGATATAATTAGATTTTATAGGTATACTTGGATCGCAGTAGAAGTAGCAGGTGTTTGCAGAGAGAGGGAGAGAGTAAGACAATGGGAATTTGACTTTAATAAAATTGTTAAAGAATTGTAAGTTAAGGTATCGGGAATAATTGATTTATCTTTAATAATTGGATATATTCGTTTCAAAATTAGTTTTTCGCATAGCTTGGAGAAAAAAAGGTAGGAGACTGATGGGTCTGTAAGATGATGCTTGATTTGTTGGCTTGTTGGGCTTTGGAAAAATAATTATTATTGAGAACTTCCATGAGATTGGAAAGTATGAGCGTCTTAGAGTTGCGTTAAGTAAGTGTGTTAGGTGAATGCTTGCTTTCGGTGGAAGTTTACGAGCTACTCGGCTGTTATTAGATCGAAAAAACATAGTGGTAAATCATAATCTCGAAGCTGTTCAGAATCGTTTTTTTCGTTTTTTAGCTTTTAATTTTAAAGTCGAAGACCACGACATTCAGATTATAATGGATTATTGTACTATTTCAATATAAAATCGTTAAATACAATAAGAAGTAACCTTCATTATTCATTTTGATTAAAACTATTAAATAACTCTATAGATTGCCCTTATTTACTGGAACGATTAAATTTTCGAATTAATACCAAATCTACCAGAAATCGAGATAGTTCTTTAACCAATAATGTTTCTAAAGCATACTCAAAATCATCACCTACGAATATACTGATGACTATAGGAAACACTATGGATATTAATTTTAGTTAATAATTAATTATGACTGTATATTGCATACCACATTCTTGTTATATTAATTGAATGTGAATTTTATATTATTCGTACCAAATTTTATTGCATCTGTATCACTACACAATTTTATATACAATATATTGTTTTGTAAATCGAGTTTTTCCGTTAATTAAGATAAAAATAATAATAATAACAATAGTTAACTTACAGTTACATTAAATTAAAAAATGATCTTATAATATATACTTGTATACTAAAAAAAATCATTTTTGTCAAGTCTTAAACGTCAATGTATAAGGAATTCAAATTTAACGTGAGATTTGTGTAGAGATATATTTAGATTTCATAGGTGTAGTTGGATCGCAGTAGAAGTGGCAGGTGTTTGTAGAGAGAGAGAGAGGAAGAAAAAGGGAATTTGGCTTTAATAAAATTGTTAAAGAATTGTAAGTTAATATACCATTTTTCAATAGGAAAAAATGCGTTTTATTTATTTATGTAATATATTAGCATAATATATTCAATGGGCAGTAATTAAAAACGTTACCAAGGCTAAACTTAAATTATTTGATAACACTAATTACAAACTAATAACGATAATTAAATATTAAAAACTGTATAATAATAACGATAATTAAAAATTGTGTATAGTATGGATTTCTAATAGATAAAGTTTTACAATTTGAACTTGCAAACAAAAGTCTATTCAAAAACATTTAAAAAATTAAGTTATGCCTTTTGAAACGATCGATTAGTTTCGTTTTAACTTCCTAGCCGATGGTTTAATTTAAAAAAATGCCAATTATTTTATGATGAATATTGAATTTATATTAGCCTCATTTTAGCTTCGACGTGGAGCTGAGAAGGTTAGTGTTTTTACAATGATGAGTGTTTAATTTTGTGTTTGTACCCACGATAGCACCTATAATATAAACTATGTTTTGGATATACAATAGACTTGTCGTAGTGTAATTTTTAGCTCTTAAGTCATAAAATTGCGCCAAAAATAAATTTTTTTTTTTGAAATTTGGATTTGGGAGCATGTTTAGATAAAGGCATCACTGTCTTATACAAATTTTGACAATATCCGACCGTATTAAGCCAAGTTACACGGTAAGTTTAAGTTAAATATTGAAAACATATTTTTTAGTGTTCGCATTGAACGTATCGAATACTGATTAATAACAATAAGAAACTAATTTGAATAAACTAACACTTATGGCACGCTCTTATCCCTTTGTTCCTCAAATGATACCTATTTATATTTGACGACAAACCCTAGTGTGTCTAATATGTCAAATAATGTATTTTTTTTTTTGCGTTTTTGAGCGAACAATGTTGGCAGTTTTTTTGTGACCCAAAAAAATATGTTATTGAAAATTTGTGTTTGATCGAGGTAGTGTACATTATGACTTGTGTGTACTCTGCGTGTCTAAAAAGCTATCAGTACAAAGATACACAAGATGTGTTTTTTTTTTGCTTTTTAAAATCAATCAAAAAGTAAAATTTATACCCAAGTCGAAAACATAAAAAAAACATTTTAGTTTCACTCTTGCATTTATCGGTTATATTGGTGCCGCTAAAATTTAAAAAAAAATCGTGATTTAGGTCACTTCATCATAAGAAAATGTTTTTCAACATCTTAATTACTTTACTGGTTTCAACTTTGGCATTCGACGATCGAACATATTATGTTTTTTGTACCGACGGAAACCAATCAATTAAATACACATTAAATACACTTTTAAAATCTTCAGGATGGAGTAAAATTGGCGACTTGAGAGTTAGATTCTCGGATACAACAGCTAACCCTCTCTCGGTAAGTGATGAATTATTAGACAAAAGCGCGCAATTCGATAATCAAATCGTAAACAACGACAACTGCGCACAAAAATATGACATGATTGTTTATTCGTTATCGTGTGTGTATGCAAATGCACTGGTCCAATTTTTTAATATGACACAAATTATTTTGCATATTGGCAAAATGGAAAAACGCCGGTTGAAGACAAAAGACAGCAAAATTGCACGCAAAAGGAAAACACTGGATTCAGGAAACAAAACGCTTTCAGGCGCAGATGAAAAAAGTAAACAAGCTAATGAACACGACCATCTTTGCGAAAACGATCCTTTAAATTCCCCTGATAACCCGCTGTCGTCGTCGATTATTACTTCTGCGATAAAACAAGTCGAGAATAGTAGGTTGATGTTCGACCACATGTTTAAAGCGTTTAGTTTTTTAAAACAACTGGTTCCACAAGAATATTTTCATAAGTATTCGCCCGAATTGATAAATTTTATCGATACCGTGTCATCGAGAAAAAATGATATCGCAAACATAAAAACAGTTTTTCCTTCTTTTAACGGAGAAGACGGCAATTGCTACGATATTAAAATAATCAGAAAATTTAGCAAATTTGTCAAAGCCACGCAAAAGATAGATAGTTTTTTATACGGCCATTGCGTTATACCGGCGAGCGATAAACCACAGATCGTTAAAGACGATGATGTATACACGACTTTTTTTCAAAAAGGCAAGCAGAATACGGTTACACACAAATTTCTAGTCGTAGAACAATTGGAGGTCCAAATTGCACGGCTTAAAAAAAACGTCATTTGCAATTACTTTGAAAAATTGGGTTTCGTGTACGGTTCCACGGAAGACAATGGACTAGAGACTACAGAATAGTATATTACACATACAGTTATAAGAAGAAAAAAAAAATAATAATGTTAACGTTGTTTTATTGATTTTCAGAAAAACTACTTTCATTATTTTTAGTAGCACCGAAGTTTATGATCCGATAAGTTTCTGGATAATAAAACCAATTTTGTAATGTATAAGCCACTTAAGTGTTCAATTACATATTGTTACACTTTAATCTCATTATAAATTATAATCAATCATAATTCTGTAATAATATTCATATTACATTTAAATAAATCAATAAATTGGTTTTGTTTTGAGAAAAGTCAAAACCGTATTTCTATTTTGTGCTAGACTAGTGTCTATAAATTGCGATTTAGTTTACTCCATCATAAGAAAATAATGTTTACAATATCCCAATATTACTTTATTGGTTTCAATTTTGGTACTCTACGATCGTATGTTCGCTTATGGAATCTTCAGGATTGAATAAGATTAGCAAAGTGAGCAAGTCCGATTTCATGGTACTAAAAATTTCTCTTTTTCTTGTGATTTATTACCTATGCAGAAACATTGCAGAATATAAAAAAAATTGTTAAGAATTAACAGGAATAGTTTTTCCAATTTTAAAACGCAATTTCTGTGGTCTGCGACAAATTGAAAAAAAAATTAACAGCTTTTAAAGGAGAAAAATACGCTATTGGTTATGTTTGTTATAACAAAAACTTGGCAAATATGATTGCCTGACGGCCAACGACATTACGAACAATATAATACTTAGTTAAACATAATAATCAAGTAGGTATAGCTTTTCAGTATTTACTAAAAAAACAAGCTAAGCTGTAGTTAAAAAGAAGCAATCTTAGTTCGTTGTGAGAATACCATTATCGACAAAACAAATCGTACCTAATGACAATAAATATGGGCTCGAGACGATTTTTGTTTTGTTCGCTGAACTTGATAATAACGGTAGCTGTCAATGGAAATTTCAGGTGACATAGATTTCACAATTTAATGAAAACGTTTTCGGTTACCTGTTGACTGTTGATTCACTCACACGTGTCACACAGCAACCTAGAGTCAAAATGTGGGTTTTCATTTTTTTTCCTTAATAAAAAAAAATTAGGTTAACAACAGATAATTGAGAAAATTGTATAATATTTTATAGTCCCTCTCTAGATCTATCATCGGTCTAATTTCCAGACTTAAAACCCGGAGTTGGACAAATTTTATGTATAGAAATTGAATACACCAACATGTATAATACTTATATATTGTACATTTTTATATACATATGTAAAATACATAATATAAAATGCATCGAAGCTTAAACAGAATTTGAAATGTCTAAAGATAGAAAATCTTTAATTAACCGTTTAAATTTATACGAAAGATTTCAAATTTTAAATGATTTACATTTATAGATTTTTAAAAATAGTCGAATCGGTTCCAAATTTGTACGGAATTATTACCTCTCGATATATTACTAATAAAATACGCCGTTTATGAGTATCTAGCAATTATTCTCAATACTTACACATAGAACATAGGTGTTCATTTATTTTTTGTAAGAACGGCAGTTTTTTTACTAGTTTTTACATCAATTTGTTACATTTTATAACGTTATAGATTGTAGAAGATTTGTATACCCCCCAAAAAAAAAAAAATGATACACCTTGATTATTTGGCATTGACACTGTTAAACAAAAAATTAAAAAACACATCATCGTGTAATGAATACCTTTTATGTAATAATATGACATATTATGTTAATTATGTTTTCTAAATTCTATTTATTAAAAAAAAAATGATTTCAAAGCTATAAATCAATTTAAAAAAAACAAATAATAATAATAGGTAATTTTAGCTATTGATTTTACAATGATGTGGGGTTTTTTTGTGACCGTGAACACTGTAACTTTTTCAATACTGGACAAATTCCTTCGAGTGGCCACTCTATAAATCACAAATTTTATCTTGTTAGTACCTTAAGAAGGGACTGGAATTGACTCCTTCGCCCTTACAATTTGGAAAAACAAAACCATAAGAGTTTTAAAGTTTCAAATTTCACTAGGTAAAATTTCGAGAAAAAGGGTTGTATCTAAGTGAAATCTATAAGATAAATTTATTTGATACGCCTCTATACGCCAAGAGTCTCAAATTATGCACATTCCGCAGGACTTTTTCAAGACGTTTATACCTACTAATTTGCAATAGAATTAAAGAACGATAGTTCTTAAAAAAAATGATTTGGTCGAGGTAAAGAGTGGAGAACAAACTACTTTATTTCAATCAACCAGTTTGATTTTAATATTATTTTGTGTTTTTTTTTGTTAGACAACCCCAATCACAGTACTGACTTTGTTTTTATAGTTTATAAACAAAATATTAATATTCTACTACATGTCATTCATTGCACATGCCCTATTGAACGGGTACATTTGTATTATGAATAGTTGTTAAGATGTATAATAAACATTTTTTGTAGGTACCTACAACAAAATGTCTTCAGAATCGTATCAATAACTTTGTCCCACAAAAAAATCTTCAAATTGCAATACTATAATAGTGGTCAAACACTAGAACCCAGAAAATGTCTGTGTTATCTCACTAGTTTACTTAGGGAGCTGAGAGCTCACGGGTCTAAAGGAATTATTACAACTCAAAAGGGATAAAATCAATAAACGCTTCGATGCGAATCTGTGGTTAGAAAGCGGAGTAAGAAAGTATTATAATATGTAAGTGACTAGTAGTAGTAGAAGTAAGTGAGGAAGTAGTAAAGGAGGTCAAGTGTGAAAAAAAAATACTAATATCGATAAAAGCATTGTACCTAATGACACTGATGTGTTTAAAAATGAATTCAGTAGTATCAGGGTGTACACGATTTGGGTTGATCGACTGTCTATACAAATATTGTCATAGTTACCCATACAACGTTAATAACAATATAATGAAAATATTTTCATTACCTGTTGACTGTTGATGTGCTGACACGTAGCAACAATAACTGTTCCATTCTAGACCTACTTTCGGTCTAATTTTCAGACCTTAAAACAAAAAATGTTAAAAACACATCATTGTATTAATTACAATACCTCTTCAACTTAGCACACGGAAACTAAAAATGGCAATAATTTTAAAATATCAGCGGGCTCATAGCTACGCTGTCGCTTAGTTGAACCTGTGGAACAAAAAATGAAAATAAAAAAAAACCAACTGTTTTCTCCTCTAGCCGCAGCTGTTGTTTGTTATTGTTTTGTTATCAGCGTTTTATCTTCCATGAACGCAATTTTAATAATATGTATATTTTCAAAAGAAAAAAAACAACAATAACAAAGTACTTAATTCTGGTGTGCACGAAAAATATTATTGTGTTAGAAAACCTATTGCTGAAGTGAAAATCTGTGTCCAGCTGTAGCCGTTGTTGTTGTCAAATTATTATTATTATTATAATAATTACTGGTCGGTAAAAGCGAAGCGGGCTGCGATAATATTATTTTGGCGGTGGATAAAAACGTACAATACCGTAGAACGGAAAAAGTCGCCAATCTTTGTTTACAATATTATTAGAATATATCCGATTTTCAGATCGTGCTACAAAACCGGCGTTGTCCGAATTTAATTAAATTGGCCGAAAAACAACAAAGCAACACACCGAAAATGTTGCGGCACCGGATAAAATAATAATATCAATCATCGGGCCAACAATAATATATTGTATTATATCAACATCGCAATAGGAAAAAAAAAAAAGTAATAATAATGAAGCGGTAAACCACAAGCAACGACCGCCGCCTTAGTTATTTGGACTTCGAATACAATAAAAAGGTAAACAATAATGACGGTTAACTATTGTTTATATTACAGTATTTTGGCAATCGCGCCCAACACATTGTTGCATCATAGCCTTGATGTATGCATTCACTGGTGTGATATCCTACTTGCCTTGTAATTAACAAGTAGGTAGGTATATTGTTGTAGACTACTCGGATTTACCGTTTAAACAATAACATCGGTAACGCTTTTTATATCCGTTTACACCTACTCGAATTCCATTCGAGGCTTTTTTATTTTGTTCGTCGTGTCTAATCGATACGTTTTTTTTCTTCTAAAATTTTTTAACCGTTAAAAATTTGCAAAAATATTAATATGTATTAAATATGCAAGCAAATCGTTTTTCAATTATGTGTAAATCTAGTTGGCGGGAAAAAATTAAGGAAAATCCATAACGTTTTTTTGTTTGGCCGAAATCGTGTCATGCGTTAAGTGTTAATGTTTTATTTTTTAAAGTAAGGAGGCCAAATAATACGGGATGGATCCAATGGCTATGATCGGACCGCAGTACAATAATTTAATGCAGAATGGTCCTCCAGAAGAATCAAAACTCGCTACTTACATGGTAAGTCTAACCTAGTAATTTGTGTTATTGTATTGAGAATTTGATGGGGTTGGCTTAGTTATTAGCTTAGCTTACAAAACGACTTTTGCAATTATCTATTAGAAGTTATGAATTGATCTACTTCAATGCAGAATGGATCGCCTATTAGTATAATTTTTGTCTTACTTAATTTCACTTTTATTTTATTTATTTATTCAAGTTGGAACCTTCTATGATTAATGTTACATAGAAAATCAATAAAAAAATATTTACTCGATAATATTGATTTATTTGACTTGTAAAAATAAGTCAAAACATGTTCATTTTTTTTATAAATCCTATTCGAGAAAATATAATATGGTTAACCTCATTTTTATTAAGGTCAAGGAGAGACATACTAAAATAATCCCATGCAATGTTATTATTTTATTTAGAAAAAAAAGATGTTTGCTTTGATAACTGATGTCTTTATTTACATAATTTAACTCATGTTCTAAGCCACATATTTATTTAGGTGTAAAAAATAAGAAAATTAGTATAATATATTATCATAAAGGTTTTACAGGTGGTCCATGCTTGTATGTGAACCACATTAAGGGGCAAAATATAGGCAATTAAAAAAAAAATTGTAGGCAATGTATACAAAAAAGTTTTTTTTTGCTAAATGTTGACATTTCAAATCATATTTATCGTATACTATGATATTGGCATTTTTTCAAAAAAGTCTTTTAATATCACATTTATTTTGTAACTCAAATAACGACTTGAATTTAAATGTACTTATAATTAGGGACAGGTTATTAATTTAGAAAATCATTATTAAAGTAGTCCTAAAATATTATAAATATTATTATTAATATGCGAAATAATTTAACTTTAAATGAACTTTTTGCCAAAAATTGCTTGTACTAAATACTTTAAGAAGTAGCGTGTAGCGTTGTCTAAAAAAAATTGTTGCTCTCCTGTATTAAGCATACCAAAAGAACATTTTTGAAAATCAAAAGTTTTCTATATCCGTCAAAAAATTACAAACATTTGAATATATATCATGTTTGACTCAATGTGATTTTCTCGTGTTTAGAAACGTCAAAATAATGGATCTCCTCAATCGGCCTTATTCCAATCTTTATCAAAAAACCTCTCAAATTTAGAAGTAAACCAATCAATGAAAAAGGTGAGTTGGCAAATGAATTAAAAATATATTTATATTGTTACACAACGTAAGTTTGTTTGTAAATCTTTGTTAGTCCACAATAGCCGTGTGTTCAAATTGTTGTTTACATGTTATTTATACTTAATTGTATGTTATTTGACATTTAAAATTTTAGTGAATTTTTTCGGCACTTTGGTTGTTAACAATTTGTTTAGTCATTTATGTGCACATAATATAGCGATAGGCAATTGACAATTACAGGCGTCCATATCGACGGTTGATTTCGTACCTAGAAATCTAGTTAGTTCGTTAAATATTCCTGACGGTTCCTCGTTGTATGCTAAAGAAAAATCTCAGGCAATACAAGCATACCAGGTAGATTGTGTAAATTTGATTTTGGCTTTACCGACTTATTTATTTGTTTTATTTTAATCGTTAACAGAAAAACGTCAACGGCACCACGTATTTTTATCCTCCGGACACGAACGGTACAAATTCAGTTAACAATACCATTTATGACGATACTTCTGGCTACTTATCGATGCCACCGTCTGTGGAATCGCCGACTGCTGGACTGTACGCACAGGACGACCTCAGAAGAGATTTATTGCATAGAAACTCGCTGTCGATAGCATCCCCCGATTCTAATCAATGGCCAGGTCTTTTAGAAAACATTTTCATTGTTTCGTTAGACCGCATTGATAAAAACGTGTTATTTTTCAGATTTACCAGAAAGTATCGAAGACTATCATGAAGTGTATCCTTTGGATAACTACGGCCACTCGTCAAAAATAACGACATTCAATACTTCCACGTATCGAGCGACAAATTCTAAAACCGGCGACAAATGTTGCTTGAAGCGTATACACGGTAAGTTTATTCGACGAAATAATTTGCTCATATAAATATAATATGAACTCGCGTATTTTCAGGTTTTCGGCAACCAATTACAAAGCTCAGTCCGCTGGTGGAAGCTTGGAAGAAAATCAGCCACGCTAATATAGTTCAATTAAAGGACGTGTTTACGACGAAAGCTTTCAACGATAGCTGTAGGTAGCAAAATACGATAAAATTTGGTTTTTTTTATTTATTTGATATTGTCAATTTTAGCATTAATATTCGCCTATAATTATCATGCGGATTCCGATACGTTGCAAATCAGACACTTTAACACTCACGAGACAATGAATGGGTACAACGATCCGTTTAGTTCGGATCCGAATGCACCGAGGCCATACAGTCATACGAAAAACGCAATTTTACGCCATCAGCATAGGTAACGACCTAAAAATTGTATATTTTTTTAAACCAATGCCTAAGTCAAATAGAATTATGTTCACACAAAAAATTTAAATGGAAATTTCTAAAATGTTTAACACGTTATATTATATAATGATATTTATAGAATAAAGTAAATTCTGGAGTAAATGAAAATTAAGGGAGGATTAATCTCTCTTTATTAAGTAAAAATATATATTTGTAAAAAAATTTTCTATTGAAATACCAAAACAATAATTTATTTTTACAATTGTCAATATAGTTTTATAACAATTAAAAATGAATTTATTCTTTTATGAATTTTTATGATTTGCAATCAATTATTGTATCATCATAATTTATTATCATTTATATTTTCACAGTAATGGACTGTTGTCGGAAAGTACATTGTGGAATTACGCTATACAGTTGAGTGGCGCACTAAGAGTAATTCATGGATCTGGTTTAGCGTTACGAGGCCTCGAAATGAACAGAGTCCTGGTGACCGGCACCGTCAACTCCAGGGCAAGGCTGAGAATCAATTGTGTTGCCATAATGGACGTTTTAATGAACGACATGGCCACTTCGAATATAATAAGCCATTTTCAAGTTGGTGGTTTCGGTGTCTAAAGTTACGATTCAAAAATTATTCAAAACATTTTTTTTCCAGCAAGAAGATTTAACAGACTTTGGCAAATTACTATTAGCGTTGGCTTGCCGATCGCTAATAGCCGTTCATCCTGATAATTTAGCTACTTCCATTGAACTAATGGCTCGTACTTATAGTAGTGATATTCGTAATTTGATAAGGTTCGTGTGTGTTGCATAAGAATATTATTTGTTTGGGTTTCTCGTAGTGTATGTCATCTTAAATGTATTTCGTCAGGTATTTACTGAGCAGTCAAAGAAGACACATTACAGAATTAATGCCGATGATTGGTGCGCGATTTTACACGCAACTAGACGCTGTGCAAAATCACTCGGACACGTTAGAAAACGAATTGTCCAAAGAAATGGAAAACGGACGTCTTTTCCGGTTGTTGGTGAAACTTGGATCGATAAATGAGCGGCCAGAGTAATTGCGACTTGAATAATTATTATACGTAGCTGCGCCTTATTGTAATGGGTTTTTGTTTTTTTTAATTTAGATTTAACCTAGACCCGTCTTGGTCAGAAACCGGCGATCGCTACATGCTGAAGTTATTCCGAGATTACTTGTTCCATCAAGTGACAGAAGACGGTCGTCCGTGGTTGGATATGGCTCATATCGTACAGACCCTCAATAAACTTGACGCTGGATCGACGGACACTGTACGTAATATTCAGCGGTTCCGTCTTGTTGGAATCTCTCACACTCTCTATCTCTCGTCCAATGTTTCACACTTAATTATTGACTTTGCAGATTTGTTTGTATTCTCGCGACGAAAAGACTATTTTGGTTGTTAGCTACCAAGAGTTGAAACAGTGTTTAGAACAGTCGTTTTGCGAGATCGCTTCGGTAGCTGCATCCGAAGATAACATAAAGGCTGAATAACATTCTTATTTTAGTCTCTGATTGAGGCTAAATTACGAATAAATGAACGCTTAGTCCACGTACTTAAATTTATAATTTCAGAGTTTAATTGATTACCTGATAGAAACACAAATATTTACATGGCCGAATGCTTAAAAATACTTATTTACAAACATTTGAGTTGTTCTTTTTTTTGTTTTTCTTCTTCTAATTTTGCTTTTATACATTTATTTATTTTCAAATTTTATTCCTTTTGCAACATTCCAATTTTGAGTAATTGCTTTTATAAATGTTTCCATCGTAATTAAATTCACAACAGATATACCTCCGTTTATCTTTTGGCCGTGCATTTATTTATTTATATAATAATAATGATCTTAAAGCAATAATAAATTTATCGTGGTTTCAACTCGCAGATCAATCAATAATTTAAAATTTAGTGAAAATTGTATTTACAAACTATTTGTTTTTCGTTTTTTTATTTTTTTATTTTTATTACAAGTTAATGCCAACAAAATATATATTTAATAGCCGTAAATTAATTATTTTTCATTAAATTCTGTACATTTTTCAGCATATATTTTTAAAATATTATTAAAATTAAAAAAAAAAACCAATAAAGTGTATAAAGATATTAAAAAGTGTTCAGTAGTGTTCATGAAGATATTTAGTAAAATATATTATGCAAAGGAAACGTATAAGTACAAGGTTGGTAAATTTGTTTGAAATACTCGTAAGACTTGGGGACATAAATTCTATATATTTTATAGTTTAATAATAGTATTTCTCATTATTCTATTTTGGAGACTAGTTGTTGGTTGATTTGTGATAATATATATTTTTGTAACAAAACTTAATAAAAAAAAAAAATCAAATCAAAATGTAAATTTGTATACCGTCATAAAATTATACTGGAAGGCAGGATATTAACGTTTGTGCAAAATCTCTTTCATAAGTTATTACCGAAAACTACGCAGTTGTCAAACAAATTAAAACGAGAATTCAGATTTAATGACGAGGTAAAAAAAAAAAAAAATTATGGTGAAGTAGTAATATTATTTTAAGAATTTATTTTTCTTTAATTATTACTTTTTTTTTAAAAATATATATTAACTGTTTGAATAATGTATATGTGATAGATGCGAAAACATAACATGTCCAGAACAATAATTTTAAGATATTATCATGTATTTTTTTTTTTTTTTAAAGAAATATATGTAGTATAAATTCTTTTATTTGCTGATAATTGTTTATTCCGTTTTGGGTCTCCAATCATTATGGTATACCATACTATTTTACTCGCAATATTAAACAATTAAAAAAAAAAAAAATGACAAAACTATAGTTTTACATGTTTATATTAATCAATTACAATGTTATTAAACTTGGCTGAGATTGAGTTTGAAATCAGTCTTCAGAAATGTAGGATCAAAGTGGGAAGTATGTCTTTTGTCATCATGTTAATTATATAATTATAATGGTATCAATTTTTGTTAAGTAAAACTACTTATGTTTATAGAGCGAAGAAACCTATGTGAATTACATACATAAAGTAATAATTACTTTGTAATTATTGTACTTTATTGTGGATCAAAAATTGGTAAAAAGAGTGATGATTGGGTCACACATCCAATAGTGTGATTAAATAATTACAAACATGTTGTAACTTGTAAAACCAGTCTAACAAATAGCGCAATTGTATTGCAATATTATTGCCTACACTTGGTAATTAACACTGCGTTTAAAATTTGTAGTTTGTGCAAAAGAGATATATTGTATTTTATATATTTTTTTCGTTTGCATAATTTAAAAATCGCCACATTCATTTTAGAAACCATAACCACGGTTACTGTGGTAGATGACCGTTCTGATAACTGATAAGAGATAAGGTTATATGATATCACTTGATGAGTAGAGTTTTGTAAACAGTCTGATAAAAAATCGAATGTATAATATTCAATATTGTTGACTATTAACAATTATTATTATTAGCGTACTTAAATTAAATTTTTTTTCCATTAAATACATTTTGTTCTACGTCAGATTTAAAATGGTAGAAGATGGGAAAAAGATATCGTTCTCGTTCAGTAAGGTCACAGCCAAACCCAAAGTGATACCCAATGTAATCAAACCTGCGCCAGAAAAAGCTGTACAGTTTATCGAATGCGTTGAAAAAAACTCAATAAAAGTAATCGGTATCACTGAAGACAATAATGAACCGCTGGTCATACCTATGCAGCCGTCTGCCAAGCGGAGTCTACCGACCAAGCGGGTGCCGTCCAAAGAAAACGGCTCGGCGAGTGAACTGCGTCAAAATGGATCGTTGACGTTGGAAGAAATGGCCGTGCGTGAACTGTTGTCGGGCAAGAAGGAAAACGACGATCAAGTGGAAGTCAAAGTCATGGAAGTACCGATGATAGTCAATCCTCCCGACGGTAAAGAAGAGTCTACAGCTGAAGACTATTCGAATGTACCTATTCAGGATTTCGGATTAGCCATGCTCAGAGGTATGGGCTGGAAGGCCGACAAAGGTATAGGTAAAAATGCACAATTGATTGCCGCCAGTATGCCGGAACTAAGGCCTAAAGGTATGGGCCTTGGAGCCGACAAAGTAGTAAAATCTGCACAGAAGACAAAAGACACTAACGAAGAGTTGAAACTGGCAAACGGATCGTACGTACAGTTTGATTGCGGACGACTCGACGGACAGTATGGTCAGGTAATGGGATTCGACGAGGGAGCAGCGAGGGTTATGGTAAAAATGGCTCGCACCGGTCAAATGGAAAAGGTCGGTGAAAATACATTTTCTTTAGTCACTAAGAGCGATTACGACAAAAACAGTAAAGTCCTCAACATTAAAGAGTACAAAGATTATCATGCCAAAAAGGACAAAATGGATGACGTTTTACACAGATACGTCGAGAGAAAAAATAAAATCGAATCGATTCCGCAAAGTCGAGACAAAATTAATGACCGCTCGGAAAACGGTTCAAACGGTCGTTCTAGACATCATAAAACCAAAAAGAGCAAACATTCAAAATCACCCCACAGAAAACATAAATCAGACCATAAAAAACACAAAAAAAACAAACACAAGAGATCCTCATCGTAATATAATTTGTAATTTTTTTTAATTTCTCGATATTTAACGTTTTCATTATTGTTGTACGACCCGATACTTACCTCCTAAGAAGCATTTGTGCATTTGTACGTGGGTTCCATGTTCCAACCGATCCTGCAAGGTACATTTATAATTTATAGTATTTTAAAATGTGTGTAAATATAAATATTTTTTATCAAAAAGAACTTTATTAAAGACAAAAGTAATGTGCAAATAACAAAGCAGTAATTTTGTTTTTTTTTTTTCATTCGCCTCGTTTATCTTTATAGCTTTTTAATTTGTTTTGATCGTCAAATGAGTAATTTTATCTTATCGGTAAAAAATGTACACAGAAAAATTGATCAGACTCGTAACTCGCAATAACTAACGCCAATTTTTTTGTAATTATCAATTCAAATTTAATTTTTAAACAATTAATAAATATGTTTAGAAACATTACGCTAGTTATTTTATAATTAATTACAAATTCACGTATCAACAAATATCGTTTACTACAAATGCCGTGTCTCAGAAAAAGACAATATTATTAAAAGCTCTACGCTAAGGAAATACTTTTTCAATAAACATTTTGTTTAGCGTTTAAATATACTAATGATTTTATATTATTATTATTATTAATTATAAAACACAAAAAAAAAAACCTAACTTAATACGTTTATAAATTATGTTTATTGCAATTTGCATACGATTTTTATTTATACAATAAAATGTTTTTCTTTTGTTACTTAAAAATTATGTTACACGTCGATTACAAACAGTTTTAAAACGGTATAAATATTTTAGACATTATATAATGATTTGGGACGAAAAAAAAAAACACAAACTTACAAGTTATATTTACTCGGAGCTAAATAGCTAAAATAAATACGATTTACAATCGACACACGTTGCTGCGGCAAAGTTTACAAAACAGAACGCGAGCGAGATACTTTTGTCGTCGTAAACGATACTACAATACTAAAATACTAAGAGAGGAAAATTGCACGCATTGTTATAATTCAGGTCCTATCTGTACTTTTTTTAAATAAAACCGATTACAAAAAAAAAAAAACGTTAACATCAACACCATTATAATAATATTACGTTAATTAATTTGGGCAAAAAATAAAAGTATATATATATATATAAATATGTATATTTGGAAACTTTTCGGTTCCGTGTAATGACTAAAAAAAAAAAAAAAAGGAAGTAATCAGTCAAATCGATTTACGAAACCAATTTACAAAAAAAAAAAAACTAAGTTATCAGACTTGTTTAAGGAGGAACGTAAGGTGGAGGTTTGCGATATGATGGTGTCGAGGTTGGTTTTGATCTGTGGTTGGAGCCAACGCTCGAGAACGGCGGAGGCGGCGGTTGGTAAGGTGAATCTTCGGTGTCGGCCAACAACGCCGTCGTAGCCATAGGAGGTGACCTCTGATAGTCCGGCGGCGGCAGCGGCGGTTTTTCTTCTCTCATTATTATCGGAGTTTTGTTTGTCGGCTCCAGTCTCTCGTCCATTTCGTCCTGTTGAATAAATAACGAGTTTTTAAACTAATAGTAGCTAGAGTGCAATCTGGATCAAGTCGTTGACTGGTTTATTATATGCGTACCTGAAATATCACGGGAATACCGCGACTGCGGAAACTTTGTCGGTCGTTGTCGCCGATTCTCAGTTTAGACGACGGGCGCCGTCGATAGAGCAAACAAGCCAGTATGCCAGCGATGAAAATCATGATTAAAATAATAATGGCCGGCACAAACAACGTTGAGAAATACTCTTCGGTAGTGTCGAACAGGAGTAAAATGTTGTCGTCGCGAGGCGAAACTTTCCGAGGCGGTTTTGGCGGCCGAACTTCTGTCAGTCCGCCTTCGCACATGCCGCTGGGTACGACATGCGCTCCGACCACATTGAACGACGGGCTCATGATTTTGGCCACAGCGTCGGTCAATTTTTCTTCTTCGCTCAGTATAACCTAAAAAAAAAAAAAAATATATATTATACATCACTCTAATTTAGTAAGTAGTTTAGCTTTAAAATAATAATAATAATTATTAGTAATTATAATATTGCCCCACTTGTCTCAGACGGAGTATCATGTTTTCGTCGCATCTGTCGACTTCCAAAGATTTATTGTACCACGTAACCATAGTCATGCCGTTTACAAGGTTCACGCCGAGAATAACAATGTTCGATGTCGTTTCGTCTTTGAATAGTGTAGCCAGGTGTTCGACAAAAGATTTTTTTAACAATGCCGAATTATTGAATTCTCTGTATTCGGGAGTTTTGAACACGATATCGAATTCGGCCGTCGGCATAGGTTTGGTAGCGTTGTGTATGGACACCACGAGACTGTCGTGGTTGGATTTGCCCTCTCGATCGGTGCATATCTGAACAATTTTGTTTCGATAGAATATATAAATATAATATTATACACCAATTACGCGACAAATATTGGTGTTTGAAAAGCTTACGAGTTGGTATTCGGAAAAGTTCTTGTCCCCCCACAATGGAATTCCGTAAAATTCTTGATTCTTAGGATCAAACTGTAACCAGCTGTTGGGCGGAACAGGTGAGCGATCAATGGTCATCAACGATAGTTTTAGTCTGTGTGAAGAGCTATCTTCGGCGTCGAAAAATGTGTCCTGAAAAATGTTGAATTACATTATATTAATGCGCTACAATTACATTAGATTATTATTTATTTAATGGGGGCTTGAAGCACGATTGAACAACCCTATTAAGCCGAAAAACATATAATATCATAATAGCATACATCAGGCACGACAAACGATAACAGTTGTCCGTAAGTGGCATTGATCAAATCGACTGGGTTACGCAACACAGGTTCGAAATTCTGACTCGACGGTGGCGTGATGGAAGCGCAATTTCCCAAACCTTCCCAACTAACGTCTTCCAGAACGACAGTGGCACCGAAAGGTTTTGAATATTTTGCTTTGTTGCCTTTTTCTGGTTTTAAAATCTGAAAAAGTCAAATAATAAAATGAATGGATTGTGTTAGGAGAATAACAAAATAACAACATACACTAATAATTTGAAGTATTTGATCGTTGGGGCATGTATTTCGGGGCAAAGTATCGTTGGTCCATTTGAACTGTACGCTAGGTCTATCTTTATTGGCAGTTAACATGCCCGGCTTTGTACAGTTCAACACGGTGATGTTGTTGGCATCGGTGGAATAGATGGCAGCGATTTTTTCGATAATGTCCAAACTCCAGTGTACCGGACGAGTCCAAGCCAACGAGTCGGATTTCAGTCGCATTTGCAAAATTATTTGATGATTAATGGCACGCAAATGAGGCAACTGTTGTACGACAAGGTCGAGCGTGTTGTTGACGCCGAGACCTGCAGAATCTTGCGCTTGAATAATTACTTCCCATTTCGAAACGTGTTCCTCCAAAGGTCTGAAATTAACGGAAAACGATAATAATACAACGTAACGACAATCGACTAGCAACAATGTGACGTACAATGCGACCAAGATTTGATTTTCCGTGTCAAATTCTACCCAAGACAGCAGGGCGGGATCCGTGTTCAACAAAGACAGCTTTAAATTTTTCGAACTGCCGTCTTCGTGGTCGTAGAACACGTTGTCGGGAATAGCGTACCTGTTAATTATTTATTAATACAACACGTTAATAATATTGCAGACAACTCGAAACGGTTTGACGCCGCCGTCGTTCGTCTTACTTCAACGGTTTTCCTGCAGTGATCGCAAGTTTGGGAAGTTTGTATTTTATAACTGGCGGTGTATTGGCAGAATCAGCGTTCGTCGCAGTCGACATTGTTGTAGTACTTATAGCGTTGCCATTCATCGCTTCTTTTAATTTGTCCGTAGGAAGAGCAGTTGTTTCGCCAGACGCACTCTCATCGATCATAGTCGTGGCAAACTGTTCACCCATGTCGACAGATTCCTGTAAAAATAAAAAATAATAATTAAAATCCATAATTTGACACTATTCTGAAATATCTGTTTTCGAAAACATACGGCGAGTTGTGAAGTAGTAGGCGTGGACGACATGGATTCAAAAAACGTCGGGGTCGGTTGAATGTTATCATAGGGTCTTGCCATATCGTTGGAATCGATTGAAGGCAAAACAATTGCTTTCTAAAAATAAGAAATATTGTATTATTAGTTAGTATAAATAAACTGTACAAATTTATGATTTAGTCAAGCAATATACTTACCAGAACGGGCGTAGAATTAATTACAGATTTTTGTGCGTCCAACACATTTTCGTCACGACGGTAATGTCTATGGAGATGGTCCGTATCGTACTGGTCGGGTAAAAAGACCGGCGAGGGCTCGACAAGCGTTTTCCTCGTATCCGGAACGATTTCATCATCGTCGTCGTCGTCATTATCATCGTCGTCGTTTTCGTCATCGGTATCGTTTTCTTTTACGCCTTGTTTTGTTTCATCGTCGTCATCATCGAAATTGGCAGCTATTTTATCATGTTTTGTCCCACTCACCTAAAATTGAATTAATATTACACTTGTTAGTTGCGGCCATTTTAATATCGTATTAAAATAATACAAGCGTACTTGACGACGCCCTCGTAGGGGATTTAACGAGTTCACTAGTCTATAGCTGGTCACCGGGAGTTGCAGTACTTCGGACAATGTTCCGTCCACGGCGTTACTTTGCATTTGACGAACATGATCAATGTGTTCTTGCCAAATATCCTCTCCGCAGCCGACCTGAAAAGTGTGTCGTATAAATTAATATCGCGTTACAACGGACGACCATTCGATTAGATTGAATTACCTCCCATAAAACAAATGACGTGTCGTTGAATTGATGCTTTTTGTGTTGCGGTCGTTCGGACGTTACTATGTTATCCATAAGCCACGACGATACGCTCTCTTGAGGTACTAACAGCACGGCGTCCTGTAATAAGTTTAATTTTAATAATCATTTTATAAATGTATATAAAAAAAGTACGTAAATGAAGTAAACTAACTTGTGGAAGACTTAAGAATCCGGCGAGATTTTTAAGTGCGATAAGTCGTTGCAGAGGTTGTATGCTTTTGAAATTCATACCAATAACAAGACAAAGAAGTATGGAGTCTTTATTGTTTTTGCATCGTTTCTAAAAAAAAAAAACAAAGGCAAATTACGATCAATTTTTCAATAAGTTGTGGGTTGGCTTTGTAAGACATCCCTTTTAAAATGCAACACTCACATTGTTTCGAACGTTTTTCCATTTAAGAGGCGCAACTCTAATGTACGCAACGTCAGATATCATTCTTCGACCTTTGTCTCCGGCACGTACCAAAAGACCGTCACGGACATCTTCGGGTCCCGGTATGCCTTCGAGTTCACCATTCTCGCCTTTCACTAACCAGCTCGGAAGACCTCCGCCATCTTGGCCCAAAAACTAAAAAAAAAAAAAAAAAATACAACAATTATATTTTTATAATAGAATTGAATAAAAAATATGTTAGTTACGGTTGGTTAGGTATATATATTTGTTTAAATACAAATTAATTTAGGCGTTCAACAGTTTCGGAACAATTTTCTTCGAGACATTCATATCAAATTGAAATGTTTGATTATTTGTTGAAAAAGAAATAATACAAAATTCAAATTGATACAACACAATAGTGGTGATTAAATAGATTTGTGTTTTTTTGTCAATATTACGATTAAATGTTAGAGAATTTTATCAATACTGATGTTCAAACAAGTATTGTTATACTTAAATAATAATATAATCATAGCCATAGTTTGTATTAGGTACAATTACAGCAAGTACACTAACACAGAGCTGCTAAAATACTTTGCATACTGGCTACATTTCAATAAATTCAAAGACAAATGCAGTCAATCGGGGTCACAGCGTGCCTTTAAAACAAGTCAACATCTTTGAATATAAAATTGTAGAATATATTATAAAAATTGAAATTAAATAAAACGTTGGTTGTTTCAAAAATGGTTTAAGCCAATGTGGTAAAATAACCGGCATCTCTAATGATGTTTAATTTACATACTGATTAGTAGAGTGTACTGTAAATTAATTTACTGATAAGTACGATCAGTTTGTCAAAGGTTTGTTTAATTAGTCGCAATATTATAATGCAACTGATATTTTATTTATCACCAGCTTAGCATAGCATAGTATAACGAAAATATGTTAATTGTGAAATTAATCTATTTAGATCAAACAATGCTACTAAATATAGTTATGATATTATTACTTTGTGATCATCATTACCAACACAATTGCTATATTATTATAATAATATAAAAAATATTTGTTTTCGTTTACCATTGCCTTTCTCTGTACAGTTTCAAGTAATTGTCAGTAAAGGAAAAATAAATATCCAAATTTGGGAACGGCACCAGTAAGTGACTTAATCTTTAATTTTTAACCCAGATTGGATGTTACAGATTTATTATTATATTTATAATCAATTTTAGATTGCGATAGAACGTCGTCGATGTACTTACGTCGATTGGGCCGGCGCTGTCGACAAACAAATCGTGGGGTATTTTGAAGTAGAAGAGTTTTCCGACCGTGGCCACCGGCTCGGGTATGCTCCACCATTTGGCCTTAGCGTCTGCGGACTTGTGCGCGGACGCCAAGCAACACAAAACCCACACAACAACAAGACCCTTCATTTGGACACTGCAACAAAACAGATATGGCACAGCGTTAGCGACGGACACCGTAGACGACCGGCCAACGTACCTATGCAGGTGGCTGTGGCGGGACAGGAAAGCAGGACATATGGCAAAATGTGTGTGCCATGGGCAGACTACGGGACGGGCCCGGGGTGAAGGACCAGAAAGCGATTAGAGGTATGTGAAAACATAATAAAAAAAAAAAAAACACAACCACCCACACGTCTAGGTGGACGCCAGCGGAATATGTTAGCCGTTTGGCCGTTTGCGGACGCCCGAAACGCGGAAAAGGTGTCCGGACCGGCCGCGCGGCAAGGGAACGCGTTAAATGGACTCGATCCGTCGGACTTACTGTTGTGGCACGGTTACGGGACGTGGAATCGGCGAAAAACTGTAAGGCTGTGCAGACAGCCGGCGCCCGTGCGGCCTAACGTCGCTCGATGATGGTGGCTGCTGCTGCTGGTGCACGTCGGTAATCCTCTGGCCGCCGCCGCCGTAGCAACAATAATAATCGCATATTTTATAATAACATCAACCGTATGGTAAAAGTGACCCGCGGGTCGCGAGTAGGCGGAAGTGGCGGCGGTGGTAGTGGCAGTGGTGGCGGGGCGGTGGTGGCGGGAGTGGTGGTGACGTACTCGATAACAAGTATATTATTATTATTACAGCTATTATGTATATATATAGTATGTGATTGTGGAGGGGCGTCGCACACACACACATACAGCGCGCCATCTGAGATGTATTACGGATTCTTGGCGGCGACGCGAGCCGTTCAATAAGGAGCCTCATCGCAGTCGACGGATGAATCAACGTCGCCGGTGTAGATGGCGCCTGGTGTATTGACAAGTCCCACCAGAGTCCTGCTATCGTCACGGTTGAAGTATACAGGTTATTGCATAATACCTATGGTCTCGAATGACGAATAATTATTGTTATCTTCAGAAATAAGTACCTATTTTTTGGGTTTTTCCTCGATAATAAAAATGTTTGACTACAGATTTTAGAGGAAATTGTATCTAGGCTATAGCCCCCCATTCTACCTTTGAAAAAATGTAAATTTTTCTCGATTTTAAATGGGAAGGGATGAACTTTTCAAATTTTTGGTTGAACAAAGAACATTACAGGAACGATTTCTGATCTCAAGAGTTGCTATACGAAGAAATCGGTTCAGTGGCTTAAAAGATATATCGTGGGTACAGACACAAAAATATAAAAGTTTAAACACATCATTGTTAATACAATACCTTCTCGGCTATCGCATCGAAGCTAAAATGGCAGCGTAACGTGATATCAATTTTACTATATTATACTTTACTATTTTACTATATAATTTACCGTGTACTTAGGTAGGAAAAACACACGTTAATAATAAAAATGACAATACTTATATGCAATTACTATACATTATTAATCATATTGGGCGATATTAAACGCAAAAATAAATATTCATAATAATAAACCCTTTCCTCTAAAAGGGATGGACATAATATATAATAATACTATAGGTACATAGTAATTATATTGTCCCATAAATTTTTGCTCCTAAGCATTGGACAATAAAATAAATCCAGTTTTGTTAACTTGAAAAAACATAAATTATTTGTTATTACATTTTTTTCCCTTCAAAATAATCGATCAAACTATGCATATTGTCATCGTTAATTACTGTGTTAAGCTCTTATGAAATGTAAATATTATTATGATTTGTAAATATTTGTTTTATAAAACATTGTTTTAGCTAACTTGCGTTTCTAAAAGCAAAACAATCAAATAGGTACAATCGTATTGGCTTTATTTCACAAATATTTGTTTTATATTAGTGGTTTATACGTATAGCATACAATTTTTATAAACAAAAAAAAAAACGAGGAATTAGGTAAATCAAAGCGAATATTGAATAACATATTTAGCTTATATAATTAATTTAAATGTAATTTGTGAATAATATATATTTCTTGTGTAGATATAGACATTAATATAAATCTCAATTTGTTCTTGTCATTTGATAAACAATTCTTGATTGAACAAATTTATTGAAATGGTTCCATACAAGTCTTGTGATGGGGAAATTCTCCGTCTGGTACATATTAATATTTTCAATATCATTACTTTAAAATGTATCATGTTATAATGGTAGTTTTTTGTATTCCATTATACTCATCAAATACTTAATACTAAATGGAAGGGAGCAAGTTTAAATTAAATATAAGAAAAAAAGTGTTTTTTTTATAATTGTAATATCCGTTGAAACAATAAAAACAGATTTAATTTTAATTATTTCGTCGATTATTTCAAACTAACCGACAACACTTTTTCTACGTTAAAGTATATTATTTTTTTTATATTAATGAGTCTTTTGTAAAAAAAATCATTATGGCCGGGATTTTTTACCGCTATTATTCATTTATTGCCTGTTACCCACTTAGCTGTCAATAATAGCTGCAGTGACGACCATGCCGATGAATCATAGTCGAATTTAGGCAGATAACGTGCTGTGACATTTAATTATAATAGGTATAGGCGCTTTAAGTAAAAAATCTTAAGTATTGACTGATATACTTACATTTTAGTAAACCTACTATCGCCTTCGGTGTATCATGTAGAAAATAATAAATGTGTTTGTGTGTGCTCAGGGCTCACGCCAAATATATTGGCTCCTTCCCGTTTGACCTTCGATGGCACAAATCCAAATTGGTTTCATTCCACAACTAAGTACAATATGTCCTACAAAACATACATTTCCCCAGCTGAGGGATTGGTTCCCTGAAAATTACTGCACTCTTATTCGCCACCATGCTATCCGGCTTTGGGTGCATGTTTTAGAAAATCAAGTTATAACTAATGTCGCCTTTTAGAAAACCGAGTTTTAAAAAAGCTATATTTAGATTAAAAAACGTTTAGAATACAATAATAATATACAACTTACACATGTACGCATTTAGTGTTAGATGCGATGGATTTTTATAAGTTAGCATTTTTGCCACAATCGAACAGTGTTAAAAAGAAAAAAAGTAGATACAGTGAAACACACAAAAAGAACTAGTTGAATATTTCTAAACGAATAATTCATAATTCCAATTATGATTTAAAGGAATTTATGAGAGCTATATATTGCTAGCAATCTAAATTACAGGAAATGATTACTATTATTTTTTTAAATAACAAAGAAATTGTTTTAATTGAACAGTAATTCAAAAACTATTTTATAATTTGTTTACTTTTATGTATTTTTTAACTCAAATAATGATACTTTAATGTACTTAATTATTTGTGCAGTAAACATTATATAAAAATTATTTATTAAACTCGGCATTCTCTCAAACATGACTTTTTAAAAAGTACCTCAATACCTACCTGCTCTACGAGCCCAGGCCATCAACACAAATCTAAAGACAATTATTCGTTTAATAAGAAAATCAATTCTTTTTTAAACATTTTGACTGGTTGATTGAATCTTTCCTTCAGCCCTTAATTTGAAACTTCAGTGACTTCAAAAATAGTTATCCAAAACTGGTTATGGACCAGTCAAGATTTTTAGTAGATACATTATTCTCAATTTAAAAATTTAACAAAATGAATACCAACGTTGACGTTTAAGCTTAAAAAGTTGACATAAAAAAAAAAAAAAAACAAGTTCGGGAGGAGGATAGGAACGCAAAAATTTGTGGAAAATTGAGATCAAATTATATCCTAACAAAAACACTATGACAAAAAAAATGCAGTTACATTAATTAAACCCAATGAGATGAAATGAGTGGTTCACGATAAAATGATCACTATATAATATATGTGTATACATATATACATATATATATATATATGTATATAAATACACTTTATAATACCCGCAAGACTCGCGGTTTGGAGCCTGTCTTGCGATAACCGCCATACCGTGCGTCGCGCCGTTGACGCGCTGTAATCGTACGGGTCTCTTCCCCTACTCGCTCCCCCCCCCCCTTTGCCTTCGTCTTCACCTTGCCCCTCTTATCCGCTCTGCTAAACGGGACCGGTGCACAGAGTGGATTCGCGAAAATCCGCGATGAGCGATTATATTATTATTATTGTACGCATAGGCGTGTGCGACGACGGCAAAACTGCCAATTAAAGTCGGCGGCGGCGGCGGCAAGCGAAGCCGCGTGTGTTATCGACACCGGAGCAGCGCAACGCCGCCCCATGGGGATCCACGGTACGGCGCGCCATATCGGACCGGCACCGAGTCCCGGGAAAAACCATCCAACCTACCCTGCCTCGTCCGCCTTCCCCTCCGCCGCCACTGTATATACACGGCCTTAATCAACGCGGACGTTTAAAACCCGAAGGTTAAGCCGCCCATTCGTCGACCGACCCCGGCCCCCTCCTTGCGCATAGCGGGTATGTACCCTTTTGTGGATCAGTATATACATATATATATATATATATATATATATATATATAGATAGATAGATAGATGTATTCGGTGGTATTAAATCCAAAATTGAAAGCTCTTCCCCCCCCCCCTCGTATACACGCCGGTATCGTTCACACCGTCATCGAAAACTTTTGACGCTTTTCAGTTTAAACGAAATTATCCTCCTCTCCGCAACACAATTCCCTTCGGCCTTCGACAGTGCCGTAAGTATATATAAGCTCCGGGGCTTAGGTGTACACACACACATATATATGTATACCGTATTGCCAATGAAAATATCACAAAATCAATTTCGTCCGTGATTAGAGTGGGTTGTGTGTTATTGACATCCTCTGATTATCGATGGCTCCAAACTATAATTATATAATAAACTATATACCTTTGGTGTCCCCTATGGCCAAATCTTGGTTTTCTGGCGGTTTTGAGGTGTGTGTGATTTAGCCAAGTTGCTTTGTTCGCGATACGAGCTAAGGTATTTTTATTTTTTATTTTTTTTTACATTGAAACCTAGGGGGGTGGCACCGACGCTAAAGTATTACCGTGAGCTCTATCTCGTGTGGTCGATGGGAGATTTCATTAGTAGGCTTGTATTGTCGAATTGTGTGTTTGAATCATTAGGAAGTACACAAAATTCAAGTTTAGTGCCTGCTTATCCCGGAGACGCTGAAAGCAATATCAGATTGACAAGAATGAATGGAATATTCTCATTTGGGAAGGCTTTAAATATCTCCAGGTTTGGATTGGCTTACACCCATAGGCCGGATTGATAACGAATGGTACACTCGCTTTGTTATGAATTTTAAATTTAAATTTAAATTTAAGACAAATCGTGTTTAAGCATTGGCATTTTGTCGTGAACACTTCACAGATAATACATCACAGGAGTTTCTGCGTGTGAATGCGTCGATGGTGACACTTATCCACTTGATAGTAGTTGACTTTATCGAATGTGTCAAATAACTAAGTTTTGAACAATAAAATATTATTGAAACACAAAAAAAGACCAGAATGAAGCAGTATTATGCCTCTGGTATAATAGTACATTGAATAGCGAAAATCAAAATGGTATAAGCGAATTTTATAAACATTTACAGTACATTTAAAACGATATATTGAATTATGGAAATTATTTTTTTATTAAACATGTCACTACAAGGACGGGTCAATTAGGTCAATAACATACTTCATAAACTCAGGTTTCAATTGTTATAGCGCGTATAAAAAGTTAAAAAGCTCTTTTTTTTTCTTTTATCAATTTCTGCTATCAAATATGACATTGCAGTCCGGTTCCCATGTATTATATTCGTAAAAAAAAAAAAAAATCAGTGACTTACAATAATATATACTATCTGCTGTCGTGGACGGGATCAACAACAAAATCCCACGGGCTTACACGATAATCCTATAGTATAAATACTTATCTCGTTGAGCACCCCTTCATGATGACACACAGTGCTTTGACAATGTATCACGTAGGGCTTTGTGATGCGTTTAAAGAGTCGTTGATTAATAACAGTGCGTGACTTGATAGCAGTACCGTAAATAAGTGATTATTTGTTATTTTAAGTTAAATTTAAAAACATATCTGATATCACCGTAAAATTAGTTAAGTGATACTCAATAGTCAAAATTATTCAAAAGGTATTAAGGAACCGATACAAACACACACAGTTATAGTATCGTGTTGTACTTTAACGGTTATGATTTTTAATTAAATTTCCGGTATAATTTTGAGATTATTTAACAAAGATTTTAGCATTTTTTACTATTATAAATTTACATCTCAACATGTATGGTGTACTCGGTAATGTGGAACGCAAGAGTAAATCAAATAGGTTTTTAATGAAGTATATAAATATATATGTATATATTTTACAACAAACAAACTATAAAATGTTTGCCAATAAAGTATATCTTTTTCTGTGTGCATTTTTTGTTTTTTCTTGGTCATTTATACAAGATTTGTTTACAAGTTGCAATTTGTATACCATTGTTATATGCATTACAAACATTTTATTTTATATAATTTATTTGTTACATATTTTTACTATTAAAGTATGTCTGCTGTAAATACGTTAATTGTAGGTAATCAATAAGTATGATTAGATTGACACTGGTCGGCCTACTTCTGACTTGACCTGACTGGACTGGTATAATTTGTTTAATCCAAATTAATTGCGGATTTATCGACAAACAAATTATAGCGATAGTTTTTTATAATTTTACATATTTTGCGGACATGTCATTATTTATAAATATTTTTTTTATTATTAATAATTTAGAATACGTTATTATTTTTTTTTTTTTTTTTTTTTTTTTTACTATCTTTTCGATAGGGTAAACATATGGTATTGTTATCTGATGGAACATCTTTTGAAATAATAACATGCACGCGCTGCGGTGGGCTGGGATAACACGGAATAACACGGCGCGTGTCGGTTACTATACCATCAAACGAAGGGGACGAGGTCCTTTTATTATATATATATATTTAAATAAATTATTATAATATGTGTTGTGGAACAAATATAATAACACCGCTGTAGCGGACAAGTGGCAATTATCGCGATACATGCGACATCCCCATCCAGTAGTAGGTACTTGTACAGGTATATATCTATATGTAGATACCTAAATACACGTATAGTACATCCATATGATATTATATGTTTTTAGCGTTATCATGTGAACCAGCACGTTTCTCGATAAAAGGTGGGAAAATGGGAACACCAAAAAAAAAAAAATGGCGCTTTTTTAGTCGGCCGGGAAAGGCGGTGGTGGGGAAACAAAAAAAATATCGGATCCTAATTGTACATATTGTACCTACGACATTATTAAACTAAATATTTTGTTTTTTTCAGTGAAATTTAACAGATGTTTATCATATTATGGACGAGGGTACCTACACCGACTACCAAGTGACGATCAAGAGATACCGTTGGTCATCCGGACTACTACATAGTATATATATATATATATATATATATTACAATTCATTCGTGACTGGTTGTTCATCAACGTTCTGCTGATGCCAAAAAAAAAATGAATTTTAGCTTAGATGTGTTGTTATTTTTTATTTGTTTTGTACCTGCACCCATGCTATCTCTAGGTCGCTGAACAAATTTCTTCATCTGAAGTACACGAATGGTACTTAATTGGGCAAAAAAGTTCACCTCTTGCACTCTAAAGAACAAATACCTGAAATAATTACTTATTTTTCAACTTTACATGATACCCTGTTTAAAAAACGGTCCAACTCGTTTTAGACTTGCGTGGGATATTCTTTAAACACAGTACCGCCGATAAACATTGACAAACCAAATACTATAAGCCCTATCCCTGAGGGTGAAGGAGAAGAAAGTGTGGACAATTTCCTTTATAATGTAATAAAGGAAATTAAACCGTAAAACTACACCTAAGCAATGTAGCTTAGGTGTAGTTTTACGGCTTAAGGTCTAAAAATTAGACCAAAGGTCCATTTTTCTCAAAATTCTGTAGTCTGCAGAGCCCCCAGCTAGTATGATAATATAACACACACACAATATATATATATATATATATATATATATATATATATATATATATATATATATATATATATATATTCTAATAGTTATGAAGCAAACCATGTTATAACCAATAGTTTGAGATCCCTAATTTTATATAGGTACAATAATCGAGCGATTTTCTATGTTTTCGCTGAAATAACATAAAGTAGGTCGTTTGAAAGAAAAACTTTTGTACTCGACAGTCGATCTAATTTCTGATTATTATACAATTTATTATTATTTAGCTTTGATGCGAAGTTGTGTAGGTTAGGTTTTGTTTGTACAATGATTTTTGTTTTTAATGTGTATATTTGCAGCCGTTTATTTTATACAGCTTGATTGAAAAAATCCTTCCGTTGAGGTAACTTTAGGTAATAATTTAATAAAATTCAAAGTAAATAGTTCACAAATGACCAAGTTCATTTTTTAAAATAAATTGTTTTATGTATAGCAAGATACCTTATAGTCGCTTACACATTGTGTACTAATAATTGAAAGCCAGGTATTAAAATGTTTACGGTTAAGGCCACGCCAAGTTTTGTACTAAATACATGGAATATTAGTAACATTGCCGGGAGATCCATTTCTATTTCAAAAATTAATTAAATATACACGTTCCCATTTCAGTTTCATAAGTTAATATTGCTATGCTTAATCTTGCTATTTATCAAAAAAAGATAAATATTTGATAAGTTTACAATATTGTAAAATAACACAAATGCAAAAGTTTTCAAAAAGAAAAACTTTAACATTGTAATTATTTTCCGAGAAAATGAGTGTGTCTAAATGGATCGCCCTGTATATATTTTTAAATGTTCTTGTAAAATTATAAAAAAAAGCGCATCAGTTGCTATTCAGCCCATTGACAAGTATTTATCCTCCTTTACCATTTAGTGGATAACCGTGAGTAATAACTTATAGGAGGAAAAACGAAGGAGGAGGACTTAGGCACTACAAAATATTTTAAAAACTCTTTAAAAATTGTAATTTTATGTACAGTTTATGAAGTATAATTTTTATCTATAATTCGAAATGAATTCTATCCTCTACATGGATTAAATTTGCAGCCAACTGTGTGCGCAACGTGTATGCCGTGTATTGAATACATACATAACGTTTTTTTTTTTATGTTTATCAAGTATACAAACGTTGGCTAAAACCTTGGCGGGGAGGTGGTGAAATAGCCCCTAGGTGGTCGCCAAGGTGACGCGTGCCGGCCGTGATTGGTCGTGGATTGGCCGGTCCTGGACCCCCCTCAAATGGGCGGGGTCCTATACTACCGTATCCGAACCGTAGTCGAAATCCACGGCAATGTAAGTACACACACTCGCAGACGGCTGTGATCCTTTACGGTCTTTGATCCGACGTCGCTTTATCCGAACAACAACAATAGTAACAACTCAAGTCTCAGGTAAGTCTGTGCATAAGTATGATTAATATTAGGGTACACAATTTAGTAGGGGTAAGAATTTCGAAATTCTTGTCCCGAAAACGACGGATACTACTAGTTTTAAGTCTTTAAAGAAAAAATGCTAAATTAAAAAACAATTTATGTCCATAATAGAAATATAGGTAGTAGAAAAAAATTGCTTAAAAACCATACTAAAACGACGAAATTAAAAGAGAATTAAAGTTATTCTAAGCGGTGGAATTTTATAGATTTTCTTAATCGGTTTTGCCTTTTCGGCAAATATTTAAGATATTTATCAACAAGTATCTAAAACGAATATGACTTTTATATTGCTAGACAAACGGTTTCTGTGAGTCCACAGGGAACCTAGGAGTGGCCTAGTGTTTAGGTATGTCGAATCAAGAGGTTAGATTAGGTAATATATATAATAACCGTATAATTTTAGACAACAATTTAAATGAAGCTTTCTATCAACGCAGCATTAATTCTTGAAAAAAAAAATATATACCGGTTTTAATATTTTTTTTTTCAAGAAATATAGGTACATATTTTTGTTTTTGTGGAGTGTGGACCTATTACGACTTTTTAAACACTCAGTTAAAGGTTATTTCTTCATGTATAAAGTCTATATGTAGAACAGAAAGTTAACACACAATTAAATTTTTTTTAACGGCCAACACTTGTGGAAAATTTACCCTTTTCCTTTAAAATCTAAAAAAACACTTAGCGAACTGTTAAAAAAACAGCATGTTATAATTTTTCAAAAAACAGTCGGGCTTGTTCCAAATGGAATTGGGATTTGCGGTATTTATTAGGTATATACATGAAAAAAATCAAGCGGGAACTTTTTCAATATATAATTTTCGCTATTTAAATAAAAAATGACCAACTTTGACTAAGTTATGTTGGAAATGGATTTTTTATTTAAAAAAAACAGCGTTTTGATACTGACAATTTTTTAAGTTGAATTACAAAAAACTTAACGTTTTCAATGGAAATTTCATTAAATGTTAATTTTACAATATTGTAAAATAACAAAAATACAAACGTTTTAAAAAAAAACTTAAAATTGTAATTATTTTCCGAGAAAATAAGTGTGTCTTGCATTAAACAGATCACCCCGTGTAAATTTCCAAACGTCGTTCTTGTAAAATTATTTAAAATAAAACGCAGTTGCCATTCAGCTCGTTGACAATTATTATTTAGTCCTCTTTTGTTATTTAGTGGATAACCGTGGTTAATATCTATTAGTTCATAGGCGGAAAAACGAAAAAGTAGGACTTCTAGAGGCCCAGTAAGTCAAGTAAAGTTAAATACAACTAAATTTTAATTATTTTAAGAGGTATATTATGTTATAGAGAGAGAGAACGTCTTATCGTTGATCAAACACTCTGTATGATCGAATCACGTTACTTTGGATCGCATAAATAATGTATTTGTTGCCAATCCGGACTGTGTGTCTATGGAGTGTAAAAAAAAAAACAACGTTATCAATAAACGGTATAAGGGGTTGCGAAATAGGACGGCTCGGTGTGTACTTGTCTTTAATATAATATTATAATATGATAATATGTATAATATATATTATTACATTATTATTATACATGTATAGCGTTGATCGTTTAACTATTGTGGGACACGGCACGATGCGCGTTGACGTTATCGTTATTATTACTATTGCGAACAGGTCATCCGTGATGTGCCGGCGGGATAACAATACGACTGGTGCGCGTGTCCCGGTGTGTTCCTCCTATATACTGGTACATATTATTGTAATAATATATACCCGCACGTATTATAGGGCTGGTTTTTTTTTTTAATTTTAATACACGGGATTACGGTCGTATAGGAGAAAGTCAACGCCTAAAAAGCGCCTCTCTGGAGACGTGCACAGTGGCACACACATGGACGCCAATGACACGGTCCGGAGAGCATGCGACCGCCACCGACGGAGGCGCATGCGGCCAGGATTTGCGGGTCAACTGGACCGTGTACGCCGGGCGCGTTCGGCCGTTGTTCACGGGCACTTAACGCCTCTGTCGCCCGGAAGACGCGTGCTTGTGTGCGATAAACACATTATGTAATTCGGCGCAAGTCGCTTTCTATTATTCGTATGAAAAGGTCCTCGGGGACAACGGTCGTAAAAATAGACCCTTAGGGCCTCGTAAGGGTGCTGCCTCCCCCCTTGACCCCCCGCCATCCTTGTGTCGTCTTCGCGCTTCCGACGGAGCGGTACTTATGTATCGCTATACTGGGATTCTGAACTTTACAAGTGTGACCTGGTGCTGGTTTGTTTTTGACCCGAAATCGGTATTCCCAAAAGTGATTTTGTTTGACGGTGAATGGAAATTTTGCGGGTGTAAAGAAATTTTCAAACGCGACGTTGGCCATCTCCACCCTTCCCCGCCTACAGCCTGTCCTAGGTAAATTGGGCAAAGTGCATTCAATTTTGTGTTATCAACAGTTCGAGCCTATACATATTTGTCATCAAGCAAAAGCATAGTCCATACTAAACAGCCAGCATATTGAAATAAAGGGGTTGGTCTTCGGGATTTATTTTAACCGAAAGTGAAGTCGGAAATGTTCAAGCGTGATACCGTTGTAAATAAATACAGTGTGATGAAAAAAATGTCTCACGAATTTTCTTGGTCTATATTTATACATTTTGTTGTCGTTGTTAGACAATTATAGCAATTAAAATATAATGAAAGTATTTTCATGATACCCCTTTACTGTTGATTAGTTTACTGATATCAACCTGGAAATTGAACACGGTCAAAGCTTAGTTTTTTTTTTTTAGTATTTTTCTTAATAAAAAATAATGATAACACTCATTTTTGAGAAAACGTGTATCTTAATATAGCCCCTCTCTAGTTCTATCTTCATTCTTCAGTCTAATTTTTAATCTTTAAACCACAAATTACGTTCGAAAAAGTTCCCACGCCTTTTGGGGGAAATGGTTTTTAATATATTTTTAGGAATTATTTATGCATTTTAAAACAATTGAGTTTTTATAACAAATATACACTTTTGTGTCCATAATATCAAGTGATTATACATATGTATTAAATAACGTCTTAACATAAAAAAAAAATTCTAAGAATTAGGTATCACTTATGACTAGTCCTCATTATCGGATCCAGGATTTAACTTTTGACGCATATGTTTATTTTTTGGGAGAGAAACTATAGCCCGGCATTTTAGTGTTTGACTTTTGTAAAAAAATTCCAAATTTACATGCTTTAAAAATAAGAACAAAATGGTATTACAAATTGGAGGACTAAAACAATTTGAGTAAGCTTATCTTTTAAAATATTATTCCACATTTACAGAATAAAATATCCGGGTTACTCGAAACCACCATAATATGAAACAAATTTAATTAAAACGTTGTTACATTTGCCAATAGTAATTTGACCATATTTTTCGGAGTGTCATCCCCTCGCATAATTTAAACGCTTTTTAGATACCTCTATAAGTTTACCCTTTTCCGGCTAGAATTTTTTCGAGATTTGGATACATCATGACAACGTCCCAGAAAGGTATTTTCAGTCATTCACTTAATGTTGTACATAATTCAGTTCTAGATAAGAAATTTCACCTTTGATTTTATTTAAAAACTTCCTGTCGTGCATAACTTCTACCGTGCGTATTGAATTGATTATGAACTCTTCAGCCTTCAGTCATTTTTTCGAAAATGAAGTTGTACTTCATCTTAAACGTGACGCGTTGACGGTACCTAACACGTCGTCTAGTATCAGTATACAATAAACGAGCGTTGCGCGGTGCATTTCACCACCGTAGATGCATCGGAGCCGTTGGATCGTGCCTTATCAAAATCGGTTCGGACAAAATTGTTTAAATGTTTTTTACAATAATAATTACACTGTCGTCCCAACAAAATTCCACCATACACGACAAAAAAAAAACAAATCATACATTTTATAGGCTTTTAAATTTCATTGTACCGACAACACTTAAAATCTCAAAATCGGACGAGGAAAAAAAACACCGAGAATAACAACAAAAATATAAAATATGTATCGAGACTTCAGAGAATTCGATTTCGGGCTCCAAGACCCAAAACATTTTTTATTTAATTTGTTAATTGACTTAATTCCGGACATTGAAAAATAAATGAAAATCCAATGACATGAAGTGCTCAAAATGTCGGCTAGAACCTAGAGCCATTACAATGATGGAAAACCCTAACCGCCCTACCTTCGCCATGCTTTTTTTATTCAAACCGCTCTCCTGTAAAATCTCATTAAATCTCAACCGATTGCGACCTAACGTGTAGAGGATGCTCTTCTAGTTAGTATCTATTATCTACGAATATGTCTAAGAGTTTTAAGAAATAACGTCATGGAACTTGTATACGAAGGTGTAAAAATTCAAAATATTGCTAAAAAAACAAATTCTTAAGACTTTTTCCTGAGAACTTTACATTTCAGATTAATAGCTTGAATAGTACAAGAAAAAACGGGGCATTTATTCGAAAAAATTGGGTTTAATAGAGAAAATGTTTAGGGTCGCAACTTTTTTATGCTTAGTGGGATTGAGTTCAAAATATATTTACAAATATTTTTTTTTAAATATAACTTTTTGTTTTTTTTTTTTAGTAAAAATAAATATACCTAAACATTTTTAACAATTTTTTAGTATTTATATAATTGTTTTTTTTTTCAGATTACCTACTAAGGACAAAAGAAAAAGTTGTTGGTATTCACTTTAATAAAAAAAAGTATTCAAGTTTACTTGCTATCAAATCGTCATCGGTCATGCCGCATACTGGTAAGAATTATAGTATTTACATTATCCATTTATTTATGTTTCTCTGAACTGTATTTTACTTTTCTGTTTCTATGCTTTTTGGTCTCGATTTTCAAGGGGGTCTCTGTTTCATGTACCCACCCAATGTATAGTTTAATGAGGAATAGGTTTGATGCTCTTTTATCCCCTGATACATCATAGTGCCAGACGTTCAGTATCTTATTAGATAAGTTGGTTGTTACTTGTTGATACCCGTCAAAGGTCTCGAGCAGTTCCGTATCATTTAGTACTGGCGTATTAAGCATATTAAGACATAAGTTATTGTATCTCTCTTGACTTGTACAAGCCTCAGCCTTAAGCAGGGAAATCTGGTTAGAGTTTCTTTCCGCATAATTCATATAATAGTTTCTTGACTAGTATACATAATAGAGACTTGTAAAATATAATGTGCATATTATTATGGAAATCAATTATGGCAATCATTAAGGCGATGACACTATGTTATTATAACATGGTTTATAAGTAGCTGAATGTAGATGGGTTATAGCTGTGCCGAATGAATGAAACGATCAAACCCGGGTGCAACTCTATAGTGGGTATAGGTAGGTGTACATCTGCCGAGTATTAGTTTTTTTTTAAATATATTTTTTAGGTGTTAATGGGCGGTAGTTTTACAAAATTACAGGGACCTTCCGATCATTTTCACCGGTCTGGAACCGCCCACCAACGCCCGGGGGGTCTGCCGCCACGGCCCGTGTTGACCTGCGTACACGCTATCCGGCATTCCGTGCGCCGTGTCGCCTAAGCGGCCGGTTTCCTTTTGATCGACGGCACCGGTAAACGTTTCAAAATCAAATTTGGAACAGTGTTATATTATTTTTTTTTTTTTTGACACGAACATCCGCGAAATTCATCAAACACACACACACCAACTCGCCGACAAGGAGCATTCTCATCCGCCTGCAAGTGTTTAGCGTGATAAGCCGCGTTGTATTCTTCCGGTTATTATTATTAAAAAAAAAAAAGGCGATTCTCCTACCTAAACGTGCCGGAGTACTTTTTTATTCATACTTACTACCGTGTTCGGGATCAAATTTGCCGGGTGTTTTATTTTCCTCCCCCCCCCCCCACAAAGGCAAACCGGAGATGAACAATTAACGCTCCACCACAAACTGTAAAAACACAAAAGCGTACGTAAGTTCGACCAAATCTAGTTGTTAAGTTGCACAATGAAAGCCAACGAGGATTCCAGGCATATATAATTCGCACTTGTTAAGTACTTCAAGTCAGAATTTGTTTAAAGAAGGGTCGAGATCGGCAGTTGAAGCAAAAATTGTTTCTATTATTTGATTTATTTTTCTATTATTTTGAAAAGATAAGAGTGTTGTGTCCAATTCAAGCACTGGCAGCAATTAATTAGATCACTGACTTAAGAAATGATATAAGCAAACTGGGAACACCGTCGAATTTGATCTATCTGAATAAAAATCTTTATTTAAATGGCTTTTTATGACAGTTCCAAAGACAGATACAAAACTTTACCTAGAACCTAGTATAGCAATCTCTTTAAATAAGCTTGTACAAAACATGGATTACCTACATATTTGATGTAACAAACTTCTACATGAAATAGATGTACTGGATGAGTATTTGGTTTTACTTTTCAGGTCAAGCTGGTGTTAATCAATTGGGTGGTGTTTTTGTGAACGGTCGACCTCTGCCCGACTACGTCAGAAGACGGATAGTGCAATTGGCTCTGTTAGGCGTGAGACCCTGTGACATATCCCGTCAGCTTCTAGTCTCACACGGTTGTGTGTCTAAAATTTTGACGAGATTTTATGAGACCGGTTCGATACGACCAGGATCCATCGGCGGCGCAGGATTGCAAAAAAATAAGGTAATAGCAAATTACAGTAACATAGTATAATATATTGTATACTAATTACTAAAATACCATACCTAACCACCGACTAAATTAGAAGGAAAATCGTATTTTAAAATCACATGTAAGAAGTATTTTTTTTAACTTCAAAAAGTGTACAAACGGTTGCAAGTTTAATTTTTACACTCTATTTTGTCAAATAATAGAAAGTGGTCATTAAATTGTCTGAATTGGTTAAATCCTCTGATTTCATAAGACAGTCTATTTTTCTCAGTAAGAAATTGGTGCAAAAATGAGAAAGTGGGAGGGTGTATGGTATTTAAGTGCATTATAAATAAGTGTTTCGCCCTTACAATGATTTAATTAGACAAGTACGTTTGTACGATTTTGGTAAAAAACATTGAAAAAGTCAAATTGGAAAATACATTTAGTCATATGAGAGATGGTGGAGGCGTGTAATAAATATAATACAATTTTAGATTCGTTAAATAAATGGGAGAAATATTGAGTACATTATTGAAGTAAAGTGTGTGTGTTAAAAAAATGAGTTCTTAGGAAGTGTATAAAAAATATGACACATAAAAAACGGGTTTTAAGAAATTGTATTCCGCCAATGTTATTTGTTTATACCAATTTTGTTCAAGTACAATGTGTACTGTTTGGATCATATTATTGTTTTTGTTTGTCTGCGCACTCCATTTACCGGCAATACTGTTACAGAATGGTTTACATTGAGTTTACTCGGTTTTTCAGGCGAGCCAAGGACATTTTACAAAAAAGAGTGCCAAATGTAAGCAGCAAGAGGCAATCAACCGAACGCTTGGGTCGTCGACCGCACCACCGACAATGCACAATATTCCTTGGATACACCCTTTAGGTAAATTGTAAAGTAGTTTTTTTTTTAATCTTCAAACGCTATTGTTTATTAGACAGACAGATACGGGATACCCTATAGGGTACAAGTTGCGAACTCCTATCCTATTAAAAAAAAAAATGCTCATCTAGCAAAAACAGACGGTGAATTCACAACTGTGGTCACCTTTAATTGTTTCTGGTGGCTTTTCGTTGTACATTTATAACGTTTTTTTTTTATTAACAGATTTTTATTACGAACGGATCCACCAGCACCAGAGCGACTACGTGCCGAGTGCCAGCAGGCCCAAGCAGGGTGAAAAGAAACCGAGAACCCCTTACACCATTGAAGAAATACTGAAACCTACAGCACCGCGACCGCGGACTTCTTCGCCCTGCAGACTCCTCGTGGACGGCATATGCACGTGCGGCCTGACCAGCAATGTTGTTTCCACAGCTGCGTTCTACTTGGACGTTCAACAGCAGCAACCCGTGTGTTATCATTAGATCATCATCAGCTATTTGTAGTGTATCTAATTTTTTATTTTATGTATGAAACCCGTAGCTATACCGAAAAACAAACGATGTCCTAGATTAATTATTATTTCTTAAATATTATTATATTGTTATTATACATTAGTACTTGTACTTAGGTGTGTCTGTAAATGTAAATACTTATTAAAAATAAAAAACAAAAAATTGTAGAAAACTATAACTGACTCTATAATATTATAGACATTAACTTTTCCCAAAAATACCACTCCTATTCCTCACTTCCTAACTACAATAATGGTACACCGTACGAAACAGTACAACGTTATTTTCAAATTTGACTCATTATGGAGTTTATTTCTATTTCGTCGACGTATAACAATGAAGTTTACAACAATTGATAATTAAATTGTACAGTTGATCAATTTAACGTAGGTAAGACACTCATTTTCTCGGTGAATAATTGTAATTTTGTAGTTCTTGAAGACATTTTGATTTATGTTGTTTTTTTTAATTTTATAAAGAGACTATGAATTCGCCTTTTTTAGTATTTTATAGAGCTCAAACAACAATTGAAACTTAAAAGTGTAATGTAATTTGCTGAACGTTTCGACTGGCCGATAACCAGTTTTGGAAAATTACTTTTAAGTTTTAAATTTAGGACGGGTGGAAGGGTGGAGTGTAGTATTACTTTTACTTTACCGCACTTCACCTCTCGTCCTACATTGTAAACTTTAGCAACATACCAGTCAACATTTTCAGCAAATAATTCTTAATCTAAAGAGCGAATTAAATGTATACGTTACCATATAATTTTTGACAATTCATAGACCTCTGGAAGAAAATTAAAAAGATATAAATTTTAATAATGTCTAATATTTCAATACAATATATAAAACAAAAAGGAAAACTACAAAAATGCAATTATTTTAATAGAAAAAGAGTGTCTTACGATGAATTCAACACCCTGGCTAAACTTTAATTAATGACACAGTAAAAATAAATAGTATGTTGAAAGAGCAACAATTCCGGCTAGATAAGGTTCTCAAGACTATACTAAAATGATATTTGATGAATTCTAAACAATGGAATCCACTTCCTATGACCTGTATAGGTCATAGGAAGTAGAGGTAAATAGGAGGTACATTCCGATTGTGTACGTTTGATAAAACTATGTTTTTTTCAAAAATATAATATAGTTTTGACGTTTTTTAAGGTGTTGACGCGTTTCCGAGATAGGATTCGGTAGACCGACAGAATATAATGGTAGGTACAAAAAGCTGTTCGTTTTCAAACAGAATAACAGCTAACAACTATAGGTAGGTACTAGCGGCCGCCTTCACACAGAGTCGGCAGGTTCAACACACGTGCGGATGTCGGAAATTCTAAAGCGATCGAGGGGCTGATTAACCGAAAGGGGTTTTCTAGGGTTAAATTGGTTAACGGTTACACACACGAAATTCAATTTGTCGCGTAGTCTGTGTGTAAGAGACATGCGTGCAATGTGTAATTGCCCACAAAGTGTATAATCCGCTATATACCATCACACAGATCGGTGTGCTGTGTAATTTTCCAGTATGATCAGATGAGCCGAACGTGTACAATGATAATGATAATACGACATGCCGTGCCGTGTCACGCAATCTTACGTATAAACTTGGATTGTATAGTACATAGAATTTAGAGTAAGCTATACACACACACACACATATATACATATAGACTTTATATAGAAATATAATTACAATTTTAGCGATCTGCGAGAATAAATGAAAAAAATAAAAAATAAATTACACGCTTGTATCTAAATTACAAGTTGTGTTGAAAGAAAAAAAAACAATTTTTAATCATAAAGATTTACAAGTAGGTACGCCGACTGTGAGATCAAAAGAGTCATAGGTATATCCATTTCCGCAGATTAAAATGAACCGAACGGTTGCAATAGTTAAGCTTGGGTCGATTGCTATACCTAACTATTTTTTAATAACTCAAATATATACAAACAAATTCGTTAGTTTAGCTATAAAAGGTTCTATCTGATAATAATTTCAAAATCAAGTTATATGTTAACATTTTGAAAACACGTTTTAATTAGTTAGTAACAAGCACTAATCAAAACGCAATTTATTTTTATAAAGTTGATTGAAAATAGAACAATCTCTGATAGCACACGAACAACTTTAAAAAATCATTGATTAATATTCAGTTATTTTGAGAAATACAATTTTTAATCTTGTTAGGTCCTAACAATTAAACAAGTAGGGTAGCTCTTAAAAACATTTTATGAGTGTAAAATGTGTGGATGTGTTGAAAAAAATGATAAATTAAAACCCACAGAAACCCGATCGGGTTTGGTTTTTTTGAAACCTGGTAATAGAGTTTATGTTTTGTCCAAGTCTACGTTATTTCCTGTCAGAATTACTCGACAAAGTTTACATCAAGTACCAGACCCGAAATTTGTAAGTACTCAAACCCTTGCTGTAGATAGCTGGGCAAAGTCCGGATTTTCGGATATTCGCCGTTGAATATCATTGAAAATGGGATACTCACGTTTCTAAAGTAAAAATCCGGATTTTACCCACCAACAGCTGTAGCCCAAGCCGGTCTTGTAACTCAGTAGGTACCTATAGGCGATGCACTCGTGTAGTGTAGTATGTATAATTGTGATTTATTTAATATGTGATTTGTAATAATTTATAGGTATCCGCGACAAGCCCAGTGTTTTTCAGGTGGAATTTTCGGGCGGCAAAGCGTTGCAACGGCAAAATAATATAATTATAACACATAATATACATTGCATTACATACCTACTCGGTCTCGGTGGTATTTTTTTTTAATTGGATATTATTGGCTCGCATAATAACAACAACAACGGCAGCAATAACGACGATAATAAGGGATGAAGTGATTCGAAAGCAACTGTCCTGCTCCGGGCTATAAACGAGCATAATACTGTTACAATAGACACACACCTGATATTTTTGTCTTATTCGGCAGCAGTGTCCCTGACAGCGGTTCGTGGGTACGCCATTAACACAAAAAAAAACCGGTGGCAAAGGGTTAACGAGACCCCAAGCCTGCCCTAACCCGTTATGTCCTGGTTATAATATTATGATCATAGCGCTGCGTTTCGGATGAAATTCGTACAGTAATTATTATTATTATTGTTGTACCTAATAAAACAACCGGCGGGGCGACAATTCGGACACGGGTTAACCCCTTGTTCATCATTTCATTTTTCACCACCCTGTTTTTTTTTTTTTTATATCACCGACTCGCCCCCCAATTATTGCCCTTTGCAGTGCCTATAATATAGCATGTATAGGTATGAAATAATAACGGTCGCATAATTGCGTGCGCAGGTACTCGAGTTACCTATAATATGTATATATATTTATAACGATAATGTTTATTATTATTATTATAATATGTACTCGGCCCGCTCGTTTCTAAATGACACGGCAGCAAAAAAAAAAAATCTTATAAAACAAGAAGCATAACCGAAATGATTAGGGTACGTACCTTCTTGGTGAAATTATTGGTATTTGCCACAACATGTCGTTATAATAATCATATCGCAACCGTGTTGGTTTTAGTGTGTTTGATACTGAAAATGCGAAATTTTCCCATCGGCCGTTGATGTTTTGTACGGTTTCACATTGCTGCGGTGTGCTCTGTGTATACCAATAAATTATCCACGTTAAACACGGTTTGCTGTATAGTGTTTTTATTTTTCATCTTAACTACATATTATTTTACAATCTGTATACAAAAAAAAAAATACAATAAGCAAACAATTGGATACTGTGCATTATTACTTACCGTGAAAACATTATAGTAGAAAGAGTCCAACAACACCTCGTTTCAGGTATGGTAGTATTTAAATATTAAAAGTATTTAAAAAAAACCATTTTCTCCGCTACAAGGAAAAACACAGAATCGTGGATATTGTGTTTTTGGGCTTAGATGACGACTTGACCAAATTATACTTGATTGAATATCAAAAATGTCCTCGCCTTTCCCTCTCCTCGCGGTATCTACAATTTCCTATCCTCCACTCCATTTAACGCCATTTTTTTATAGTTACCAGGTAATAACCGGGTAGTAACCAGGTAATAACCTGATAATAACGCGTTAATTGTCTACAATAATTATCAAAACAGCAAAATTGTCGACGCAAATTTGAAATTTTTGTTTGTACCCAGCTAAAAACATATTTAATTTAAAAACCCTCTTAAGGGCACTCTGACTTGGCACTTCGTGGTTTGTTTTACGACACGGGGGTTTATTCTTTTATTATATATGATTACAAATAATTACATAAGGGTCTATTAGGGCGGAGTGAGAAGAAAATATTATGTGTTTGATTTCGGGCCAAGTCGATTCCGACGAGATATTTTTTTTTTGCGAGCCTTATAATACAATTATATATTTTTGTACTATTATTATCATTATTATTATTGTTTGTAACAAAATTACAAAAAACGCTCTCACAGTCTTATCTTATCCGACGAAACGTTTTGGTTCTAGTGAATGTCTGATAGGTCTGATTAAATAAAAATAAAGAGTACAATGCATAAAACCACATAAATAAAGTGTTGCCTTGACGTTTAATAAACTTCTATAATAATGATTAATAAATTGTGGTTTACGGCATTTCATATAGGGTGTGTACATATATTAGCCATTGAATCATGTGCCGGGGAGAGTAAAGGGTACCTACCCCTTGCCCTGGGCCTTCTTTACCTAGAACTATTTTAAACGTACTTAATAGTTTAAATTATTAAAATAATATATTTTTTTGTGCATCGAGCACATATTTGAAAATTAAATTAATGTAGGCCACTTTAAAGGCACCATCCCTATGCTGTTTATGATTAGTTTTTAAAAAAAAACTAAATAAGTTTAAAAAAAAAGGATTTCTTAAACAAAACATTATTTAAACTTTTAAACAATAAAACATTGTTTTGGAGGGAACAGTTTCAGTTCTCGTTTTTTCAAAAATCTAAGACAATATTTCTTACCGTTCTGTATTTTTGGACAATTATTAGCAATGATTTGGCTTCTTCATTTCTGTACTCAGTAAAGTAATTTTATTTTCAAATTATAAAATGTTTACAAAAATGGCACAAATATACAAAAATTACTCAACATCGTTCTTATTTATTTTAACGTTTCATTACCATAAATTAGACCAAATGTAGGTCATCGATTAACGGTTTAGAAATTAGAATTTGTTGGTTTTTAATTATTACAATGTGCGCGCGTTATACACATATTTGTGGCCTATTCGTTTTCGCCATTTTCTGTTCCATGAACAAGTCGGGTAAATCTATTTTTCCAAGGAGTTTCCGTTATCATCAGCCGCGTTATCAATTATCATTGTTTCGTTCTGCATTATCCCCACCTGTAGGCTGTACGCTATTATTACAGTGTACCTACTTACTTGTGATAGTCCACAATATTATTTATTATTTTGCTATTACTATACGTACACTACTATACAAGTTGTACACGGTGTACGTACGTAAACAACTATAGGTGTTAGCAATCATCGCAGTCGCCCGCAATAATTGAAAAATCATCGAATCGAAACGGTGTCCAAACGAATTTCTGCTCGAATCGTTTTTGCATAACGGTAATAGTGATTTTGCACACAATGACGTTGCTGCCCAGCAATTGCGACAATTAGTTGGTCGATCCGTTGAATTTCGTCCACACTGAATCACTTCGGCCGCCGAACCATGGGCTCCAAAGTGGAATATGTGGATTCTTCACAGCTCTATGCTACCAACTATGTGCGCAACGCCAAAGCGGTTGGTGTGCTCTGGGGCATATTCACGGTGTGCTACGCAATCATCGTGGCGGTGGCCTTCATCACTCCCGAATGGATAGGCGATACGTCCACGTCGGAAAACCCGGCTCGATTCGGTTTGTGGAGCAGCTGCTACTTTGGCAACGGCGTTTCTTCGGCCGTCGAAGACTGTCAAGGGAAACTGGACGATTTGTCCACGGTCACAAATACGGCAGCGAGAATAGCAATAATTGCCGGAGGAGTGTCGGTGATCGTAGCTGCTGTAGTCGTACTGTTTCTATTGTTCTTTTTCTTTTTCCAATCGACCACCGTTTATCGTATTTGTGGCTGGCTGCACATCCTATCAGGTTAGCGTGCGCGAATTCCATTATAAGCAACATTAATGATTCTTATTGGAACGTTTTTACTCTGTTTAGCTTTCTGTTTGATTACATCAATTGTGGCGTTCCCGATGGGATGGCATTCTCCGCACATCCAAAAGACGTGCGGTACGGACGCCAAGAGTTACAGCCTCGGCGATTGCAGTTTACGATGGGCTTACCTGTTGGCGGTGATCGCCGCTTTGGACGCAATCATTTTGTCGGCCTTGGCGTTTATTTTAGCCACGAGACACATTAAACTTCAACCGGAACCTCTGTACGCATCTACTTTACGTAAAGGTAAAAAATTTTTATTTACATCATCGTTATTGTCTTGTTAAAAATATTAAAAGTCTAATTGAATACATTTTAGGGGAATTGAACGGCGGATACCTCGGCGATAGTAGCGCATCAATGGCCGGATCGAGAAAATCGCTCAATTTGCAGCCAGTAATGTTGATGCCGCAGCCGATGATGGATCAAGATCGGTTTTCGGAATTTTCTAACAGAACGGGTCGCTCCAATAAAGGTGCTATGTACAGGCCTGAGTACGCTACCTCCAGTATTCATAATTTTCAACTATAGTATTTTATTTACTTGACTGTAAGCAGTAAGAACATATCAAAATCGATACTTTTACATATTATTTGGTTTATTTTTTTATATTAGGTTAAAAAAAAATCTTTAAAACTTAAAAAAGGATAAAATGGGTTCAAATATATAAGTATTCTAAATATTTTAATTTTAAACTACAATTGTTGACTTTAGTTATAGACTAGAATATATATTTGATTAGATTAAATTGAATAGTGCCTTTATTTAAATTTAAATTTACTTTGTTTTGTAAAATACATTTAGACAACATTATTTTAATTACTTTGTATATATTTTTTTATGTATATCATTGAAAAATTAGAGAAAACTATTTTTGTTAGTTCTTTGCTCAAATGGTAAATTTGATTATTTGATCTGAGTATCCGTCCATATTTTTTTACATTAGATTTAGTAATTTTATATTTGTATACAGTTAATGACTATTTTATACTTAAAAAATATATATGATTTTATTCTATTACATATATGATTGTTTGGTATCCTCATCAGCTAACATAATATATTGAACAGTTAAATTTAAAAAAAAATTGGTTCGTAGTATGTACTAGTTATGCTATATTTCTTTTGTTTATAATTTATCAAATGGCTCAATTGACTCTCCTGATTTGGGTGAAGAGCACCCATGTACGCTTGAAATAAAACTCCACGCAATACAAATTTGTGCACTCTATTCATTTATATGAAAAAAGCCGAGTCGCACAACAAGTTAATTGTTTTAACAGATTATTACCATAAATTACAATAAATGTAGGTCACCGATTGGTGGTTTAGAATTCATAAAGTAACTGAAATTACACTACCATATTTCGCTAAAAGCATTATTAGGCATTTAAAAAAAACCTTGACAGCTAAATTATGAAAAAAAAAAAAATGACGTAGGATTTTGTAAAAAGAGACGATATTATTTTTTATCATAAATATAATTCAATGTATACAATATTATATACTTTAAGTGGCAATCACCATCAATTTTTTTGTTTTTAATGTATATATATGCTTCTGAAATAGAATTATGCGACAGATGCAGAAACTGTAGCCGAAGAGCCGGCTTTGGTTTCATCTGGGAAAGGTACAAGCTTGTCGAATATCTAAAAATAAAAACAATAATTATTATTATAAATTTGTTTTTATATCATGTCAAACTTTAGGTTGTTCAATCGAACTTGCCTCTTGCAACTCGTCTTTGCCCATCATGTGGTACAGTTTATCTGGAGTTACCGTGACAATTTCTATGTTGGTCGGGCTGAGTTTGTCTTCCATGACTTGTTTGAGTATGTTCATTATAACGTTAATCGCTTCGTTCAATCCCATCGACTGAAAAAGATATCAGATCCATGAAACATTTACATTTTAAGCAATATTTATAGCTATTTAACAATGATCAGACATATCACAGGTCGACATCTGATATTGGTTCAGATAAAGAATCTAAACACATCAGATATGGTACATAAATACTGCTCCAAATTAACAGATTGATTTTTTGTTTTATAAAAAATGTTTACAATGCAATTTTTTTATCGACATACACATTGAGGAACAATTGGGGTTTAGCTACCAAGCAATTTTTCATTCCAATACATATGATATTAACAAAAGTCTTTGGTTACAATTTCAAAAGTAATTACTCAAAAGTAAATATTCCATTATTTTGTTTTTACAATTTTTTTTCAGCATTGAAAAATATATTTTAAAAAGAATTAATTTTAATAAATCATAAATTTTGTCAATTTTAACAAATAATTATTATTTTGCTAATAACTTCATCAAAAGTAAGTCTGACCAATAGAATTTGACTTGCCAATTTTTTCACACAAAATATAGGTAATAAAAGTTGAAAAAAAATTGCTTGGTAGTTCAACTGAATTTTATAACCACATGGAGTACATTAAAAAACCTTCTGATTAAATTGTAATATTTTAAATGCCAAGACAGTCAGTACTTTATGATATTTTTCTTGCAGCGTCTGTTGAGCACCCTCGCTACCAGATCCTATAGCTTTAGCGTTGTATTGCACGTAAGTACCGGATGGATCCAAATGAAATAGTTGTGGTCCATTTTTGTCGATACCAGCAAACATAATAGCAACACCGAATGGTCGACTCTGTGAAGACACGAAATCATAAGACAATTTTTTTTAAAAAACACTATTCTACATGTTTTAAAATTTACCATAGTCGGCTCCTTGCTGTCGTAATCGCCGCTGAATTGTATAGCCAAATTAGAGACCGCTTGTGCCACGGACTCGACGCTCATTTGTTCGTCATACGTGAACCAATGGTTTTGTGATTCAGCTCTGGCTCTCTCGACCATGGTACGCGAATCGGCGATCAAACCGCTAACGGCGCAACCTAAATGTTATCAATACAAATTTAATACTACAACGGCACAGCTTTGATTGCACCAAGCGTCTCCGTCGCCAGACACATGGTTTATTCTTCGACCAACTCATACACACCTATATGTCTATCGACTTCAAAGATTTTTTCAATCTTACTGGTGATCATTAACGGTGAAGTGATACGCTTTTCCACACCCAGAACTACCCCTTCAGGAGTGCAGATTCCAATTGCCGTCGAGCCGAGTTTAATGGCTTCAATTGCATATTCCACCTATTGTACATCAGATAGTATTAAAAACTAATAAAAACAGTTTTAAACAAAATAAATATCATACTTGAAATAATCTGCCTTCGGGAGAAAATGTATTCACTCCTCTATCGTATTCTGAGCGAGTTAAGAACATTGTTGAATAATAGAAGTAACTGCTATAAATTATAATAATATCATAATTAGTAGCCTGTTTAATTGAATACAACTTGTATAGATTAACTATATTTATAATTAGATTATAAAGGATAACTGATTAAAAAACAATATTTATATTATACAAATAATATAAAGTTTATAACAATTTGTAAAATAAAGAATACCTATTGTTAACGAGTTATTTTAAAATAATATTTTGTATTTTAGTTGACATGAAACTACTAAATTAGTATACATAGAAATTTAAGTATATTTGTTGATGACAAACAAGTTCATTAAACAAATTTAAATATTTTATTTTTTCAAATACATAATAAAAAAGTAGAAAAAAAACAAATTCTTATTCAATAATTATCTTATAAAAAATATTTAAAAAAAGTCAATCGATTACCTCTAATTAATATATGATGAATTTAAATAAAATAATACTTACCAAAACAATAACCAAACCAAATTAATTATAATTTAAAACTTAAAGAAAATAAATTCACAATACCAAAAACAATTTTAAGCGTATGACTTGCAAAAGCGGCATCGAATATTTTTATTTTCACTATCATTGTCGTTGTTTGTAATGATATTATCATAACCTAAAAATCCAAAGAGGTTATTAAAAACCAAATGGTTTCAGTGAGTTTATAAGCCACGGTCTTATCATATATTTATTAATAATTTATTTCAAGAAGAACCTTATTAATTATTGTGAATTGTCCTTTGACTAAAAAAAAATAATATTCAAAGATAAATAAAATGATACTTTAAGTCTGTTGTTTGTCATTCTCATTTTATAAACACTATTTTACTGAAAAGTGATGTAATATACTTTACATTTATTATTGTTAAATGTCAATGAAGACAAAAAAACATTCCAGGTAAATAATATTGGAGTGTACTACAATGAGTTTGAAAAATCCCCGAGTACATAATAATTTTATATTTCTGTATCAAAGTGATACTATACGTATAATTTTTTATCTCAAAAACTATAGTTATTCAGCATTTAATTGGGACGAGAATAAATAATACGGTTTTATTGCCATTCATTTAAAAAATACAAAAAAATGAGCGGTGTTCTGAATGTCTTCAATTTTATATTCCACAAGAAACCTGTACTTTATCTCTCTAACCTGAAAAATTTCACCCTGCGGCCGTGTTAACACAGCATGGATGATGATAATGGTGTATTTTGTAAATAACTTTCATCTATTCGTTAAATTTGATTATACATTTTTCATTCAATTGCAAATTCAAAATTCAAAATTCTATGTTTAACAAAAAAAAAAAAAGGTTTTAAATAAAGAGCTGTAGAGAATCTTGCATGCTAATTACAAGTATTGGTTTTTTTTATTATTTTGTCATGTACACACGGAATTGAATTATTTATACTTTATTTAGTAAGTGTATATTTTGACATAATTTATCCGATTGTTAATGAGTACTATTATTAATTAGTAACTGTTTGATACATTTTATTTTATTTGTTAATTACCTATGTGTTTTAAATATTATTATTTACTGAGGTAAATACGAATTGCGGTATTACATTGTTTAATAAAAACTACTTTTTAAAAATTGTAAAGCAAAATCGTTATATGTTACGTTTAACACTGAACAACACATTACCAATAATCAATGTTGACTATATGTCGATATTTTATTATTGTGTTTAAAATCTAAAAAAAACATGGATATTTTTTAGTTTCCGACAAGTAGTTTTACAAATATTTTTTATGCATTTATATACACAAACTCAATTTTAATCATGTAAGTTGTATGATTATTATCTCAAATAAAAGTTCCAGGGAATTTTCTACAGTGGAGACTATTCAAAATCATCTATTAGTATATTTACTAGTGTACTAACAATTGGCTCAAAAATATAACAATATTAATTAATGGTTAATAGAGTGTTATAAAATTGAGTTATATAGAAAATTTACTTTTAAATGCATCTTTGTTTATAAGTTTCAATTATAAAATACCCAATACAATATTGTGATATATCATATTTAAAATTTAAATTAAATGTTTAAAAATTTAGTATAACGGTCTATGTAACCGGATTTTTCGCACTATTAAATGCGTTAGTATATAAATGACCTTGAAGTGTTGCGTGTAAAAACACACAATTTTTTTTTACCATTATTTTTTAAGTATTTTTCGGACCGTTGTGAACAACATATTTTCATCAACGGCCCGCAAACAGCACTTCTCTAAATCAATACACAACCACAAAAACAATTTTACGAATTTTCACAATTCAGAACACAATATTATTCATTTTACAAAACAATTTATCAAGGTTACAGTAAATACAGTTATACAAATAATAAAAAGTCAAGAAATAGATATGACAAAAAAGCCCAAAGAGGGTGATCGTAGACCACGTAAGTGTCGTTTAAAAATGATAACGAAAACCGTATAAAACTGTATGTGGACTTGTCTTGTTTCAATTTACTTACCGGCGTTTGGCCACCGCTGAGCACGGCTTCACGTGCCGGTACCGACGCATCTATGTATCATTGTCGCCGTGAGAGACAACGTCAACGTTTGGGTCGCTATACAGACCGTTGAGTTTAATTGAGTAATAGTTACAAAAAAAAAGGAGACACAAGATCAAAGAGTAGTTTACAGCAAGAATTATTAAAGAACAGTTTATACAAAGTTAAATGGTAAATTACAAAATGAGTTATAACGACAAACAATATATATATATATATATATATATATGTGTAAATAACAAACTATAACAACGGTAACGGTGTTATTTAAAAAAAAAAACATTTTAGAATTATTTCTAGCCGTCAACTAATTTTCTTCAACAAGTTATCATATGGTAATCAAATATACAAACAGATTATTGCTAGAGTAAAGGTCAGGTAAAAAAAAAAATTAGTCCATTTCGGGGATAGTTTTGTGAAATTACAGTCGTCCTGCATTTAAAATAAAAGGCGGTTGTACGGTTTTATTTCATTAAAAATACAAATATTTTATCGTTTGTGTGTACGAGAAATTATAAAAAATACAACATATTTCGACATCTTATTTTTTCAATAAAATTCGTCCGTGGATGGTCTTAGTCCTCTTAATAAAATCTGTCAGTTAAAAAATACACCCCCCCCTTTTTTACATGTAGTGGGCACGTAAAAAAAAATGTCCCGTAAGTAAACCTTGTAATTAACTGTTCAATGAATTAGTCTTTTCTTCTTTTAACTTTTTCACGATGAATACTTAACACCACTTACACAATTTAATTGGTCTTCACCCGTCGTAGACCGAAGCAAAGTTTTAACTCTTCGTGAAGTACTAAAAGACCTTTCGGCTGTACGACTTATGGCTGGTAAAGATAGAAAAATTTCTAATGCAATTGTAATGCCAGGGAAAATTTTTTATTGTATGTTCTAGTAAATCTATAATGTCCATGCTTTAACGGTCTTTTTTTTTACCATAAACTATATTAACTTTTATTTGTGTTTTAACGATATTTTAGGTATTGTTTACTGATGATATAGTTTTGCAGTTTAGCAATATTTTTTATAAGAAACGATGAAGTGTTTTTTTTAATTTTGAAAATTTAGATTGCATTAAAATATTTACACAATATCTCAAATAATATCTACTGTCTTTCCGAAGCATTAGATATCATTTGCCCACAGGTCCTGTACTCTAAGGGAATCATAAAATAATTACCAAAGGAAAAATTATACTTTCTATTAAACCAGTTTTAATGTTCACACATTTAGAGAACATCTAAAGGTATACTGTGTTGTGTAAATCTATTTGATCTATGAAAATTGCTTTTATATGTATTCGAACAGAAAAATAATATGCAGGGTCAAAAAATACTGTGGAATATTGAAAACAACAATTCGCATAAAGTTATAAAAACTAATAGTACCGACACCTATATGGAACAAAAAAAATAAGTTGTTTTTCAGTGAAATATTTGTACAAATAAGAACAGTTACAACGACAACAGCAGAAAACACAATAACAATTTCGTTTTAACAGCAAATGAATAAATTTTCAATTGAAACGCTCGATAAAATATCTGTTTATATTTTATATTTTACAATTGAGAACAATTTAAAAAACAAACGGCTTAGGTTAGGGGCTGGTGCAATGGTTAAAATTATTATTATACTTGCTGGAATTCGAAAAAGAACATACTATGGAAAGGCCTTTTTACGATATTCATATGTATCGTATGTTCATATGAGAGTTTTTATACTGAAGATTACAAAAATATTGACACATTTCCTACCGTAGGGATAATAGCTGTCGTTAGCTGTTTATATACATGCACATTTTAAAGCGGTTAAACGTCGTGTTGGTAAATTGTTCAATCGACTCATAATCGGTTTTGAAAACTATTACTGTGAAATTCAAATACAAATTGGGTTCAAAACCGTGTTTGAAAACATAGGTTAGATACATCATCGAAGGCGATTTTTCCCATACAAATCCATACATTTACAGATTGTATTTTTTTTTTTTTGCTAACACATTTGACATATTATATTCGATAAAAACACATGCTATTGTCTTGTAGAAACATTATAAATTTCATACTTTATTTTGTTACGTTTTTTAGTACCTAAACTCTATGTAAAAATTACATATAGGTAAAATAGTAAAATGATTTTAATGAGTTCTGTGTCTGTAATTTGTACATACACGGTTTTTTTTACTAAAAATGTAATACATTTCGTATCAAATTCGACTTGTATATAAAAATTCCAAGGTTATAACAATTCATAGGTTGTCAATATTCTTGCACGGTCATAAGAATTTAGGAATTTTGTATACTGATATTTTTGTATACATTTTATTTTTCAACTGCCACTTGTGTATTCAAAACAAAATGTATTAATGATACGATCAAAAAACCTAAGACTTTGTAGTGTGTACACTGCAGCTTAATATCGACAGGACCAATTATAAGTTCAAGGACCTATAATTCAGAAAAAAAAACAGTTACGCGGCAGATCCCATCTTGAGTTGTTAACAGTTATAATTTCGAAAAAAACCGTCAAAATGCACACGACATTCATTATTGTATTATGTTTAACATATTATATTACAATAGTTAGTTCGACTATCGAAAATAAGGTGATTATAATTTTTTCAACAATAACTTGCAAATTTACATATTATTGTTAACTGTTTAGTCAGAGTTTGGCATTATCAGGTTTTTAACTAAATAATTATTTAAATAATTTTTTTATTCGAATAATTATTATTAAAATAAAAAAAACCTTGATTAAAATATTTATTAATTTAATTATTTTAGTGTTTTTGAATTATGTTTTTTTAGGCTAATTCTTTTATTTTTGACATAATTAAAAAATAATTTATAAAGATTATTACTATAAAAAATGTTTGAACAAAATAATTTGGATAAAATAGTTTAAAAAAATATTTGAAAAAAAAATTATTTGAATAAATCATCTTAAGAGTTTGTCAAATAAAAAATATATTAATATATTCGAATAAATTGGTTATTATTCGTTATATGAATAAACACTATAATGACTAACTCTGATTGTAGTAT